CACCTTCTTCGTCTCCAAATCTCCGTCTCTTTATTACAAATTTCCAAAGATCATGGTATAAAACAATAAACATTCCCCTAGTGTAAACATGTTTCAGTTTCAGTGTTCATTTGTTGATTTAAATTTAAACACATTAATAGTTTTCTCTACTCTCCACGCATCAGTGGGAAACATCTCTCACACACACATTCACAGAAATCATCATTTCTATACAAAAATAAATATCACTTTCTTTAAAGTGCAACAGTATCAAAAGGATAAATCATGTTTTAATCTATATTTATATAGTTGTTTTTAACTTCAGAAATCCACCATCATATTGATGTAATAATGTGAATTATAAACCCTCTTTGGCTGTAGATTAATATTTAAATGACTTTAAAGTCAAAACATCATACACATAGGGATAACGGTTTAACTTATTATACATTTTTAAACACAGACCAGACACCTAACTGCTTCTGTATAACTTTAGGAAGAACTCCCTTTAAGTTTTAAACAACATACCTCTCTTCTCTTAACATTAACAATCATTTATAACATGTCAGGATAATAATATATAATATAATATATATAAAACTGAATGAAACGTCAAACCAAAAAGTGACAAGTACCAAGCCCCTTTCCATGCCTCTTTCCCACGCCTCCCTACTGTCCCAGGTCAAAAAGGTCAAATTGGTCAATCATAATCAGACACTTCAAAGTTCACACTTCACAGTTTGTAATTTTTTTATTGACTACCAACCTGGAAAACAGAATCACAGCGTGAATGAGTGAAAGAGCGAACCGCCTTCTTCGTCTCCAAATCTCCGTCCGAGAGAAAAGGGAGGTGCCTCTCACCTGGGCACCGTGGTGCAACGATCCCCACACTTTGGTTCCGCTTTCTTTTTATTTCCCCATTAATTTTGTCTTTCACAATAAAATTGGAATTATATTAAACACTGCGCTGGATATTGTCTTATCATATAAAGGGTGTATCACATATACACTATGCATTGTTCAAGTAGGACATGGAGTGCAAAATATGAGCAGAAAATTAAACTTGACTAAAACTAAAAAACTAAACTGTACAAGTGGAAATTAAATTGGACAAATATTCAGGTCCAGAAATTTCAGTCTCAGAACAAGTACTGGCAAAAAGGTATGTGTCATTGATTAACACACAATTAAATCTTAACATAAGCCACGTGGTTACGAAAATCCAAAAAGGTGCAGAATAAATGTGAGAGTATTCTGGAACATGCATTTTGAGAAATGAGCAGTGATGAAGTCAGAAAGAAAAGAAGTTAGATGTTAAGAGTTTGTAAATAGCAGAAGGACAGATTTAAAATTACAGTTTACTTAACAGGACTTTTACAGGTCGCAATTTGGGTGAGAACAGGAGAAAGTGAGAGACATGGATCTATCCACCTTTCGTCAAACCAAAAAGTGACAGGTACCACGCCCCTTTCCCACGCCTCCTCAACTGTTGAATCAAAGAACTTCCAGTTTCGATTATGGGTATGGAAATGTGAAAAATAAGCCAAGTGCAATTCTCAATTTGAGAACTTCTGAAAATGCAGTAAAACATACTGCATCACAAATCTGGTGTCTTTTGCAGGTTTTACCGTTTTTAGTTGGCGATCTTGTTGACATGAGATGTCAACATTGGCATTTATTCATTTTGTTGAGGGAAATATGCAGTATTGTCTTCGCACCTGTTGTTACACATGGGCTTGCTGTATTTCTGAAACAACTCATTATAGAGCACCACACATTATTCAAAAAGCTCTATCAAAGAAATCTGATACCGAAGCACCACTTTATGATCCACTATCCAAGGATGATGGTTATGTTTGGACCCATTTCTCAGCTGTGGTGCATGAGATTTGAGGCAAAACATAATCCATTAAAAAGACATGTTCATGTGGTGCATGAGATTTGAGGCAAAACATAATCCATTAAAAAGAAATGGGTTGGAAAATTCGAAAATATTTCTAAAACACTGAGTTACAAACATCAAGTTCACCAAATGTATAGCTTCAAGTTAGGTGACCCTTTTTCTAAGAAAATGAGTGTTATAAATGTATACCCTGTTACCACGGCTCCTTGAAGAAAGCAGATGTTGCACTGAACAATCTGAGATCAACCTATGATGATGATGACATTACTTTGAACAGCACTGTCTATGTTGCCCACACTATTGGTGTGCTTGGCCAAACTTACAGAACTGGGTCTGTTCGCCACTTAAAGTAGACGACAAAGGAGAGCCAATGGTTGGGGAATTAATTCATATTATACCACATGAAAATGTATCCGTTCTAATATTTGTAAGAATTCTTACAATACAGTACTTTGATGAGCATTTTTATGCCTATGCTGTAAAAAACTAAAGAATTTGAAATGATCAACCTGTCTGATGCAGCAGATGTCAGGCCTTTGGACATAATGGTCAGTTTCAATACAGATGAACTATACTTAAACCCAAGGTACATGATAGTTTAGTTCTAAAGAATACAGCCAGAAGGCAGGTGGTTCTTATTGTCTTTGAACTTGTAATATATGATCCACTAATTTGTCCTACTTTAAGCCAATTCTATTTCAAAATGCCTAAAATTAGGCTTTAAACAAAAGTATTCAAATTAAAAATGTAATTTCAACAGTTAATGTAATTGACAGAGAATGTAATTGACAACAATTTAAAGAGATTTGTCGGATTATAAAGGTTTTATGTGTTTAAAATTTGTTTGCACTATTTGCAACTATGTTATGTTAACCGCCTACCAGTTGTAGGTATAATTGATGTTGGAAACACTTCCCATGTACTGTAAAGGTACAGTTATGATGTAGTCATCTAAGTCATTGCATGCTTTTGCTATTTATTGAAAGCAACTTGGGTTTTTTATTGCATCCCAAATCAAAAGCTCAGGCAAACTTGTTGTTAGCTATGCATATATTTCCTATATTTTTTTGGGAATTGCACAAACATGTTGAATTGAGTTGTAAAACATTTTGTTGTGCTCATGTATTCTGTACCCTGTCAACATTTGACCATTAATTAAATGGCTAACTCTTTTTTCACATATGTCTGTTTCTCCATTAGTTCTTAGTTACAAATACCTGGCAATAACATTTACTTGTTTAACACATTTGTTTGTAGTTTTTGGTCATCAGTTACACATAATCAATGCTTGAAATGACACCATTGTGTGTTAAATTGCCTGACACAATTTGTGTTAAAATGGCTCACACATTAATTGTGTAAAAATTGTGTTTAAATGACACATTTGTGTTTTATTTAGCGGACACAATTTGTGTGTGTTAAAATGGTTTACACATCTATTATGTTAAAACCGACACAAAATGGGTTGTCCCTGAACACACTCGCTACTTGTGTTAAAATAATAAAAAAAACCAGGACAGGGTGCATATCGGGGATCCTCCTGGTTAAAGTTATCTTCTAAAATACACAAGTTTTATTTAATATATAAAATTATATAAAGACGAAATATTACATTTAAATTACAACGGAGCAAAGTTTGTTTTTTACCGCAAGACATCTCGTCAGTCTCGTGTGTTCCGCAACAGATAAACACTCGTTTAAACAGGGTATACTTATACCCCAAAACATGGTTTATTTTCACAGCTTGTGTTTGGGAAAATGTTGTCTTGTAAAGGCAAACGTTTAATTCTATGACGACTTAAAAAAAAAAAAAAAAACCCGCTGTGGAGCTCAGCAGACAGATACAGTTGCAAAGTATGTGTTTTAAACTGATTATTATAACTGATTGTCTTTCTGCTCATCCGTGAGCCCTGATATCGCCTGCTTGTTGGTCAGCAAATCTCCCCCCACTTCAGAGATTAGCAGAGTAGCTGTCCTATCCATCTAAGACACGTTTGATTACTTTATAGTACTTTGTTACTCCCCCTCACTTGTATATCATATAAGAACAAAAAACTATTCCTAGGTTTCAAATAAGTGTTTTAAAGTAGATATCTCGCTATGTCTTTTTGTTCATCCCTGAGACTTAAAGACTCCTGTCAAGCGTATGTCAAGCAAAGTGTTTTGGTGGAGGGGCTAGTTAAAAGTTTAATATTTGAGAACAGAAGGTAGGGGTGTGAGAGTGAGTTTTTAATCAAGGATTCTCTGGGATTCTCAAGTGATGTGTTCAGCTTAAAGTCAGCGGCTCTACCCCACACTTAGCAAACAAACTAGCCTGATGTGGTGCTTCTAAGAACAAAAACTATTTCTAGGTTTCAAATAAGTATTTTAAAGTAAGGGAGAGGAAGGTGGGTGTACTAATTACCTATGTACAGTCTATTGAGGTGTTTATCTTAAAAGGTTTACCATCTGGAGGGAGGGAGGGAGGGAGGGAGGGAGGGGAGGATGGGGGGTTAAGACACCTGTAACAACAATCTATACCCCCTTTAACCCCCCCTGAAGTGTCTGATTATGATTGACCAGTTGACCTTTTTGACCTGGGACAGTATGGAGGCGTGGGAAAGAGGCGTGGAAAGGGGCGTAGAAAAGGGGCGTGGTACCTGTCACTTTTTGGTTTGACGAAAGGTGGAAAGATCCATGTCTCTCACTTTCTCCTGTTCTCACCCAAATTGCGACCTGTAAAAGTCCTGTTAATTAAACTGTTATTTTCAATCTGTCCGTCTGCTATTTACAAACTCTTAACATCTAACTTCTTTTCTTTCTGACTTCATCACTGCTCATTTCTCAAAATGCATGTTCCAGAATACTCTCACATTTATTCTGCACCTTTTTGGATTTTTGTAACCATGTGGCTTATGTTAAGATTTAATTGTGTGTTAATCAATGACACATACCCTTTGCCAGTACTTGTTCTGAGACTGAAACTTATATATTTGTCCAATTTAATTTCCACTTGTACAATTTAGTTTTAGTCAAGTTTAATTTTCTGCTCATATTTGGCACTCCATGTCCTACTTGAACAATGCACAGTGTATATGTGATACACCCTTTATATGATAAGACAATAACCAGCGCAGTGTTTAATATAATTCCAATTTTATTGTGAAAGACAAAATTAATGTAGGGGGAAATAAAAGAAAGCGGAACCAAAGTGTGGGGATCGTTGCACCACGGTGCCCAGGTGAGAGGCACCTCCCTCTTCTCTCAGATGGAGATTTGGAGACGAAGAAGGCGGTTCGCTCTTTCACTCATTCACGCTGTGATTCTGTTTTCCAGGTTGGTAGTCAATAAAAAAAATTACAAACTGTTTCCTCCTGAAATGTACAGTGGTGTATTGAAGCTGTGATGAGTCTGTTGTGGAATTTTTGATGTGTGAAGCCGGGCTATTTATAACCGCGGGAAATGGGCTTTGTAAACAATGGAGCTAGCGAGCTAACAATTAGCAGGTGTGTACTGTGACTGTATGTGTGATTCTGGGTGCTGGTGTCCTTACTCCCTGGTAATGTTTCATTCAGTTTTCTTTAAGATATCTTGACATGTTATAAATGATTGTTAATGGCGCTCCTTTGAAGTGTCTGATTATGATTGACCAATTTGACCTTTTTGACCTGGGACAGTAGGGAGGCGTGGGAAAGAGGCGTGGAAAGGGGCGTGGAAAGGGGCGTGGTACTTGTCACTTTTTGGTTTGACGCCAGGTGGATAGATCCATCTCTCTAAAGTGAATTCAGTGAGAAGAAAGAAAGTTACTAGTTGGGTGACAATGAGAGGAGATCAGATGGAAAGAAATGAGAGAAGAGAGGGGAAAGGGGGAGAGAGAGAAGTGGAGAGAGGGAACTTGAGAAAAATAGAGAAAATGGGAAGAGAGTAAAAGTACAAGATGTAGAAGATTCATCTCTGGCAAATGGCAACAAGAACGTGCAATTCGCAACTGTCTCAGAATGTACCAATGTTCTCAGCTTACTTGCTGGATTCACTGAATTTGTAAAAAAACAAAAAAGAGTTTGTTTTTGAGGGATCTCACCGTTGCAGAGAAATCTGTCCCAAGTTCCATGAAAACCTTCTGAATGGTTTCAAAAGTGTACCTCAGTTCTTTTGGGTACTGGAGGTTCAAAGTATAGATCAGCCCAAAAAGGTACGCAAAAGCTGTCGGCAGGTCAGGGAGATCCTGAAGGATGATGGCTTCTTCTACAATCACAGCGACATCCAGTGAGGCCCTTCGTCTGCTCCTCTTCTGAATCAGTTGCATTGTGATGACAGAAAGCAAATAACCAATACAATAGTAAATCAAACTGAAAGACATTTATCATTAAATTCTGTGACTCAGAATAAGCTTTCATCTAAAATGATCCAAAATATTGTATACATTTTTTGTTTGACATATTAAACATTTCCATCTCATACCCAGAAAAATGTAATCCTCATATTTATGACATCAGTTATATCATGCCATTGGCAGCAAAATACAACTTTGGGCACTGGGGCAGACAAAGAATGCGAAATATGAGAAAATGGAAAACAGTCAAGAATGGGACAAAAGGGCAGGAAGGTAAAGGTTGAAGTCAGAGTCAAGTACAGCATTAATCACACCTTAGGAGTCTATTTCTCACACTGTATATATTTTCAGTTTCTACAAACAAGTCACTCACAAGACCGTTCCTGAAAAGCTTCTCATGACTGTCACAGAGATACAAGGGAAGACCCTTCAAGGCTGCAGTCTGTCGATGTGCTGTGATGTTAGATGTCTAAAACACAAAAGGCTGGAAGAACCATTATGACATTATGGCACTATCATGTAGAAAGCTCAGAGTAAATATGCAAACAACTTTATTCTTCCACATCCAACAAACACCTGTTAAATCCTTTGGTCTTCATAAACTCCTTAAATGAAAAGGACCACCTAGTCACCATCTTTGTCTGTCCCTTAGGTAGTGTACAGTGGGTTTATTCTGAGGGTTTGTCACTATGAGCAACATCTGATATTGGATCCATATATATATATATTTAAAAAAATCCAAGAATTCCTTTAATAGAAGAATATAATGAGATCATTACGTCAAAAATTCACCTCCTCATCCAGTCGGTCAAGGAGTTGATCCATCTCAGGTGGAAAAGCTGTTCTCCTAGCCTGATAAAGTCTAAGGAGCCTTGGAATGTGCTGATTAATGGATGCTCTGAAGTTGTCTATTAGGTTCTTGTTGGCGATCCGATGGAACTCTTCACTGATCTGTTGAAAAATTTAGAATAGCAAATATAAATCTTTAATATAAAGTCATACAATTCCAAGACCATCCTAATATAAAAATATGCATTTTATATACAGAAGCAACTCGAGACTCTTATTTTGAAAAGAAACACATTTATGATATATTTGCCTCCCAGAGCTGCTGTTTTGAGGTAAACTGCCACCCATCCTCATAGAGCTACCTTTTAAGGATGCTCCACAGGTTCTCAATAGGGTTGAGGTCAGGGGATGATGGTGGCCACACCATGATTTTTTCTCCCTTTATGCCCATAGCAGCCAAGGCCTCAATAGATTTTTCTGCAGCATGGGATGGTACGTTGTCTTGCATAAAAATTATGTTACTCCCGAAGGCACGGTTCTTCTTTTCATACCATGGCAGGAAATGGGCAGTTAGGAACCCTAGGGATGCCCTGATGCAATCTCAAAGATCATCAAGGCAAAGGAATCAAGGCATTTTTTGCAGATCCAATCCAATCCTTTGTTTTATGTCAGTGAGTAAAAACAGCTGTGCGACAATCTGTTTGTACTCTTGAAGCTTTCATGCATGACACAGCCATGGTCAACTCTCTTTGCTGTCTGCCTCTTCACTCTGCTGAACTCTGTGTGTGTCAGGTGACTTGGCCAAAAGCTCCACTGAAGCAACAAATGTGGGAGAGAGAAGCTCTATGCAGACAGCAACAAGGGCAAAAAAATTACAGAGGGTTGGTCATTTTATACCTTACTTTTTTATACTTTTCTTTACTATTTTGTTTAGAAAAAGGAGACAGAGACCCAACAGTTCCCACCATGAGCAAGCACCTGGCGACTGAGCAGTGACTATAGTAATAATAGTAACTGTAGAAATAATAATAATAATGATAATAATAATAACAATAATATCAGTAATATTAGCAGTTGGAGTCAAGCAGGACCATGGCAGGAAGCTCCACCAGGATCCATGAGAACCTGTGAGACGAGAAAGCACAAAAACTCCGGGGAAGAAGTGAAGTTAGTAACATGCATTAATGGGACATGAATGTGTGCAGAAAGAGAGGGAGAGGATGAGAGGAGCTCAGTGCATCATGGGAAATCCCACGATATTCTAGGCCTATAGCAGCATAACTAAGGGATGGTTCAGGACTCACCTGATCCAGCCCTAACTATAACCTTTATCAAAGAGGAACGTTTTAAGCCTACTCTTGAATGTGGAGAGGGTGTCTGCCTCCTGAACCAAAACTTGAAGCTGGTTACATATACAACAGTAACTGTCAGTACAGTACTATAGCTATGGTCTATCTCAAGTCTATATTAAGTAGCATTGCACTAAAATAATGTATATGATTAGTGTAGCCATTAGGCTATAGCTTTATAGATATTTTAATTTACAAATAGCTTTCTCTACAGGTCCAGTGCTTGGTGTGTTTAGCTGAACTGAAGTATCATGTCAATACTTCCTCCATGATTAGGCACTTCACTGACAAGCATGGAGCTGCTGTTAACCAGGGGAACATAAATCAAGGTAGGTATTATATCATTATTAACTAGACACACTAACACAATATGATATTACTGTATTCCATGACTCATATGTCTGCTTCATTTAAATGCAGTTTCACATAAATCCTCATTTTCTTTTATTCATTTTCTTTTTATTTATTTATCTTTGTGGACCGGAAGCAAGAGCTAGATGAAGCTCTTGTGAATATGGTGGTGAAAGACTTGCAGCCTTTTTCCAACATGGATGACTGTGATTTCAAGGAGTTTGTAGCATTGCTTGATCCCACATACACTCTTCAATCGAGACGGGCTCTAAAGAACATGGTGGTCCAGAGATACGAGGAGGAGAAGACCAAGGCCAAGGCTGTCATGCAGAGGACAGAGGCTGTGAGCCTGTTAACTGATATGTGGACCTCCATTAATATGGACGGATATCTAGCAGTGACCTGCCATTATGTGGATGACTCTGTGAAGCTGGCCACAGTGCTTTTGGGAGTGCTGCCTTTCCCTGAAGCTCATACAGCTGGTAACATCACTGCTGCAACAAGGTCTCTCACTGAGGAATGACTTTGATTCCATCTGGCACGAGGGCCTTTTCTATAGGCTACTTGAAAGTGGTATTAGAGGAAAAACATATGATCTGATTAAGAACATGTATACAAAAAGTGAATGTGCCGTAAAGATTGTTTTAGTTGTTTTTTAATATATATATATATATATACATATACCTGGGGCCCGTATCAGAAAGCAGGTTCAACAAACTCTGAGTTAAAACCTTAACTCTAGGTTGACCAACTCTGAGCTGTCAAACTCTGAGTTTTCAGTTTCAGAACGGGTGAAAACACTTCAATCTACTCTGAGTCAAGGTAACCCTGAGTGAAGTCCATGCATGAGGATATAAACAGATAACACAGATAACATGATTCACCATGGCAACAAGTGATAAAAAGCCTCGATCCTCCTACTTCTCCCCAGTGGAGTTGGAAATATTATTCAATTCAATTCAATTTTATTTGTATAGCGGCAATTCATAACAGAAGTTATCTCAGGACACTTTTCAAATAGAGCAGGTCTAGACTGAACTCTTTATAACATTTACAGAGACCCAACAGTACCACTACCAATATTAATGACCGCATATGCAGAAAGTGAGCATATATTTTTTAAAAAAGCAATACTGTGGCAGCAGCAAAAGAGCGGGAGGTCGCGTGGCAGAAAATTGCTGACGAGTCAATGCGTGAGTATTAATTGGAGAAAAAAAGAAATGTTTTGTCTCGAATGTTCCACTTATTCAACAATTATACTCCATATGTGTCTTTGTGCGCACAGGTGCAACCCAACAGGCACCGAACGGACTTGGCAGCAACTAAGGATGAAATATAAAAATTTAGTTCAAACAGGTAAGGTATAATTTAAGTACAAGCAATTGTGATGTTGTTTAGCCTGCCCTCATTAAACAGCATTTACTGGCTACATTCAACATGTGATAGATATATTTAAGTAATTAGGGAAATCCGCTAAACAAAGAAAAATCCCAACACTGCCAGTATTTAATATTGTCTATATGAAAGCAACACCTAAGTGCCTTGCATACAAGTCTCCAAATTTGTGTTTTCTGGATGTTTAAATTTGACCTCCATTATAGCCAACAGAAAAAAGGCTGAGGTCCACAAAACAGGTGGCGGTCCACTACCACCACCTCTCACAGAGGCTGAAGAGATGGCCCTCAGTCAGACCCATTGCTGAGGGCATCTCTGGGGGGAGCTCATTGGACCCAGCCACGCCCCAGGACACAGGGGCCTACATAAGAGGTAAGTTATTCAAATGAATGGCATGTACATTAATCCTTTTTCTAGTGTTCGCTCAGTAATGGCCACCCATTCATCTTAGACACAACTTGGCACACTGTTTTTTCTTGTAGCAGTAGGCTACAGTTCTTTGTAATCGGCTGCTGTTGCTTTCAGATATCAATCTATTTTAAGGTGACTCAGAGTTTGAAAAATTGTGATGGGACCTGCACACTATTGTTAAAAAAAAATTAAATTAGGTGGGGCACTTTTCTGGGTAATCATCAACTGTCTAATCCTCATCTTCTACCAGTTACTGATGGTGTAATCTGTCTCGTGGAGCCTTCTGCCTTAACAGACCTCCATGCTGTTGTAAGTACTCTTAATATTCCACAGATTTGTCATAATGGGTAGAATATAACACAATCATGCTGTTTCATTACAGGAGGATGATGAAGACACCTTATCAGCTGCCACAGAGAGGGAAGATGCAGAGAGGCCGTGGTCATTGTCGGTGAATTTTCGCCATGCATTTGAACGAACTCGTCTTAGGGAATTTCTGGGATCTGCTTCAAAATTGGTCAGTACAGTCACAAAATGGTGCTGAATAAACGCTGTTCATTTTTTCACTGTGCGTTGAAGGGCGTGTCCGTGGCGTGCCGTCAAAGTTGGCCATTTTGAACGAATGTCACACTGTGATGTCATTTTTGGCATTTCAGGGCTTCTATTTTAACTAACTCCTCCTACAGGTTCTATTGGATCTACTTCAAAATTGGTCAGTGCAGTCAGTTTTTTTCGTCCAACATTGTGCCCGTGGCGTGGCGTCCCGTGGCATCCAATTTCAAACCTTCGCCATGAAAGAGGGATTCGTCATAACTTCTGCGTACATGATCCGACTGCAACGAAACTTCACATGTTCGATAAGAGTCCCGCCCTGAACATGTCTATGCCATAATATTCGGTAATAGTCAGAGCGCCACCTAGTGGCAACAGGAAGTAAGTGCTGCGTGGCGATTTTGAGCTGATTTACGTGAGATTTTCATGTCGTGGTCCGCACGTGTTACGACGGCATTTTCAATTGTGATGCGGATGTGATGTGATACCCAATGTAATTATAACATTGGTTCCTGTTCTAATGTGCCTTACCTCCTAATAAAAATATAAAAAATAAAATAAAAAAAAGAAATGATTGAAGCATATCATGTCTCTAACAGCTCTTCCATCTCGTGCATCAGCAGGGGGGTCAGGAGTATTATCTAGATCTTTGGGGGAAAGAGTAGGACATTGTTTAATTCAGATTCAATTTAATTAATTTAGAACGCTGCAGCACGAGTACTGACAGGAACTAGAAAAAGAGATCACATCTCTCCTGTACTAGCTTCTCTGCATTGGCTCCCTGTAAAATGTAGAATTGAATTTAAAATCCTCCTCCTCACCTATAAAGCTCTTCATGGTCAGGCCCCTTCATATCTTAAAGAGCTCATAGTACCCTATTACCCCTCTAGAACACTACGTTCTCTGAATGCTGGGCTACTTGTGGTTCCTATAGTCTCTAAAAGTAGAACAGGAGCCAGAGCCTTCAGTTACCAAGCTCCTCTCTTGTGGAACCAGCTTCCATTTGTGGTTCGGGAGGCAGACACCCTCACCACATTCAAGAGTAGACTTAAGACATTCCTCTTTGATAAAGCTTATAGTTAGGGCTGGATCAGGTGAGTCCTGAACCATCCCTTAGTTATGCTGCTATAGGCCTAGACTATCAGGGGATTTCCTATGGTGCACTGAGCTCCTCCCTTCCTCTCTCTTTCTGCACTCATTCATGTCCCATTAATGCATGTTACTAACTTCACTTCTTCCCCAGAGTTCTTGTGCTTTCTCGTCTCGCAGGTTCTTATCGATCCTGGTGGAGCCTCCTGCCATGGTCCTGCTAGATTGCCGTTGCCAATACTGTTGTTGCTGTGCACCTGTCTGTCTGTCTGTCTGTCTGCCTGTCTGTCTGTCTGTCTGTCTGTCTCTCGCTCTCTCTCTCTCTCTCTCACCCCAACTGGTCGAGACAGACGACCACCCACCTAGAGCCGGAGGATCTGTCCTAGGTTTCTGCCTTTTAACAGGCAGTTTTTCCTTGCCCTTGTCACCAAGTGCTTGCTCGTGGTGGTACTGTTGGGTCTCTGTAATTAATGTTTTAAAGAGTTCAGTCTAGACCTGCTCTATTTGAAAAGTGTCCTGAGATAACTTTTGGTATGAATTGGCGCTATACAAATAAAATTGAATTGAATTGAATTGTTCTCTAATAGTGGCAATGTTGTGGAGAGCCACACATGCCGCTATAATGTCTCAAGCCCTTTCTGGGGTGACCCTGAGCCTACAAAGGCACTGGAACCGGGCGTTGAGTATCCCGATGGTCATCTCCACTCTGGCTTGTGTCCTGCAGTGAGCCAAGTTGTAATGTTGCTGTGGGCCAGGCTCAGGGTCAGGGTAAGGGGTCAGCAGATAGCGTTGGCAACTCTCCTATGAAAAAAAAAAAAAATTTTTTTTTTTATTTTTAAAAGGAAAAAAAAAAAAATTTATTATAAAAAATATATATATATTTTATATAAAATCACCCCGGGGAAATCTGGCACTCATTGTAGACTCTCGAAACAGTCATGGGTTGCATCACATATGATCTTCACAGTGGAGAACAGTAATTAGCTGTATAGTGAAGTATATTTCATTATTATACTATTTAGGCCTACCTGTACATTAATGCTGTGGACAGATCTCCTATTCACATAATCTCCTTCATTTATTGAAGGAGCTATGATAGGAATATGAGTGCCATCTATGCAGCCAATCACACCTGGAAACCCTAAAATATATCAAATTGACTGATTAGTGCTTCAAGTCTCAAAGCTTTATGACAAACTAATTATTGCTTAGACTGATACCTGCAATTCTGTGGAACTCTTCTTTGAGAAGTCTGGTGGGTCTGTGACTTGGGAACACTACAAACATGTAGGCTATAGTAGCCGTTTCAGTGCAAGTGTCACATTTCGGACAGCCCGACAGACAGTTGCCTTGGACACATGCTCTGCATCACCGATGTTATACAAAAAAACGAAGTGCAATACAAAGAATTTGCTCGGAACTGAGAGCGTGTCCATGATGTGTCATGTGTATGATGTGAGGACTGAGAATATTGTTTAGATAAATTATTGATGATGCAGAGAAAAGGAAACGCTCAAACAGGTACTCATCAGGGAATGATAAAACTTCCAATCGGGGTCCAATAATCCTCTCCCGATGGAGATTTCTGCGGAGTATCTGCGCCTCGACATCAACTGGCTCTTCAAGAAAAGGACACGCCATGTCTGCCACTGCCTTCAGTCTGCAGGCTTCAACTTAAGAGCAGGAGAAACTCAGGGTTAGTTGAAGAAAACCTGCCAGCGAGCAGGTTAGGTTCACGGAGTATGTTGCCAGGGTAGCTGACTCAAAGTTAAGCTGAACTGGCTTTGTGAAACCGAAAAACCAGTTTCCCTCACCTCAGACTGCGGTCAAGCCAGCCGTAACTTCGATCTCCGTGGTCAAATCAACCGCACGTAAATTTCGACTGTGCGATTATTCTCAGCATTACGGTAAATGCGAAGAAACAGCGTATTCACTTCCGGTTTTCAAAATAAAGGTATTATGAACATTAAGCTATAATTTGAACCTACATTTAAAATAAAATATGTTGCATTAAAGTTTTCCATGCGCCCATGATGAATAAAAAACACCTCGTATCGAGTATCTTTACTGCGCCAGTGTGGAGAAATGTCAAAATAAAAATCCCATATTTATGCCTCCAGAGATTGCATATTGCTCAATATTTCCTGGCTAAGGATGGTATATCTGACTTCTGCACATCTAAGACTACACACACACTCAACATCAAGCACTTTTACTGCAGCAATTTGGAGAAATTTAAGAACAAAATTCCATATGTGTACCTCTAAGTGGCATATTTGACCATATTTGAGCTACTGTAAAATAATATTGCTCAATATTTCCTGGCTAAGCATGATATATCTGACTTCTACACATCTAAGACTACACACATACTCAATATCAAGCATTTTTACTGCAGCAATCTGGAGAAATTTAAGAACAAAAGTCCATATTTGTACCTCCAAGTGGCATATTTCACCATATTTGAGCTACTGTAAAAACATGTTGCTCAATATTTCCTTGCTATGGATGGTATATCTGACTTCTGCACATCTAAGACTACAAGTATACTTGATATCAACCATTTTTACTGCAGCAATGTGGAGAAATTTAAGAACAAAAGCCCATATGTGTACCTCCAAGTGGCATATTTGACCACATTTGAGCTTCTGTAAAATTATATTGCTCAATATTTCATGGCTAAGGATGGTATATTTGACTTCTGCACATCTAAGACTACACACATACTCAATATCATGCATTTTTACTGCAGCAATTTGGAGAAATTTAAGAACAAAAGTCCATATTTGTACCTCCTAGTGGCATATTTCACCATATTTGAGCTACTGTAAAATAATATTGCTCAATATTTCATGGCTATGGATGGTGTACTTCACTTTTTACACATCTAAGACTGCAGTCACACTCAACATCAAGCATTTTTACTGTACCAATTTGGAGAAATTTAAGAAATAAAGTCCATATTTTTACCTACCAAGTGGCATATTTCACCATATTTGAGCTACTGTAAAAACATATTCGTCAGAATTTCCTGGCTAAAGATGGTATATTTGACTTCTACACATCTAAGACTAAACACATACTCAATATCAAGCATTTTTACTTCAGCAATGTGGAGAAAGTTAAGAACAAAAGTCCATATGTGTACCTCCAAGTGGCATATTTGACCATATTTGAGCTACTGTAAAAACATATTGCTCAATATTTGAGTGTGTGTGTAGTCTTACATGTTTAGAAGTCAAACATACCATCCTTAGCCAGGAAATATTGAAGAATATTATTTTACAGTAGCTCAAATATGGTGAAATATGCAACGTGGAGGTAAAAATATGGACTTTTGTTCTTAAATTTCTCCAAATTGCTGCAGTAAAAGTGCTTGATATTGAGTATGTGTGTAGTCTTAGATGTGTAAGAAGTCAAATATACCATCCTTAGCCAGGAAATATTGAAGAATATTATTTTACAGTAGCTCAAATATGGTGAAATATGCAACGTGGAGGTACAAATATGGACTTTTGTTCTTAAATTTCTCCACATTGCTGCAGTACACATGCATGATATTGAGTATGTGTGTAGTCTTAGATGTGTAGAAGTCAAATATACCATCCTTAGCCAGGAAATATTGAAGAATATTATTTTACAGTAGCTCAAATATGGTGAAATATGCAACGTGGAGGTACAAATATGGACTTTTGTTCTTAAATTTCTTCAAATTGCTGCAGTAAAAGTGCTTGATATTGAGTATGTGTGTAGTCTTAGATGTGTAGAAGTCAAATATACCTTCGTTAGCCATGAAATATTGAGCAATATTATTTTACAGTAGCTCAAATCTGGTCAAATGTGCCACTAGGAGGTAAAAATAAGGACTTTTATTGTTGAATTTCTCCAAAGTGGTACAGTAAAAGTGCTTGATATTGAGTGTGTGTGTAGTCTTATATGTGTAGAAGTCAGATATACCATCCATATCCAGGAAATATTGAGCAATACGTTTTTACAGTAGCTCAAATATCATGAAATGTGCCACTTGAAGGTAAAAATAAGGACTTTTATTGTTGAATTTCTCCAAATTGCCGCAGTACAAATGCTTGATATTGAGTATACGTGTAGTCTTAGATGTGCAGAAGTCAGATATACCATCTTTAGCCATGAAATATTGAGCAATATAATTTTACAGAAGCTCAAATGTGGTCAAATATGCCACTTGGAGGTACACATATGGACTTTTGTTCTTAAATTTCTCCAAATTGCTGCAGTAAAAATGGTTGATATTAAGTATACTTGTAGTCTTAGATGTGCAGAAGTCAGATGTACCATCCTTAGCCAGGAAATATTGAGCAATATGTTTTTACAGTAGCTCAAATATAGTGAAATATGCAACGTGGAGGTACAAATATGGACTTTTGTTCTTAACTTTCTCCACATTGCTGTAGTAAAAATGCATGATATTGAGTATGTGTGTAGTCTTAGATGTGTAGAAGTCAAATATATCATCCTTAGCCAGGAAATATTGAGCAATATTATTTTACAGTAGCTCAAATATGGTGAAATATGCAACGTGGAGGTACAAATATGGACTTTAGTTCTTAAATTTCTCCAAATTGCTGCAGTAAAAGTGCTTGATATTGAGTATGTGTGTAGTCTTAGATGTGTAGAAGTCAAATATACCATCTTCAGCCATGAAATATTGAGCAATATGTTTTTACAGTAGCTCAAATGTGGTCAAATGTGCCACTTGGAGGTAAAAATAAGGACTTTTATTGTTGAATTTCTCCAAATTGCTGCAGTAAAAGTGCTTGATATTGAGTGTGTGTGTAGTGTTAGATGTGCAGAAGTCAGATTTACCATCCTTAGCCAGGAAATATTGAGCAATATGTTTTTACAGTAGCTCAAATATGGTCAAATGTGCCACTTGGAGGTAAAAATAAGGACTTTTATTGTTGAATTTCCCCAAATTGGTACAGTAAAAATGCTTGATATTAAGTGTGTGTGTAGTCTTAGATGTGTAGAAGTCAGATATACCGTCCATATCCAGGAAATATTGAGCAATATGTTTTCACAGTAGCTCAAATATAATCAAATGTGCCACTTGAAGGTAAAAATAAGGACTTTTATTGTTTAATTTCTCCAAATTGCTGCAGTAAAAGTGCTTGATATTGAGTATGTGTGTAGTCTTAGATGTGTAGAAGTCAGATAGACCATCCTTAGCCATGAAATATTGAAGAATATGTTTTTACAGTACCTCAAATATGGTCAAATATGCCACTTAGAGGCACAAATATGGACTTTTGTTCTTAAATTTCTCCAAATTGGTACAGTAAAAATGCATGATATTGAGTATGTGTGTAGTCTTACATGTGTAGAAGTCAAATATATCATCCTTAGCCAGGAAATATTGAGCAATAATATTTTATCGTAGCTCAAATATGGTGAAATATGCCACTTGGAGGTAAACATATGGAATTTTGTTCTTAAATTTCTCCAAATTGGTACAGTAAAAGTCCTTGATATTGAGTGTGTCTGTAGTCTTAGATGTGCAGAACTCAGATATACCATCCTTAGCCAGGAAATATTGAGCAATATGTTTTTACAGTAGCTCAAATATGATCAAATGTGCCACTTGGAGGTAAACATATGGAATTTTGTTCTTAAATTTCTCCAAATTGGTACAGTAAAAGTCCTTGATATTGAGTGTGTCTGTAGTCTTAGATGTGCAGAACTCAGATATACAATCCTTAGCCAGGAAATATTGAGCAATATGTTTTTACAGTAGCTCAAATATGATCAAATGTGCAATCTCTGGAGGCATAAATATGGGACTTTTATTTTGACATCTCTCTACAGTGGCGCAGTAAAGATACTCGATATGAGGTGTTTTTTATTCATCATGGGCGCATGGAAAACTTTAATGCAACATATTTTATTTTAAATATAGGTTCGAATTATAGCTTAATGTTCCTAATACCTTTATTTTGAATACCGGAAGTGAATACGCTGTTTCTTCGCATTTACCGTAATGCTGAGAATAATCGCACAGTCGAAATTTACGTGCGGCTGATTTGACCACGGAGATCGAAGTTATGGCTGGCTTGACCGCAGTCACCTCAGGGTTAACTAACTCAGAGTTTTCACTAAACCTGCTTTCTTAAACGGGCCCCTGATATTGAACTGCTGGCCATATGGTTAAGGCCATACCAGAGCCAGTCTACGTCCTTATTAGACATTCTCTGGCCATACTATCTGCCCCGTGAGTTTACGGCCACTATTGTCGTCACTGTTTACATTCCTCCATCGGCAGTAGCGGCGCACGCCTGTGACGTCATCCACTCCACCGTTGCAGACCTGCAGACACGTCATCCCAGGGAAGCTGAAAGCCATCATGGACAACCCCACTCATCCTCTCCACGCTGAACGGAGGCAGCTCAGGAGCATCTTCAGCTACAGACTGACCCAGCCCTGTACCTCAAAGCGGTTTGGAGGCTCATTTGTACCATCTGCCATCAGACTCGCCACAGCACCCAGTACCTCCAACCCCAGCAGACAAAGACTGGTTAAGAACTCCTACCTACAATGCACAAACCTTTTGCACTATTTATATTTAATTTCCACTTTAGTAGTTTAGTAGTTTTAGTTTAGTTTAGTTTTTTTAGTTTTAGTCAAGTTTAATTCTCTGCTCATATTTTGGACTCCTTGTCCTACTTGAACAACAAATAGTCTATATACTTTATAGTTTTTATATCTTCGACTATTAATAATATTAGAAATATTTTTGTTTTCTGTTTTTGCGCTGCTTTTCCCAATTGCTGCTGTGTCAACCTGAATTTCTCCTTAGGGGGATAAATAAAGGAATTATCTATCCATCTATCTATCTATCTATCTATTGAAGGCAAAGTGACCTCGATTGTGACAGATGCAGGAGCTAATATGGTTCCCTCTGTCAGAAGTTTAAATCTAAGACATGCACTTTGCTTTGCTCATTCACTAAATCTAGTGGTGAAGAAGTCTCTTGATGCAACTCCTGGCCTAGAAGACCTCACACAAAGGCACGAAAAGTTGTCACATTCTTCAAAACCAGCACAACAGCAAAAGAGAAGCTCAGAGAAGTGCGGGAGCAGATGAACTGTCCAGTGATGAAGCTTATTCAGGAGGTGGACACACACTGGAACAGCACCTTCCTCATGCTACAATGCCTTTTCAAAGAGAGACAGTCAGTGGGGGCAGCTCTTGAGACGCTGAGAACCGATGTGAGACCTCTGTCCTCTGAGGACTATAAAACAGCTGCTGCATGCCTGCAATTGCTTGCCCCCTTTTACCAGGCAATAGTAGAGCTGTCTTAGGAGAAGAGAGTCTCAGGGTCAAAGGTTATTCCAATGATAAAAATGTTGATGTTATATTTATATGACACAGTGGGAAACATAAGCCACAACACCGCTAAACAACTGGAACAGAACTTGGTGTCAGTGATGCTCAACAAATTTGACACTACAGAGAACCAAACTGCGCTGACCCTTTCAACACTGCTGGATCCTAGATTTAAAACCATAGGATTCTACAAGTACAAGCATCAGTAAAACGACTGACTGCACAATGTTTACAACTAATAAGAGAACAGTCCCCCGCATCAGCTCAACCAGCACCAACATATGTTGGAATCATCCACAGATTGTTATAGTTAATTGATAAAATGCAGGACAAAATAAGTACTAGTTAAAAAAAAACAAATTGAAACCTTTCAGTACTGATTATCATGATGATATGAGGCAACTCTAGACAGAGATGCCTCAGAAGCATGGAGGGCAAGGAATGCCACAGCGTATGCCACAGTGGAGGTGCAGTGGTACATGACTGACCCACCGCTGGAAAGATCAGAAGACCCACTGGCTTACTGGTTGAAACATCAAAGTGTGTACCCTCATTTGTTTCTACTAACTAAACAGTTTTTATGCATGCCAGCATCATCTGTTCTGTGTGAGCGAGTTTTTTTCCAAATTTGGAAAAATTGAAAAGGATGTACCTTAATAAAAATCTTTGAGTGTTCCCCATCCCCCCCGTCGTAGTAACACAAGCACACCCAACTTATGCCATATCTTCCCAGCATTCTCTCCTCAATATTATTATTATTATTAATAACACAATACACACATTCATCAATCTTTATTTGTAAATAAAACATGATAAAGATAAGAATTTTCAAAGCAAAGATACTTTAAATCCAAGGGTGATCAAAGCAAAGATGCTTCAGAACAAAAGGTGTTTTCTACAAACAGTTTCTCCCAATACTGCTCATTGAGGTGCGGGTTCGTGCGCGCGCGTGCACGCGGGTATGTAATTAAAAGCCTCTTGTCCACCCACCAACCAGCCTGTCTAATTTGACTGCAGCCTTGTACTTTGCCAGGATAGGTCACTGTAACGGAAGCTCCGATTAATGAACCCATTTTCATTCAGTACTCTACCTCTTATAGGTTTACTGTGGCATTCTTACGTTAACCCTAACCAATCTCTCTCCTCATGCCTAAACCTGACCAACCAAACCAATAAAGACAACGAGTACTAGCCAAGAATAGGGTGGGTTATAAACTTCGCCAACCTGGGAGAAAAACTACATCCATAGAAAAAAAAATGACATCCGGTCATGAGACTGTCTCTTTTGGTGCATGCTGGGAAGTGTATTTCTAGGTTGCTGAATTGCCATTTGTTCGACGACAGCAAGTCGAGATAAAACTTCTGTTCCCAGAAACACCGCTGCTTTATTTCCCTATTACTTCCTTTCCACACTAAACAAGACAGCAAATGTCAGATTTGTTACGTTTGTAGCAGATAGTACCGGTCCAGTTCAATTAGTAAGGAATGCAAAACAAATATGTCTTTATATCAAGAGCGCATTTGTAGCGAAACGCTTTAAATGCAATGAAGAATACAATGGATTTTGTCTGCCTTGCTAATGAAGTAGCTGTTAGTAGCTAGTTTCTAAGTTAGCTAACAGAAGATGGTAGCTAACCTTAGTTCTATTGCCTGCTTTCATCCGAGGGAAACTCACACTAATATTAGCTAACTGGATGTTATGAATTAACCGCTAGCATCAGGTGCTCTTTTAACGTCTCTCCTGTCTGTTAGGTAGTAGCTACATCTTAATAAAAACTTCAGTGATGGAAGAAGTTGACAAAATTTTGATTCACGCCCTCAAACAAGTCGGCATGTAAGTATCAACATTTTATTAATTTACAGTTGGGTACAATGTCAGCTTGAAGTTAACGTTAAGTTAAGTGATACGTTAGCTGACTAATGTTAAATTTGGTAGTCAAAAACTATTCATGTAACGTTAGTGAACGTAAGCCCATCATATGATCAGAGATGATGTGGATTATTTAAGGCGAGGTTTGTGAGCTTGCATTGAACAAGATAAGTATGAGTAACGTTAGCTGTGTAACTAACTTGTATCTTGTGATCCATAGGGAGGCGAGCGAGGAGATTGACAGCATCAAACTGTTCAGCAGTGAGCTTATAGTGGAGGCGGTGGTCAGATGTATCCGGGTGATCGATCCAGGCCTGGGCAATGCGCTGCCCACCTCCCTTCCTCCAGGCATGTCCGCCCGCTTTAGAGTGGGCATGAGTCTGGCACAGTCCTGTCAGGTAAGACCCCTGCGAGCTCTATAATAAATCGACTTTATTTATACAGCGCTTGTCAAAGCAAAGTTACAAAGTGCTTTACATTTTTGAACCAGGATTAACATTAACATTTCAGGACTAAAATAATAATAATAATATCAGGCACTTAAAGGTCCAGTGTGTACCAAGTAGGCGAATCTATTGGCAGGAATGGAATATAATATTCATAGTTAGCTTTTCATTAGTGTTTAATAGCCTGGATATAGGAATTTTTATGTTTTTGTTACCTTTAGAATGAGCTTTTTATATCTACAGATGACAGGGGTCGCCTTCCATGTGTAATTCGCCAAGTTGAACTGACATGTCTCTACAGTAGCTTAGAAGCACTGACTCCACATAGAGGCATTCACAATTTTTTTGGCTACTGGAGTTTCTCTTTTGCACTTGGAAGGGGAGTGTGAAGCAAGGGGGTTGCAGTCTGCAACGACATCCCTAGATGCCACTAAATCCTACACACTGAAACTTTAAAATAATGCAGAAATAAAATTGGAATAGGTTTATTGTTTGTAGGCATTGTTCCTTATGTCTATTCTAAATAACCAAAGGGGTGGGGAATGAGGGTTCAGTTTTTTTTCTTTCTATAGGGCTACTATTTTATACAATACTATATTGGTGTGTATTTTATAATGCCCAATCATGGGAATTATTGTGATTAAAACATTTTCCTAGCATACAGTCCTATAAGGCTGTCCCCTAAAACGAGTAAAACTTAGTTAACAAGGAGGGTCTTAGTCAATGCACTTTTAATCCGTGGGATATACCTGTCACAGGGAGACCTTTTCTCTTGTAACCAGTGTTGGGAGTAACGCTTCACTGTAATTATTTTTAGCGGTAACTAGTAAAGTAATAAATAAATAAATAAATAAATAAATAAATAACACAATAACAATAAAAATCACATTCGATCAAATTTCAGATGAAGCGCAATTCATTTGAATAAATTATCAATAAAAACATGTATTACAGCACTCAGAAAAACACAATTTAAAAGTTCTATGCGATAAGACATTTGGTCCATGTCCGCATATCCTTGCTTCTAAATCTTGCTCTCTGATTGGTTATGGCATTTTAACAAGCTTCTGGCAAGTGGCCAGATGCGCTCCACTGCCTCACTTGGGTGGTAAGGTAACGTTAGCAAGTGAGTCTGCAGATTCATTGTTGTTGTACAAAGTCAGCAGAAGCACACTGCTTATTAGATGCTTTAGTTTCGCAATTATCAGCGCAGGACGACTTTGCTCCATACTTTGCTCACTATTGTCCTTCATTTTAGTAGTAAACAACTAGGTTAATTTACTGTCAGGTAATTACACTTTGATAATCAACCACATTTTAACAAATTTTGAATAAATGGTAAATGGACTGTACTTGTATAGCGCCTTTCTAGTGTTCCGACCACTCAAAGCGCTTTAAAACTATATGCCACATTCACCCATTTACACACATTCATACACTGATGGCAAAGGCAAACAGAAACTAAATCAGTCACTCACATTTACACACCCATGCACAGCATTGGGAGCAATTTTGGGTTCAGTATCTTGCTCAAGGACACTTTGACATTCAGTGGGAGGAGCTGAGGATTGAACCGCCAACCTTCTGATTAGTGGACCTCCTGAGCCACAGAAAAAAAAAGTGACAGTCCTGTTGTCTACTAACCAAGGCAGTAGGTGTAGCTTACAGGGAAGAACTCTACTTGTTGCTGCCCCCTGATGGTTGGGATTAATAATAACTAGATATATTTGTCCCATAGCAACACTCAAATAATATAGCCGACAGCTGTTTGCTTTAAAAAAAGAACTGAAACACACATTTAAAAGTAACTTTACAGAGTAATTAATAACTTTTATATACCGTACAGTAATGGATAAAGTAATTCACTTTTGAATGAAGTAACTAATTGCTATTTTTTAGTAACTTGCTATCACTGCTTGTAACACAGCACTGCTGCATGTGCTAACTTTCCCAGCTGCTGCCACAAGCTAGTTAGCGGTCTTAAAGCCTGAGTTTGAAGTACTGGGGGAGTTGATCACCCAACTGCTAAAATAGATTTAAATAATTAAATAAATATCATAAATGTTCGAAGACCAGTAGACTAATAGCTTGTTAATAGTCATTCCAAAATCCTAAGACTGTCACTGTCACTATGACTAAAGGCTCAGCCTTTATGTTGTATCCCCCACAAAAAAAGTTAAACTGAATGTGTGGAAATTTTATAAAGATACGATCTAGACCTGCTCAGTTCGAATTCCTATAATCCTGTTTATACACATCAGTAATCACCTTTGACCAGGTGCGATATGTGATTACATACTAAGTCCCAGTTACTGAGGTGAAACAAATTAATGCGTAACAATTGTTTGGCGCTATGAAAGGCAAGACATTCGCTGTGTTGTCCTTTTCCTGCTTAAAGTTTGTATGCAGTAAGTAAATAAAATAAAATAAACTTATAACACAGTAGCTACAGTAAACAGTGCAAACAGTAAACAGTGCAAATGGAGTGGAGTGCAAATGGAGGTAGAAATTGTCCATTGTCTAATTTCTATTGTCTATTGTCCTCCCTTCCTTGACTAAGAGCTGTTGTACAGTCTGATGGCCAGGGGGACGAAAGAGTTTTTGAGTCTGTTGGTGGAGCTGGATTGGGACAACAGTCTGCCACTGAACACACTCCTCTGCCTGGTGAAGGTGTTGTGCAGAGGGTGCTGGGCGTTGTCCAGTATGGACAGAAATTTGTCCAGGGTCCTTCTCTCTGCCACTGTCACCAGAGAGTCCAGCTCTGTGCCCACTACTGAGCCAGCTCTCCTCACCAGTCTGTCTAGTCGACTGGCGTCTCTCTTCTTGCTGCTTCCTCCACAGCATAAAAGAGGATGCTGGCCACCACAGACTGGTAAAACATCTGCAGCAGTTTTTTACAGATGTTGAAGGACCCCAGCCTTCTCAGGAATTACAGACGGCTCTGCCCTTTGCTGTGTAAAGTTTCCATATCTGCTGTCTAGTCCAGCTTGTCATCCAGCCGCAGCCCCAGATATTTATATGCCCTGACTAGGGCTGGGCGATATATCAATATAAAAAATATATCGATATATTTTTAAATGTGATATGGAATTAGACCATATCGCATATATCGATATAGTTCAGATTTGCCCTGTGATCCTTGCTCCAAGCAAGCTGCTGACCCTGAGCTCTCTGCACTGCTCCCCGCGCCCCCGCCACCACCGCTCCTCTTTCAATAACCCAACGTAATGTTTGTGTTCATATCCATAATTTAGACTGTAACGTTGTCAGACTGTTAGGTAAGCTAACTGTTGAGTAATTAATTGATGTTACAGTTAACTTAACGTGCTAACGTTAGCTAACGTAACGTTGGCGTGTGTGAGAGAGAGAAAGAGAGAGAGTGAGAGAGACTGAACATTTGCTCTCACTTTGCGGAAAAAATATCGGGTTATATATCGTATATCGATGTTCAGCCTAAATATATCGGGATATGACTTTTGGTCCATATTGCTCAGCCCTAGCCCTGACCACCTCTGCATCGCCCCCCTTGATGGACACGGGTTGGAGATGTGGTTTCTTCCTTCTGAAGTCCAGCACCCTCTCCTTGATCTTGGAGCTGTTCAGCTGCAGATGGAGAGACCTGCACCACCTCACGAAGTCCTCGACCAGGTTTCTGTACCCCCCCTCCCGTCCATCCTTGATACAGCCAACTATCGCATGTCGTACGAGTATTTCTGCATGTGGCAGAGCTAGGGGTGGGCGATATGGGCAAAAAATATGTCGTTATTTTGGGGGATTTTGGCGATAATGATAATCAGTCGATATCCTTTAAAATGTGATTGGAATTGTCTGAGTTAGGGCTTGTGTCCACCAAACGCGTTTTTAGGGCTGAGAGCGCTCAAAAACTCATTTTCCGAGTGCCCAGCGGTGTTAAAAGTTGAACAGATTTCAACTTGAAGCGCTCTGAGCGCTGCGCTAAAAAGTATTTTCGGAACTAAACCATTTCCATGCCAGAGAGGTAGACCCACGTCTTGGCACTAAATCATCTGAAGTACCGGTAGCTTCAGGGACTGGAGGTGCTTGCATTTTCTCTCTACCATCACAACACTGCTGCTAAACTGTTGCAAGGAGGATGCTAGCGAGAGGTCATGTGATCACGTCATGTGATCACGTAGGCCCACTAGTGGTGTGACTGAATCCTGCCATGCTGTAGAGAGCGTTGCTGCACCGTGTATTAAGTGGATGTGAGGAGTTTCCGCATGCGTTTCAATATTTTTGGCGAAGTAATTTGAATACTCGATAATGGAAATTTGCACATCGTCAAAACAACAATGGCGATATTATCGCAAACGATATATATATCGCCCACCTCTAGGCAGAGCCCAGAGTTATACTGGAAGTCAGATGTGTACAAGGTGAAGAGGATGGGTGAGAGCACGGTCCCCTGTGGTGCTCCGGTGCTGCTGACCACAGTGTCTGATGTGCAGCCCTTCAGTCTGACCTATTGTGGTCTCTCCGTGAGGTAGTCCGTAATCCATGTCATCAGGAGTGGGTCCACCCTCATCTCTGTTAGCTTGTCTCTCAGCAGGAGCGGCCGGATGGTGTTGAAGGCGCTGGAGAAATAAGAAAATGCGATTCTCACAGCGCTGCTCTCCTTGTCCAGATGAGAGTACGCCCTACGGAGCAGATAGAGGATGGCATCCTCCACGTCCTCCTTCTCCTGGTGTCCAAACTGCAGTGGATCTTGTGCGTGCTGGACCTGGGGGTCTGAGGACATGGAGCAGCAGCCGTTCGAAGGTCTTCATTATGTGTGACGTCAGTGCTACTGGTCCGAAGTCACCCGGCTCCCTGGGGTGTTTTTTCTTAGGAACCAGGATGAGACATGAAGTCTTCCATAGCACTGGGACCCTCCCCAGCTGCAGGTTCAGGTTGAAAACATGCTGGAGTAGCTCCCCCAGTTCAGCAGAACAGGCTTTAAGCATCCGTGGACACACTCTGTCTGGGCCCGCTGCTTTCTTTGGACGAAGCCTCCTCAGCTCTCTGCTCACCTGATCCTTGGTGATGGTGGTGGGGAGGGGGGTTGAACTGTCCATGGGTGTGGAGGAAAATTTGGAAGAACCTCTGCGTCCGATTTGGAAAATCCCAAAAATGCTGCTGCCAGTTCTGTCATTGTTAACCTTTTTCTTCTTCTTCTAGTGCGTAGAAATAGCAAAGTCGGTAGCCTTTCCTCAGTTGCGACACCTCTGTTCAGGAGAAGACTGCAACTAGTGGTGCGACCACCACGCACAAGTATAAATAGTTACGGCGCTCCCGTGACGTCACATTGTCGCGCTACAGGTTTGGAACGGTGCACTCAGCTGAAAAAAAAAAAAAAAACCTGGCGCACCAGCGAGATCTATGTCAGTTTGACGTCACATTGTCGCGCGACAGGTCGGGAACGGCGAGTATGTAGCAGCCTTAAAATTGGACATTCTAATACATGAAATCCCCTTGAATATGTGTTTCCTGAAAAAAAAAAATTGACCAAGGTTGAAAAATTTAAACAAAGCCCTTAATCCTATTGTTCAATACCCCCAATTTTGGTTAAGCCTGAATACACAGTTTGCAAAGGTTGATTGTGATTTAATTTTCACTTTGATGTTTGTAAGAGATTGATAAATACAGTTTTGAGAAGATACTCACTTTATCTATCAAGAATAAATCACATTGTCACAATCATTTCATGAGAAGAGGTAAAAAATATTTTATTCCAACTTTATGGGCAACAGTGTGTGTGTATGTGTGTGTGTGTGTGTGTGTGTGTGTATATATATATATATATATATATATATATACTGCTATATTTATGTTTTTTTTTTAACAAAATGTAAACTGATGTTTTCATGTCATTTTGTTGATTATCGGGAGAATATTTCAATTGTCAACGCAGTTATTGTGGCCAAGATAATTGTAACATGACCTTTTTTCGTATCGGAACATGCCTAACTCTGAAACTTAATGCAGACAAATGGACCTTCTAATCAGTGTTTGAATTGGAACAATAAAGGAAGAAGCAGCATGTGACTGAATAACCATCTTAAACTGCACATGTTCTTATCACTTGAAAGGTTAATGCATGAAAATCAAATTTTTGCCACACCGGTCCCTAGAAGGGCTTTTAAGAAAATAAAGTGGACAGTAAGGTAGAAAGAGGTAAACATAATACATAAAGATACATAAAACACACATTTAAAGATATAACATGAAAAAACTATACATGATTACACGATTGTTGCTGTAATCAAGTTTGTTAACTCTCTTTAAAGTGATGAACTTAAGAGCAAATTTCAAGTTCTAGGACTCCTGACAGAAAAAGCTGTTATGGAAATCGAACTTTACAGTTGCAACATTTAAAGACAAGCTTTGACAACTGACAAACTCAGTTGACAGCTGATATGTGGTTGAAAGCGCTGAAGCTATGAAGTGGAGCTTCAGTTAAAATATTTTTTTAAAGGAAAATAAAAAACACGAATGCCCTTATCTAGAGCCAGTGTTTGGTTTGTCCGTATTGGGCTACTGTAGAAACATAACGGTTCAACATGGTGGCGTAGATAAAAATGACTAATTTTAAGATAACTATAAGGGTTAGGGTTAGGGTAATAAATAAATAAAATATAAACAATAAAAACATACCTATGAATATTATATTCCATTTCTGACAATAGATCGTCCTAAATGTTATACACTGGACTTTTAATTATAAGCACACTTGTATGAGTCCCTGCCTGTAGTTCCTCAGTAGTATTCATAATATGTCAAACTGTTGTTTTCCAGGACATTGGTTATAAAGGAGAGATAGGCTACCAGACGTTTTTGTACAGCAACGAGCCAGAGATTCGCTCCCTGCTCATGTTCCTGGTGGAGAAGCTGCCCAGAGAGAGTGCGCAGTCCTCAGACCAACCAACAGGTACAACATAGAATACCAGTGTATCCATATGTTAGAGAGATGCTGAGTTTGAGCATCTTGGACCGCTTTCCAAAGACCCCGACCAAAATCGTCCAACTGGTGTGCAAAGCCAGAATGCATGGAAGTGGTTGTCCATGCAATAGACAAGCGTAGCGTGTAGACACCTGTAGCGTGACCCATATGTTACATTTTGTGTAAGGTTTGGAAATCTGCGAGAGAGGGGGGTGAATTTGTGGAAGTTAAAGAAATCAGTTTTCTCCTTTTAAGGTCTCTTTCAACTGTGTATACCACTAGTGACAGTGGTGGGGTAGGTTGTTTGCTGAAAAAGGTCATGAGTGAGCTGCCACTGACCCATGGCTGGTTATTCCTCTTAAACATAGGGTTATGGGTTATCGGGGCGGTTGTGGCAGAGCGGGTCGTTCCTTAATCTGAAGGTTGTGGGTTCGATCCTTGTATCCTTGAGCAAGATACTGAAGCCCAAATTGCTCCCGATGCCGTGCATTAGTTTCTGTTCGATGGACTTTGCCATCACTGAGTGAATGTGTGTGAAAGGGTGAATGTCTCACGTAGTGTAAAAGCGCTTTGAGGGGTTGGAAGACTAGAAAGGGGCTATACAAGTACAGGTCCATTTACCATTACCATTTATGGCAGATAGGAGTGAAAGTAGAAGGGGATAATTTGGTGTTAAGTATTTCACCAATGAGACAGTGAGAGTAGTACTTATGGTGTTGAAACTGAAGCAGCCATGGGTCCTTATTGATTTGTCTATAAATGCAATATGCTGAATAGGAAGATTCTTTACAGATGTTCTGTTTAATATCAATCCAGGCAAAGATATAGGGCACTAGTTGAAGCAATGTGTAGGGTCTTTGTTTTGGTTTTGCCGTAATTTGTTGTTGGACATGAGTACAGTTTTCTTCAGTTCTTCAAGGGTGAGTGATTTATCCATATTCTCAGTCTGTGTTGTGTTGAAGTTTGGAAGGGTGACATCCTCAGAAAAGCATCAGCTTCTATAGTTGTGGTGTCACTGTCAGGTGTGTATAGTTTTGATTAGTAACGTCTGAATGTCTGATTTATTGCTATGTAGTCTTAATTTTGCAATTAATATGCTGTTATGGTTTCTTTAGAGATATCGTCCATCTAGGTATTTTATGAATCATCCTAATCTGTCTTATATTCCTGTAGGTAAATCGGTGGTCCTCCAGAGAGCCATCGCTGCTGCAATTAAAGCCCAGCTGGCTGTGCCCTGGCTGCCTTCAAACTGCAGACTGCCAATGCACTGTGAAACACAAGTAAAGCCTTCAAAATTTTATTTTTATATCTGGAAAACAATTTGCATCCATTTTAATGGTGTTTTTTCAACTTCTGAACTGAATCATGTGTACATGAAATATACTAAAAGTACATTGTTGGCAGCTGAGGCTTGTGGGTATTGTAGTCATCTGCCATAACAAATTGATTTCTCAGTGTAATGGAAACAAGAAAAACAAATTAATACAGTAAAAAATTTCTATCGGTGAATTATCCTGAATATTAAAGGAAAACTTGTATTTTTTATTTTTTTAATACTGCTTATTAATTTTATACTATTTTGCAACTCTATAGGACAAATATGTCATCAAATAGGGGAAAGCTATTATGATGTTTGTTTTTTTATGACAAGTTCAGCTTCCTTCCTGTGTAGAGTCCAGGAGCATTTCACAGCTTCCATGTCCAGCCTCTCAGTTTACCACACTGCACAAAAGGTCTGGGACAGAAGCAGCTGAAAGGTAGGCCTCCTACTGCACATATTAGGGGCGGCTGTGGTGCAGAGGCAGAGCGGGTCATCCCCTAATCGGAAGGTTCGATCCCCGGCTCCTGGTGCCACATGTCGAAGTATCCTTGAGCAAGATACTGAACCCCAAATTGCTCCTGATGCTGTGCATCAGTGTGTGAATGTGTATGAATGAGTTAGTTTCTGTTTGATGGGCTTTGCCATCACTGAGTAAATGTGTGTGAAACGGTGAATGTAAATGTAAAATGTAGTGTAAAAGTGCTTTGAGTGGTCGGAAGACTAGAAAGGCACTATACAAGTACAGGTCCATTTACCATTTACCATACGTATGACCTTTCACCAAGTTTTGTTGTCATTATTTTGTACGAAAATTTCAAACTTTGCAGCAGCATTTGTAATACAATTCATGAATAGTTAACACATCGTTTGTGGATTTAATAAAAAAAAACGAATCTATAATTATACTTTGTAGTTATAATATTAGCTTTTAGTTAGTGGAAAATGTAGTGGCAAAATGTAAATGTAGAATGAAGGTAAACGGGAGCTGATGGCTGGTCAACTTTTGACTACTGATTTTGTGGAAATGATGCCAGGAGAAGCCAAAGCTCTGCATCACGTAACAAAATGTAACATTTTGGGTTCGATTCAGTTCAGTCAGGTTTCTGGTGAAATCACTGCATGAAGAAAAACTCTTTGCATTACACGTGGTAAAGAAAGTGTAAAAAAGTTTGTCTGATTTCAGAGGTAAAGGACTTCCAGTGGGACATTCTTCCCCCTGTGACTGCCCAGCCTGCCCATCATGCCTCAGTTGTGGCATCCATATTGGAGCAGCACACAGCTGAGCTGAGCGCTGCTCAGGAGTGGGACATAGAGTGGAACAGTCAAGGACTCCTGTCTCGCCTCACACCACAGGCAAATCATTATTCTCAATTCAATCATATTCACTTTTCAGACAGTTTTAGATGGTTTCCTTGTTACTGTTGTGTAACTTCGGCTGCCATAAAACAAGTGTCACAGAGGAAAAAAGTACTACCTGAAATTTACTGTAAGATGTTTGTTGTCATATTTGCTGAGCAAAACTCTACAGAAGTAGTACAGTTAAAGAGCAGTGATTTAAGCAAAAAGGCCCAGCTATTATTAGAAGATTTACGGTATTGCAGCCACATGACAAGGTTGGTTGGCACAATGTTAAATGCTATGGTTGCAAGTCACAATATCAGAAATTTTGTATTTTATACCAATAGTAGCGAAATTCCACAATTTGTGATTAGGGTGGGGATGTGAGAAGACCATGATAGGTTCTCTGTGATGTTGATTCCCAGGAACATAAAATTTTTCAGCTGTTCTACCTCAGCACCAGCAACTGATGTAGAAATTAGAAGCAAGTGGAATCTATCTACCCATAGATACATAAGCATGTATACTATATGTAAGGAATGATGCCAGAGGAGGTGGCCATTATCAGAAATTAATAATTATTTCAAATGTAAATAATACATTTGGTGTCTGAATTATGCAGTTTTTATCTCTGTTAAAAGCCATTATTGAAGGAAAGAAGAAAAACATTAATATGACAGGTGATTCCAAACTTATGAACTGTAGTGTACATAAAAGGTTAGTGTTGGATGCCCTATGCCTTTTCAGGAAAGGCTGCAATGCTGACTAACAAATGAGTTTGTCTGTTGATGAACAGGAGTATCGCTCCAGGAAACTGAACCGGCTGCGTAAACGCATCGAGGAGCAGCTGCGCTCTGCTGCACTGCCCTTTCCTGAAAGTGCCTTGGGTGGTCCATGCTCCACCTCTGACTTGTCTGAGCTACTGCAGAACTTCAGAGGCTCTGCCCCCTCTGACCACGTCCTGACAAAGGGGACCCACTTCACCCACACCCAGAAGTTTACCTTCGCTCAGGTGAGGAGCACTCCATGGACAGAACCTAAAATAGAGGATGTTTAGGAGTTTAATGCACTTGTGTGTGTCCTCCAGGAGGCGGCTGCAGTAACCAGCTCCATCCCCACTGGGCATCAGTCAGAAACTGATATCCAGCTCCATCAGCAGGAGGAGCTGACTTCACTCCAGCAGCAATTGCAGCAGCTCTGCAGTGATGTTGACCAGCTAGCTGCAGACATGAAGCACATGAGTGTCACTAATACACAGGTAAAACAAACACACACACCTCAGCTTATCCTGATGGACTAATGATGTAACCTAGACATGATTTACTTATTGTAAATGGCCCAGCTGTTCACTTGCTCTTCTAAACCAGCAAATATTTTGTGTTTGGAATTGAGGAAGACTGACATGATGATGGTAAATGGTAAATGGACCCGTACTTGTATAGCACCTTTCTAGTCTTCCGACCACTCAAAGCGCTTTTACACTACGTGCCACATTCACCCTTTCACACACATTCACTCAGTGATGGCAAAGTCCATCAAACAGAAACTAACTCATTCATACACATTCACACACCGATGCACAGCATCAGGAGCAATTTGGGGTTCAGTATCTTGCTCAAGGATACTTCGACATGTGGCACCAGGAGGGGATCGAACTGAGCCGGGGATTGAACCCACAACCTTCCGATTAAGGAACGACCCGCTCTGCCTCTGAGCCACAGCCGCCCGTAATATATAATAATGTAAGATAATGTCAGTTTTTATATATATCTTTATTTTGGTTTCCAACTGTGAATCTACACATGCACTCAAACACAAACCTGTTAACAAATAAAGCAGGACCAACAAGGACCATCTTGTTTGTTTTATTATGTTTTTCTGGGTTGTGGGGTTTTTTACATTAGGAGATTAGACAAAATAATCCTGCACATGTATTTCATGAGAAATACAGGTGCGTAGGAGTGGGATAGGTAGATCAAAAGCTACAAAAAATAAATGCTGTCTAACTTGCAATATTTGTTTGCGATATTTCAGAACTACACCTTCATCAAATAAGGTCTGATGAAGGTCTAGTACTAGTGCCCACCACCCAGTGAACACAGGTTGCTGTTGAGAATCCAGTGAGAAATCAGGCCCTCCTGGATGGATCTTCTCACTATTATTATAATTTTTCCTACTTAATGGTGCTCAACCATTATTGAGTGAGTTGAGTGAATTGACACTTCTCTTTTGTCTTTTGAGTCCTACCCTTCCTTTCATTAAAGATACTTGAAGTAATAAAGTATTCATGATCAAACATTTTTAAACTGGGAGGTAGATAGAGGGAAGTCCTTACTCAAATAGGGGATATCGTTATCTACAGTGTCCAGTTGTCTCGATTCTATCTGATGAGGGGGCCACAATGTCAGACCTGCCTGTAGATGAGGAGGTACCAATGAGTTAACACTGATGTATTTGGAATAATGTGGAGTAGATGTGAGCTTCCATAACAGGAGGTACAAAATGCATAATTATTGTTTCACATGTGCAATGTGTTTTGGTGTAGGTTTTGGATGAGCTGAAGCATAGGGAGCAGAGAAACTCTGAAAAAGAGGAGAAGATGCAGGTGAAAAAGAAAACAATCGACCTTTTGCCAGATTCAGACAACAACCTGCTAAAGCTTCAGGTAAGAGGGCTGAGTGAGGTCTCTCTCATCAAACCCAGCAGGAAACTCAGACATAGTAGAAACGTGTGTCTCTTGCTCCAGGCTCTGGTGGAGGCCAGTGCCAAGCGGGTGGTGAACCTGGCCTCTCAGTGGGAAAAACACCGTGCTCCACTCATTGACGAGCTCCGAAGACTCAAAGAAATCTGCAGCAACCAAGATGTAAGTAGTGCCTAACAACACATTTGTCACTTCATTTGTTGCAGTAGAAACTCAATTCGATTGTGCTCATTTGTCTCCATTTTCCTTAGCTGGAGTCATCCAGAAAGCTGTCTGAAATCAAGTCTTTGCATGACAGAATCCGTGTGTCTACAGATGAGGCCAAGAAGAAGGAAGAAATATACAAACAACTGGTAATGGACTAAAATTCTACATTTCTTTTGAAAGCTAGTAAAGAAGTTTTAGATTACCTTTATTAGCGCATCTGTACTCATAGGTTACTTTTGCAATTGTCACAGTATTGTTTTAAATTCTGTCACAATTGAGTTAGGAATTGCAGTTAGTTTTCTGTTAGCACCTTGCTGGTTGTACTTAATGTGTGTTTGATTGTTTGTATTGTGCCTGTTCTCTTCCAACATAGGTAACAGAGTTAGAGAATCTTCCCCAGGATGTGTCACGGTCAGCATACACTCAGAGGATTCTAGAGATTGTCAGCAACATCAAGAAACAGAAGGAAGAAATTACAAAGGTAAATCTAAAAGCAAATTACAAGAAGCTGAATTTCTCTGGGCATAACTAATATGTAAAGCAAGCAAGCAAACGCAGCTAGTTTGAATAGACCCAGTTGGAGACAGGTGGCCTTCTGTGAGGCCTCATAATATATTCTGACAACTTTGATTTTTGTGCTCTGTACAGCAGTGGCCCAATCATGGTAGCATTTAAAATGGCAGCATTTTGAAGAAAAATTAATTAATTTCAGTGAAGTTACTGCAATCAGTGTGTGCTGTGTATCAGCTCATCAACACTGTGCTCACTTTGCTTGCAGATATTGTCAGACACTAAGGAGCTCCAGAAAGAGATCAACAACCTAACAGGAAAACTGGACAGGACCTTTGCTGTGACTGATGAGCTGGTCTTTAAGGTAGCAGAGGTTTTTTTTTTATCAGCACCCTTGTTCTGTTTTAGTTGTCTGGCTGTAAAATAACTTCAATATAGAGTAACTTCTCACAACTAACTTAGTGATGTGAATCTTCTCAGGGTGCGGGATTCATTTGTATTTCATACCCAGCATCAATCCAAAGCAGCTGAATTCCCATTATTTTTTCGGCTGCAGACATCATGCAAAGATGCAGCAATCTGATACTGATTATATATGAATATTGAATATTGGTCCGATACTGACTGGAATAGCTGGATGAGATATTGTGATAAATTGGTGACAATAGGTTGGATCTACGGTCAAATTTATTCAGTTCCATTCTATGTTTACGTGTGCATACTACATCATGCGTCAGCAGTGTGCTGGTAGACCAGTACTTGTATAAATGTAACAGCCATGTCACTCACTCACAAATAGTCATACTTTAAATGTAACTATTCTGATAGCTCCCTCCCTCTCAGAAAATGTAAAAAATGCATCAAAGACCTGCAAGGGTGTGACCTCAACACAGACCGCAGTGATTGACAGGCTGATCACAGCAGTTTAATAATGAGTGTCTGCATGCAACAGTGAAGCATGGCGGAGGTTCCTTGCATGTTTGGGGCTACATTTCTGCAAAAGGAGTTGGAGATTTGGTCAGGATTAATGGGGTCCTCAATGCTGAGAAATACAAGCAGATACTTATCCATCATGCAATACTGTCAGGGAGGTGTATGATTGGCCCCAAATTTATTCTGCAACAGGACAACAACCCGAAACATACAGCCAATGTCATAACAGTTTTTTTGTCTTCATGGAGTAAAGGGATGTTCCATTTATTACGCAAGTGAATGTTGCTGTTTTATGTGTTTTTGGACTAACTAGTTTTTTTATGGTCATTTGTAGGATGCCAAAAAAGATGAATCCGTTCGCAAATCCTACAAGTACCTGGCTGCCCTGCATGAAGTATGTCATCACTGTTAAATTTCTTCAATTTTATCTTTAGGGCTGTCCCTGACTAAAGATCTTCCTAGTTGACTAACAGTCGTTAGCTAGCCAATAATTGACTGGTTGTCGCACCTTTATACTAATTAAATGATTTGTGAAAATATATGCGGTTGTGTGGGGCGGGATAGAGCGGGTCAAATTATTAAATAAATGCGGGACCCGCGGGTTGGAAAAAACCCGACCTGCGCATCACTACCGCACATACAACAGTGCGCATTAGGGGGGCAGCCCTATTCATCTTAATCTATAGCTCTTATCAGAGAATGTGTTATCATCTTTCCATCCTGCATTCCTCTATAGAACTGTAATCAGTTGATCCAAACCATTGAGGACACCGGTACAATCTTGAGAGAGATTCGAGATTTAGAAGAACAGGTAGGATTTACTGTTTAATTGATTCAAGTATTATTGTTACACCATCATACATTCTAACATTTTGTGAAATACTTGTCTGTTGTGTCAGTCAGAGGTGTACAGAACATTTACATTTTTACATCTTAAATTGTCCACAGATTGAGACAGAAAATGGTAACAAAACTGTGGCTAACCTGGAGAGGATTCTGGATGACTACAAGGCTATTCGACAGGAGAACTCTGCACTTGCTGCCAAAGTCAGAGAAGGCTGAAGGGGAAGCCCCGGCTTGCTCCGCTGTGCCTGCTGAGGCTGAAGTTGTTAAAAACCTGGAGCCATAGATGGACTTGAATGGCACTTAAACAGCGCTGCAGTTTTCACACTGAAGACATTATCAGCACACTCTGTTGCCATACAAGATTGCTTTTCTTTGGAAAGGCAAGCAGATATTGGTACCATGGAACACTTTTTAATCGAAAACCTGTGGATGGATGAAGATGTCAATTATTTTTTCATTTCAAACTGATTTCTATAGCTGGACGTGCTCTTTGAGGGTCCATGCACTGGTTTGATCACTCTGTACCCAAATGAAACATCACACTGGACAGCAGAGGGTGCTGTCAGATCTTTTCTCTTCGAATGTAAACTGCTTCGTAATTAAATGTTTTGGTAAGATATCTTGATTAAAATCAAATCTTTGACTTGGAATTTTTAATACATGAATTATTCAACCATTTTCAGACAGTAGCAGTTCCTTCGTTGTCATGATATTTGAACTGAATATGTTGAGTAAATGGCATTGAATGTTGTCCAGCTCCATCAGCAAGGTATTCTTGTATATATGATACCAGCTTAAATAAAGATGTCTTACTTAAAGAGCAGCTCTTATTGTAACCCTCCATTGAGTGGACCTACTGTCATCTATATTATCTACACCAGTATTGATCAGTGGTTCCTAACCTGCACAGGACTCTAATGAGGGGTCACCAAAACTTCCCTGGGGGTTGCAAGTCCTTGATTTTAAGGAGTTTAATAAAACAAAACAATATATATACAGTTGACTATATCAAATGAATTGTCATTTTTATAGTTATAGATTAGATTATTATTTACTTTTCAAACCTGAACATAGCTGGACATATTCACAGAGCCTTCATTCTCTGCTAAACAGCCTCACCCTGCATTAGAAATGTACGCAGTTAAAAAAACCAAAGAGCTAATAGATGTGTCAGGGAGAAGAAAACACAGTTTGTCAAAAAACCTATGATGGTTTAATAAAATAGAAGAAGAAAACATAATACACAGACTTGTATAAAAATGTATCTTAAAAACATACATAAGGGACGCCCGCTTAGCTCAGTTGGTAGAGCTGGCGTCCCATATACTGATTTAAAAACCGAGCCAGGGTTCAAGTCCAACCTGCAGCCCTTTGCTGCATGTCATCCCCTTTCTCTGCCCCCCCTTCCTGTTTGTCTTCAGCTGTCACTATCATAAAGGCAATAAAAGCCCCTAAAAAAACTAAAAAAAAACAACATCCGTAAAACTGATGACATATTCTGCTAGTCTAACAACTGCTTTAACTCGAACTTCTTACAGTTAATTGTACAGTTTATCAGTTGTTCTGTACTATTTTCGTTACACTCTGAATATAATATGAAATAAAATATGTCACAGGCTTTCCACACATCCTGGAAAACCTGGAAATTCAGAGACTAGTTTTCCAGTATTGGAAACACTTGGAATTTGATTTAAAGGCCTGGAAATCTTCAATTGTATTTTAGCTCCTTAATCAGGTCTGCAAAATATTATAAATTTGACTTGATTTGAACTGTTACTCATGGATCGCTGCAGAAAAATCCGCTGTGCTGAAAACAGCCAAAAGTGAGCTAATACAGTGTCCTATAAATACTGAACACTTACCTATCCTTTAATGTCAATAACAACTCCTGGAAAATGTCATTGAAAGATCCCGGAAAATTATTTCTTAAAAGGAGTGGGAACCCTGCACTTAGTCAAGGGTTGTAATTTTACTCAATGATAGAAAAGGGGTCCCTTAGGGTGTTAGGTGTTTTTGGATGTGCTAATCAATTATTGATCCTGGGTAGAGACACCAATTACACTGAACTGGGCAAATTCTTATTATTGTAAACTCAAAACCTCACCCTGATTTTGTTACCCAATACTGGCCTACTGTTGACTCAAGTTAGAACAGAGTGATTGAAAAATGACAAATAGTATGCCACTCTTGTCTGCTGTCATATGCCATATATTCGACATGTGGACTCTGCACGGTGCATTTTTGGAGCACTGGGGGGCAAAAAGATTCCAAGACAAATGGACTGAAACACAGTCCCAGTATACGAGGCTTGAAGTCGTTATGGCAAACAGTTGCTCTCCAACACATCCAGCAGACATAGAGCAACAGGAGTATTCTAGAGTTCTGACATGGTTTGTGTTCCCTTCTACCTGATAATATTAAATTCAAAATTATTGTTTATTGTAGTTAAAATTTATTTTGGTGCATATTTAAATCCTATACAATAGCATTTTATGTTTAACATTAAATTGTGATTAAAAAGCATAGTTTTTGTTGTATGCCAAAAATGAATAAGACAGGTTTCAACTGTTGTGAACTTTTATTAAATATCCCCATATGCTGTCCAGAATAAATTCACAAATGAATTAAATACCAAATTAATTGGTTCACAGTTGCATAAACTTCATGAGAGACTTTGGCTGATGGACGCTAGCTATGTCTTCCAGTTTACAGAATGACAATACACATACTTAAATTGAAGTGAATTATCCGAAGATATTTGTTCGGTTACCCCATGTTGTATGGCTCTCAGATGGAAGTAAAAATTATGGAATAGAAATAATTGGACTGTAATGATAAACACTGATGGTGTCTATCTTTGAATAGCAGTTTAATCAAGCACATATCAAATCAATTTTGCATCGAATGTTACTGATAATTAAACATGCTTTTTGCATTTAGACATTTCTCCAATTGGCTTTTAATATCGCTATTATTATACACCACATTTAGCCTCTGCTAAGGTTAATAGCTTGTAGTGGTTGAGGGGCTTCCATGGTCAACATGTTCATCAGCTCTCATGTAGAACATTGGAACCCCACCTGTGAAGGATTCTGGTGGTATATATCAACCTGGGTGGGTGATAGGACAAAACCGGGCTTCTCTCATCATGCTGGAGAAACGGATTGTCCAAATGATTAATAAAAACAGTCCCACAGAAGCCACGAGCCTTCCAGTAGTAGGTTAAATCTTCCAGAGGACTGGAGGAGGGGCACAATAGTGGGCTGCTGTTGCTGTAGGTTTTGGGGGTTGCACTTTAATGGCCACCGAGACTTCGCTTTTCTCCACTTGTCCAGTCAAGCCCAATGAATGTCAGGCTCATGGTCATGAATATGAAACCCAATGCTGTAAAACACGCAGCCTGAAAACCAAAGAAGATACATCAACATATTCACTAGACCCACTGTTCTCCTGGCTGATATTCATTGTGTTGGTTATACTTCTACTAACTGTGTTGAGTCTCTTCCCTCTCAGATAGGAACCTACCTGGATCTTTGGTCTGGAATTCATAGGCTCCTGGTTGGTGGGGATAATGCGGATGTAGAACAGTCCAGGAAGGATAAAGATCAGACTGGGAGCAGTGGTTGCCCCTAGACACAAAGGAGGCACAATAAAAAATCCTGGATCATTGATTTGTTAAATGCACTTCCTCAGAGCTTATATGGTCGCCATGGCCCAGTATTTTAAAACCTTTAATCTAGATCACAAATATCCAGAGTAAACCCTTTTTTAAGATAAAGATAAGTCAAAGATAAAGCTGGTCTTGCAGGTTTGTCCTGATTTTTTTAACACGGAAAAGAAAATGTTTAGTGTAAAAAGTGTAAATCAGCTATATATGACCATCTCTCTGGTAACTATCATTGTATCTATTATTGTTGTTTTTCCCCTCTCTTTTCAATTTTTGTTTTGTTAGTTTCCAGAGTGGGTTTGCTCATTTCAGTTTAGTTTTTAGGCGTTCCAGTGATGGTTTTAGTTATAAATGCTTAACTAACGCATAATAGTGTGTACTCATTTTAAAGTGTTACCCTAAGTCTAATATCCCACCAGTAATGCCAAAGATGTCTCGAATGTTGGGAACGAGGATGACCAGCAGGTTGACAGCAAACAGAAGACACACAGCAATGGTGATGTGACTGAGCCAGTGGAAGGGTCTCCCTGGAAAAAGCAGCTGCAGGAGGGCACGACGTATCTGAAACACAGATGAAAGGATGCATAATGCTGCTCATGTATCAGACCAATGTATCAAACAACACTAAAATAAAGAAAAACTATGTGTCAGAAATCACAGTAAAGAAACAGGTGAATTATCTTATTTAATGGATGTATCATGTACACACAGTTCAAGTATTAATCATTTAATCAGTAATCAGAATTATCAAACAACTCAATTCAAATTATCTAACAACTCAATTCAAATTTACTCAATACAATCTGGAGCTGGATGACTCAATGTATCAGATCCTTGCAACTGACCCACATTTGAGCCAAAATCAACTAATTAATTTATCTCTGTTCCAAAACTCAACCTCTAACTTTACTCCATCATTAGTTACATGGCAACAGAATTTGTTTCTCTCTGCACTGCTTCAGACAATGGACTTGTATTATTAGATCTTAGTGCTGCATGTGACACCACTGACCATAATATTCTTTTACAGAGACTTGAGCATCATATTGGCATTAAAGGAACCGCACTAAGCTGGTTTAAGTCATATTTATCATATAGTTCGCAGTTTGTACATGTTAACAATGAATCTTCAATAAATACTAAGGTTAGTCATGGAGTTCCACAAGGTTCTGTACTTGGACCAATACTATTTACTTTATTTAGCTCCCTTTAGGCAAAATTATTAGGAATCACTCCATTAACTTTCACTGTTATGCAGATAATACGCAGTTATATCTATCAATCAAGCCTGATAAAATTCATCAATTATCTAAATTACAAACATGTCTTAAGGACATAAAATCCTGGATGAACTGCAATTTTCTGATGTTAAACTCAGAAAAAAATCTTAGAGACTCACTGTCTAAAGATATAGTAACTCTAAATGGCATTACCTTGGCCTCTAGCACCACTGTCAGGAATCTTGGAGTTATCTTTGATCAGGATTTGTCATTTAATTCTCACATGAAGCAGACCTCTAGGACTGCCTTCTTTTATTTACGTAATATACAAAAATTAGACACATCCTATCACAGACAGATGCAGAAAAACTAATCCATGCATTAATGCATGTTACTAACTTCACTTCTTCCCCGGAGTTCTTGTGCTTTCTCGTCTCGCAGGTTCTTATCGATCCTGGTGGAGCCTCCTGTCATGGTCCTGCTAGATTGCCATTGCCAATACTGTTGTTGCTGTGCACCTGTCTGTCTGTTTGTCTCTCTCTCTGTCTCTCTCTCTCTCGCTCTCTCTCTCTCTCTCTCTCTCTCTCTCTCTCACCCCAACTGGTCGAGACAGACGACCACCCACCTAGAGCCGAAGGATCTGTCCTAGGTTTCTGCCTTTTAACAGGCAGTTTTTCCTTGCCCTTGTAGCCAAGTGCTTGCTTATGGTGGTACTGTTGGGTCTCTGTAAATAATGTTATAAAGAGTTCGGTCTAGACCTGCTCTATTTGAAAAGTGTCCTGAGATAACTTCTGTTATGAATTGCCGCTATACAAATAAAATTGAATTGAATTGAATTGAATTGCACTGCTCTCATCTAGAGTGGTTATTAATGAGTCTTATTTTTCACTTCAGTGTCTTATTGTTTGTACTGATGATAAAACACGTTGTTCAATAAAATTACAAATTGTACTGATGATTCAACCAGTAGAATTCCATGTCCATTTGGCCCATTTCCAAATTCAGGAATGTATGGAAGCAAATTGCATTCATCAAAAATGACCAAAAAGTAATTATACTTCTCTATCTCATAATTATGACTTAATATCTCATAATAACAAGAGAAGATCTCCTAATAATTTCATCTCAATTCTGTGACCTGATAAGGAATTTGCTAAATACTCAATTCAATTAAGTTTTTTTGTATAGTGACATAACCAAAGGACACTTTTCAAATAGAGCACGTCTAGATTGTAATCCTTATGAAATTAATAACAGCAGTTAACTGCAAAGAAATATTTCCTTTTAAGAGGCAGAAACCTCAAGCAGACCCCAACACTAGTTGTGATTAGAGAGAGGGAGAGAGGAGTGGGTGTGGGGGGTAAAGAGACAAAGACAGAGACAAAGATGCACAGCAATAACAATAGCAACAATAATAATAATGATGTATTTTTCAATTACTTTATAATTTGTTTTTCTGATAGCAATTTTGCTATCCTGATGTTCTGATTATGAGACAGTTTTCTTGTAATTAGTTGATTTATATCTTAAATATGAAAGTTTACACACAAATTACCACTCAGTTTTGTTTTCTTTGGTAACTGCAATACACTTCTGTAGAGATTCACTAAATGGACATGTAATCAGTGAATGAGAGAAGTATTTATTAAACCTTCCCGCACAGATGTTCCAGCAGCTAGCTCCCCTCTTTTCCTGGTAGGCTTTTAATGTGAAATATCCACAGGAAGTAGATGGAAATTGTTACATCTCTGTTGTACTAAATTAATTAGTGCTGTGGAAGTGTGAACTACTGTACTGCAGGTACTTCCACCTTTTTTTTTTTCAGCATTTGAGATTTAACAAAAACCCTGTCCACTTTACTTCACAAGTAAGGTGGACACACAAGTATCTCAGGTTAGTGTCAGAGTATGTCAGATTGTGTGTGAAGACCAGATATGTTCTTACAGGAAACAAGACCACAGGTACAGTCAGAGTGACGGCCACCAGGACAGCCAGCCGAACACACAGGATCAGAGTGTCCAGGGGATCCACCTTACTGTAGGTATGAAGGAGCTCTGCTTCTGTGTTCTCTGCACACACACACAAATATAGAATCAGTGAGACCTCACTGTCATTAAACTGAGCTATGTTTTGCAGCTGACTTAAACATATGTTGCCTCACCGTAGAAGGTCAGATAGCCAAATATGGCAGTTAAAAAGTACATGATGAACATGCCCAGGATGGAAACATTGCCAATATTCTGCATTCTTCTCTTGGTTGGGCTTTAGGAAAACAAAATTGCAGATGTTTTAGCACGACAGCACATGAAGTAAAGAGAGGGAAGCATGGTTATATCTATAGTTCATTTTCAAAAAAGCTTATACTTAAAGATAATATAGCTATAGTTCCTAAATGTAAAATTAACTGTATTCATTGATTTTTGGCCACTTTTGGAACCACTTAAGTGGTTTAGATAATCTGGAGAAACTGTCGGTATTTTTCAACTTGACTGATCTTTTCACCCTTCTCCCAAAGGTCATTATAACTGATGGTTACTGATGGTGGCCAAAACCCACATAAATCCTTTAATTGTGTTGATTTGAATGTAAGAATCTAATAATGTGTTCATCTTACTTGCTCAGTTCAGTGTAGATGGGAAGCACTTCAGGGTGACATACAAAAGCAAATGCCAGGATGGGGATGGTATATGCCGTCTGCAAATCAGGCAACAGAGTAACTTTACTTGGTTGTTTTCCAGGAAGCACATGAACTCTACACTACCCTGTGTAATAAGATGCACCCACAAATAGTTCCTGACCATACACGTGTTGAGTGCACACTGCAGTCCTCTGAACAGAGCTCCTTACAAATGAACAGTTCAAATTGTGATTTTTGTGTGTGTGCTTGAAACTGAGGTAGTTAATCTCAGACCTCTTGGTTGATGGTGAAGAATTTGATGGTGCATGTGTCTTCTGGGATGGCTGCTGTGTCCACAGAGTAGTTTCCAAACACTTCCAGAGGGCAAGCAATGTTAAATCTCTTGTAGATGACCTGATGTGACACAAAGAGAGAGTCTTTTCCTCGTGTCTTTCACTTCATGTCCTTTTGGACTTTCTGGATTTTATTTCTGTTTTGGATTGCTACATCATTTTAAGTAAGTTTACATTTAGTTTAAATTTGGTAGTCAAGTCCCTTGTAGTCACTGCATTATGATAACAGCAACAACATTATTTATTTACATAATAGTGTGTGCATGCAAGCGGGTCGTCCACTAATCGGAAGGTTGTTGATTCAATCCCCGGCTCCTCCTGCCACATGTCGAAGTATCCTTGAGCCGAACCCCAAATTGCTCCCAATGCTGTGCATCGGTGTGTGAATGTGTATGAATGAGTCAGTTTCTGTTCGATGAGCTTTGCCATCACTGAGTGAATGTGTATGAAAGGGTGAATCGTGACACGTAGTGTAAAAGCGTCTTGAGTGGTCGGAAGACTAGAAAGGCGCTATACAAGTACAGGTCCATTTACCATGTAAATCTAGTTCTTCATTCCAAAATATATAATATATAATTAAATAAATAAAAATTGGATCTTACCCAATACTAAAATTTTGGTATTTTAATTGTTTTTAAATTAAAGGTCCAGTGTGTAACATTTAGATCTATTGGCAGACATGCAGTATAGACATAATGTATAGACATAATGTGTTTTCATTAGTGTAAAACAGAATTAGCCATTTTTATGTACAGAGGAAGCGACTGTGGTTCAGAGGTAAAACTAATTGGAAGGTTAGTGGTTCAAACCCCGGCTCCTCTCGCTGCGTGTTGAAGTGTCCTTGAGCAAGACACTGAACCCCAAATTGCTCCCGATTGGTGTATGAATGATTAGTTTCCGTTCTGGTAAGGCACCTTGCATATATGAATGTGTGTGAATGGGTCGAGTGTGGCATGTAGTGTACAGCGCATTCAGTGGTCAAAATACTAGAAAGGCGCTATTTAAGTACAGTCCATTTACCATTTAAGGCTGCCATGTTTCTACAGTAGCCCAGGACAGACAAACCAAACACTGGCGGTAGATAGAGCCTTCCACATTTTTCACGTTTTGTGAATGCAACTTGCAAGTACACCGCTAGATGCCACCAAATCCTACACACCCACCTTTTTAAAATGTAATAATTTCAGTTTAAAAGTTTGCTAACAACACACATGTGCAAACCCAAAGTGCGGGTTTATAGTGTTGTAGTCATAGTTTATAGTCAACATCCATAGGCACTCAGTATCTTAGTGGTAGTTTACTTCCTTATATGTAAATGGTAAATGGACCTGTACAGCGCCTTTCTAGTCTTCCGACCACTCAAGGCACTTTTACACTACGTGCCACATTCACCCTTTCACACACGATGGCAAAGTCCATCGAACAGAAAATAATGCACATTCACACTGATGCATGGCATCAGGATTGGGGTTCAAGGATACTTCGACATGTGGCACCAGGAGCCAGGGATCCAACCCACAACCTTCCGATTAAGCAACGACCCGCTCTGCCTCTGAGCCACAGCCGCTGCTGGAGATATGTAACAAATATCTCCAGCATTCCAGCGCTGTGCCGTGGCAGTGAAGTTATGCATTGGGACGACACACACTCACCGCTGAGAGGAAGAAGACCATGCAGGAGAGAGAGAAACCACTGGTATAACCAAGATACCCTGCAGAATGCAAGAAGACAACCCCTCAGACACACCTCAAAAAATACAACTAGGCACTCTAAGTTTGAGTTTATTCTTAAGTTTGAGTTTTTTTTTTTAAATCATATTGAAGAGCAGAACCAATCATTAGTCTACATGTGGTATTAACTTGAGTTTACACCATACAATAAAAGGAAACGGATCGAGTCCTTTCTAAAGACTTAAAATAATTAATGGTTTTGTGCACAAATTTAAAGCATTACTAGGGAATTACAAAGCATGACAAGTAAAGGGAAAGTTACGTACCCAGGTGTTTCATCAATGTTAGTGGGAGGATGACGCAGACAGTGACGATGATGATGAGGTAGTTTCCATTCATGAACCAGTCGCTAGGTACAGAACAGAGAGACTCACATAAAGAATACATACAAATAGTATAAACTGTATTCAGTATTGTTAGCAGTACTCACTCAGAGCTGGATGTCTGGCCAAGAAAGGCTTGGATGACCAGTGGTAACTCAGATTTTACTATGAACAGGTAGCTGGACATGGCTTCAGGGGAGGAAAAAGAGTGTTTATTAAGTGTACATGATCACATATATTTACATATTCCCTCAAAACAGTGATATTCACCACTGACCTGTATGACATTTTAAATACCATACCTATATACCACTGTCTTACCTCCAATGTTATGTAGTGTTATGATGACAGCTGCTAGAATCTTCCCTGGATGACCAAAAGCTCTCAGGCCAAGTTGCTCATAGGCACGAATACCTGATGAGACCAATAACAAAGAACTATGTTGTAAACTGGCTGTGGACATTTAGACATATATACAGGACTAGCTAAATTGGACTTTATATACAGAAGAGGGGAAGTGAAGAGACACAGAAAGACCTTTTAAAAATGTTGAACTCATGACTTGAAATTGATTGAAGTCTTACCCACAACTCCAGCACTGCGTAGCAGCAGGTGGACGGAATAACAGGACAGACAGGCGATACATGTCAATAGGATCCTGTAAAATGCATGTTTATAAAAATATTATAAACATCAACATATATGTATAAATATATTTTTTGAGCTTTTTAGCATTTTAAAACATAATAGTTTCTGCTTAATAATTGCAAGAATTGCTACCCTTTTAATAGCATTTTCAATGTATTTTTATCTGCTATGGTCAAATGTCTACCTCAGCCATTTTAACTTTGTGTACAGATGGTGGGGGTTTGTAAGTATGGAGGACTAAAAGTGCCAAAATTAAATAAATAAATACACCATTACATAATTACTTAAATGTGTCATTAATTAATTAAAATTGGAATTAAATACTTAAATGTGTTATTAAATGTGTCATTAATTCATTCAAATACCGATTCATTTGATGTAAAATACATACAGACCTCTCTCCTAGAAAGTTCATGAAGATCCTCCATTGTCTCTATCCAGGCACTCTACTTCAGACCAAAGCAATGGATCAGACTAGATTTGCGTTAGCCCCACCCACTGCGTTTGATGGGCGACTTTGACAGATAAAAGTAATTCATGAAGCACTGCAATGCAGGACCATGGAATAATTAAATAAATAGTGAAATAATTATATATGTTTTTTAAATAAAATGAATTGGTATTGGATGAATTAATGACACGTTTTGTTTTTTTTTAAGTCATTTTTTTGGCCTTTTATTGCCTTTATTTGATAGATACAGCTGAAGAGAGGGGGGACGACATGCAGCAAAGGGCTGCAGGTCGAATTTGAACCCTGGGCCGCTGCAGCAAGGACTCAGCCTTGGTACATGGGTCGCCAGCTCTACCCACTGAGCTAACTGGGCGCCCAAATTAATGACATGTTTAATAACACATTTAAGTAATTATTTAATGGTGTATTTATTTATTTAATTTTGGCACTTTAAGTCCTCCATATGTAGGGGGCATGTTTTGCATGGGTATGGTTTAAAGTGTCTGCAAGGCCGCAGATGGACCCTTCTCCTGTCATTTGTAATATCAGCTGTTCATGTATATCCAGTAGCACAGTGACAGACCTACTGTACATACTCTGGACCAAACCCAATCTCCACACTCCTGGTACCAAGTCCATGAGAATTTAGGGCTGTCCCACTGTCAAATCATCAAGTTTTAATGTTTGTCTGACTGAATAACCCACAGCCTCTAAGTGCTTTACAATACATGTCACATTAACACATTCACATACATTCATACACAGATAGGAGCGGCTGTGGCTGAGGCAGAGCAGGTCGTCCACTAATCGGAAGGTTGTTGGTTCTATCCCCAGCTCCTCCTGCCACATGTTGAAGTATCCTTGAGCAAGACACTGAACCCCAAATTGCTGCCAATGCTGTGCATCGGTGTGTGAATGTGTATGAATGAATGTTTTTCTGTTCGATTGGCTTTGCCATCACTGAGTGAATGTGTGTGAAAGGGTGAATGTGGCACATAGTGTAAAAGCGCTTTGAGGGGTCGGAAGAAGGCACTATACAAGTACAGGTCCATTTACCATTGACCCTAGTAGAGGCTGCCATGCAAGGTGCCAACTGCTGATCAGAAACAAATTCTCATTCACACTCCACACCAATAGCACAGCATCGGTAAAAATTTGGAGTTCAGTATCTTGGACGCATGCAGGGGAAAATTAACTGCCAACCTTCTGATTCTTGTACTCACAGGAAAAGGACGATGCCAGTGTTTGACATGGCATATGACAGACCCAGAATGCCGCTGCCCATGATGGCGTTGCTCAGGTTGAAGACAGACATTCCAAAGGAGGTTTTACCCTCAAACTGGAAAAGACATAAGAATATTAACTTCAATGACACAAAAACAAAGATTTTGTGTTAGGCTGCATATTGTGACATTACATTACAATTCACCCAACCCAACAACATGAAAATAAACAGAACTTGCACAATTAAAAAAATAAATTGTTTTGAATATACATTGTATCAACAGAACACACAGAGCACCAATAGGCTGCATGACCTGTCTCTCATACTCACATCTGTGAACTGAGGTCTCTTTGATCCATCACTCTTGTGTTGCAGAAACTTTTCTTCTTCTGGCGGGACACTGTGATATCCAGAACAAACAAACATCTGCACTCCTTCAACTGAACATGATATGAACATACTTGATTTACCATGAATTCATAGCGACACAAATAAGAAACATACCCTGCCTCCCCAGTGATGTCATGGTGGTGATTACCATTAGATTGCTTCTGCAGTTCCATATTTATGATAATTATTTCTTCAGAATAATGGAGGTTTGGAAAGAATGAAAAGGTTTTGAAATGTAAAATCTGAAAAGAAGAAACAAACACAAACAGCTTAAGTCCACCTCATAGAATATTTGCATATTTAATAATTTTATATTGACTGTAGAATACTGACATCATCATCAAGTGTAAACTGGTGAACAGCTGCTTTTTTTGTGGTCATGTATAGCTAAAAACACTGCCATACAAATAATAAATAATAATATAAAAGACTGCTGCTGTTTTAGCCATGGTAGTTAGCAGCGTGGCCCTAAGGTTGGTTGTTCCAACTCTGACTTATAAATTGTATTTATTTATTATTTCCTCCCATAGTTCAAATTAAAACTTTGAGGGCCAGCTAAAGAAAAATATGTAATTAGCATTTTTCTGGAGATGTTCAGTACCAAATTTGGTGACGATTGCTCATTATGTTGAGAACTAGTAGTGAACAAACAGATATAGAAAATCCAAAATGGTGGAAATTTCACCTAGACATAAATGGGCATGGCTTATACAGATACATTCCTGGAGATACTCTTTCTTTTACGAAGGAATATCTAATATACCGATCAGCCATAACATTATGACCACTGATGGGTTAAGTAAATAACACTGAGTATCATGGCACCTGTCAGTGGATGGGATGATATATTAGGCAGCAAGTTTTAAACATTTTGCCCTCAAAGTTGTGGTCTGATCTAACAGATGAGCTACTGTAGCTCAAACTGCTGAAACAGTTCCTGCTGGTTCTGATAGAAAGGTGTCAGACCACCAGGGTGCCCAGGTGGTCATAATGTTATGGCTGTTATGGTGAATATATATATATATATATGTGTGTGTGTAAATATATAGGAATTCTGTGTTAAGTTTGTTCATAGAAAGAAAAGTGACACCTGATCAAACACCACTCTTTCCACTAACTACAGGATGAATGCCAAAAGGGCAGCTGTTGGCACCTGTTTAAGTTTTCTTTTAGTTTTTGAGTACCCTAACCCTAACCTTAACCCTTGCTGTCATGTGGAAAACAAGTTAAGGATTTAAAGGCCTGTGTCTGAGTGTTTGGGGTGATACTCATCTAAATTTATTGACATTAGTGTTTCTGGTTAACAGTCGAAGCTGTGCAAAATTTTAACAAATCTGATTTGTAAACAATCAGCAGCAGAAAGATTGAGCAAGCTAAACGATGTTGTCTGTTACTGTATTACAATTTATAATACAAACAGCTTTATTGCCCAAATCCAAAGCCAGAGCTAACGTCCATTTCTTACCTTGTTATTTCTGCTGAAGAGAATTGGATTTCACAAACAACTACAGTCAACCAGTATCAAAGTACACAACTGAGCCCGCTAAGCCACCAACACCCCTCTCCGTGTGTGTGTTTGGTTGGAATCAGAGGTGTAGTGCTGTTTGTTTAAGTTCTGGAGCACACTTATGACGTGCGTGCATATGCGCTTAGTTATGTTCTGGCTTGTTTCAAAGGTTCTATGTTGGGGAGTTTACATACAGATAGATAGATAGATAGATAGATAGATAGATAGATAGATAGATAGATAGATAGATAGATAGATAGATAGATAGATAGATACTTTATTTATCCCGAGGGAAATTTTTATTTATATAAGAGTATTTGTTGATTTCTTTAGTTTTCGACACTATCAAACAGAATATCTTTTGTTATGGACAATTTGTCGGACAAAATAACATATCTGAATATTTCAAGCTGGGCAATTCTATTGTGTTGGCAACATGGGCAACTGCCCTTAGGGACCTAAAAGCCCCAGGTTCACTCTACAAGACAATTTAGGCGTAGTAGCCACTCTAAGCACTTTTCCCATGCATATTCATAAGAAAAGGAGAGGTTGTAACATGGTGCATACATTTTTGTGACCCCCCCCTAAAGTGACTCATGATCAGAATTTAATCGAATTGGTTCAGTACCATTGAGGAAGTCTAGAAGAGCCCCATGTGTGGCACATGGGTTCACTGTGTGCATAATTTGTGGTGATTTGAATAACCTTTAAAAACATACCATGGGTGTTTAGCAACCTGGGACTGTATTCCACATGTCTTATTCATTCAGTTCATTCAATTAAGCACTCAGCTCCACGGTATTCTTCAAACTATTTGTCTGTAACAATGCTCTGTTATAAGTCAAATTTGTTTTACATTTTATTTTAATGTATGTTTAATGTATGTAATGTATGTTTTGTATGCTACTGGATACTTGAATTCTATCTATCTATCTATCTATCTATCTATCTATCTATCTATCTATCTATCTATCTATCTATCTATCTATCTATCTATCTATCTATCTATCTGGTGTCAAAATGTAAAAAATTATGCATTATGCATATTTCTCTAAAGCGTTTATAGGGTCATGAGAGCTGAGGCCTGTAAGAGTGTTCACGGCACGCTCGATGCAAGGGACAGGTGGTTCTTGTTTGGCCTCATGATGGTGCTGTTGTCTCACTGTTACTATGAAAAAGTTTGTTTATATTACCTTCCTTAATATGATGGTTCAAGAAAGAGCAGCAGTTATCTGGTACTGGAGGGTTGATGACTGTATTTCTGAAAATGAAGATGTACTTGAGGCTACTGACGATGAGAAATTTGTTTTTGTGCCATTGTAACAGCAGAATTGAGGCATGAGAATGGGAAAGCTAGCTAGCTCAGATGATATGAGCTCTGAATTGGACAATGATCAAGATACCATAGTGGCCCAAAGAGAAGGAAATTCAACTTGAAAAGCCGGAAGATTTCACAAGTGTTGCACTTTCCTGGGAATTTAACAGAGTCCTATAACAACTTTAGTCCCTCCGAAATTGATAATCTTGTTGATAGTGCTGCAGGCTCACTACGATCAACATTAGTGTCTATCGTTCCTATAAAGAGGAAATTATTAAAACATAGGAGACTAGCACCGTGGTACAACCACCAAACCCGCCAATTAAAGCAAAAAGCTAGGAAATCTGAAAGGAAATGGCGCTCTTCCAAATGATCAGAATATCGCTCAATTTGGCATGATAATCTTAAAACCTATAGAAAGGCCCCCCGTAATGCCAGAGGAGCCTATTATTCAGCACTAATAGAAGAAAATAAGAACAACCCTAGGTTCCTCTTCAGCACTGTAGCCAGGCTGACAGAGAGTCACAGCTCTATTGAGCCACAAACTTAAGTAGCAATGATTTCATGAGCTTCTTTTATAATAAAATTATTATTATTAGAGAGAAAATTAGTCACCAAATGCCCTCAACAGCTATCAGTGGCTCTCCAAGTTCAGGAACTTTAACTAATGTAAACTCAGATATATATTTAGACTGTTTTTTTGCTATCGGTCTTCATCAGTAAACTTCAATAATTTCTACATCAAAGCCATCAACCTGTCTGTTAGACCCGATCCCAACTAGGCTGCTTAAAGAAGTCGTACCCTTAATTGGCACTTCTTTACTAGATATGATTAATCTTTCTTTATTATCTGGATATGTACCACAGTCCTTTAAACCCCTTCTTAAAAAGCCCACTCTTGACCCAGGGGTTTTAGCCAACTATAGACCCATTTCTAACCTCCCCTTCCTCTCTAAGATTCTGGAGAAAGTAGTCGCCAAAGAGTTGTGTGACTTTCTACATAACAATAGTTTATTTGAGGATTTTCAGTCAGGATTTAGAGTTCATCACAGCACAGAGACAGCTCTGGTTAAAGTTAATAATGACCTTCAGATTGCTTCCGACAATGGACTTGTCTCTGTACTTGTATTATTAGATCTTAGTGCTGCATTTGACACCATTGACCATGATATTCTTTTACAGAGACTTGAGCATCAAATTGGCATTAAAGGAACAGAACTAAGCTTTAAGTCATATTTATCAGATAGTTCGTAGTTTGAACATGTTAACGATGAATCTTCAATAAATACTACAGTTATTCATGGAGTTCTGTACTTGGACCAATACTATTTACTTTATATATGCTCCCTTTAGGCAACATTATTAGGAATCACTCCATTAACTTTCACTGTTATGCAGATGATACGCAGTTATATCTATTGATCAAGCCCGGTGAAATTAATCAATTATCTAAATTACAAACATGCCTTAAGGACATAAAATCCTGGATGAGCTGCAATTTTCTGATGTTAAACTAGAACAAAACGAAATTCTTGTACTTGGCCCCAAAAACCTTAGAGACTCACTGTCTAAAGATATAGTTACTCTAGATGGCATTACCTTGGCCTCTAGCACCACTGTCAGGAACCCGTCTTAAAACCCATCTCTTCTCTGTGGCCTTTGACACCTAGTAAGATGTCGACTTTATTTACTTGATTTAATTTCTTGTTTTGATTGTTTTTTATTGCGTGGTTATTATTTTTACTCATGTTTTATGTCTTTTCATTTTATTGTTGTATTATATGTAATTTTGCGCCTCATGTGAGCTGTTATGGCTTTTATTTATGATGTCTTATTTATTCTCCTGTACAGCACTTTGGTCAACTTTGGTTGTTTTAAAGTGCTTAACAAATAAAGTTGGATTGGATTGGATTGGATCTGTCATTTAATTCCCACATAAAGCAGACCTCCAGGACTGCCTTCTTTCATTTACGTAATATTACAAAAATTAGACACATCCTATCACAGACAGATGCAGAAAAATTAATCCATGCATTCGTTACTTCTAGGCTGGATTACTGCAACTCTTTATTATCAGGTTGCCCCAATAAGTCCATTAAAACACCCCAATTAATTCCAAACGCTGCAGCACAAGTACTGACAGGAACTAGAAAAGATATAGTTATGGTTGGCTCAGGTGAGTCCTGAACCATCCCTTAGTTATGCTGCTATTAGGCCTAGACTATCGGGGGATTTCCCATGGTGCACTGAGCTCCTCTCTTCCTCTCTCTTTCTGCACTCCTGGTGGAGCCTCCTACCATGGTCCTGCTTGACTGCCATTGCTAATATCACTGATATTAATGTTATTATTATTATAAGTATTATTATTGCTATGGTTACTGTTGTTGCTGTTGTCACTGCTCATTGTCCCCTATCGTTGCTGTTGTCATGTTCATCATCACCAGTCACTACTATTAGTGTAGTTGTTGATATTGTTGTTGCTGTGCACCTGTCTGTCTGTCTGTCTGTCTGTCTGTCTGTCTGTCTCTCTCTCTCTCTCTCTCTCTCTCTCTCTCTCTCTCACCCCAACTGGTCGAGACAGACGACCACCCACTTAGAGCCGAAGGGTCTGTCCTAGGTTTCTGCCTTTTAACAGGCAGTTTTTCCTTGCCCCCGTCGCCAAGTGCTTGCTCATGGTGGTACTGTTGGGTCTCTGTAAATAATGTTATAAGGAGTTCGGTCTAGACCTGCTCTATTTGAAAAGTGTCCTGAGATAACTTCTGTTATGAATTGGCGCTATACAAATAAAATTGAATTGAATTGAATTGGGAAAGTTTGGCCCTTTTTTTTGCTCTTAAAATCTTTGGTTTGTCCAGAAACAGAATCGCTTTAGCTGAGGAACTCCCACAAAATAGCTGGAGGTGCCACATCTGTCCATCCATTACTTTGAGATTTAATAACTTTTCCCACTTTTGGCTACTCTGAGTAGGGGTTGCAACAGCCAATCATCTGTTTCCACCTCTCTGGCAAATTGGGCCCCAGTGGCTGGGGAGCAGAGTCTTGTCCAAGGGCACTGCGACTTGTAGACAGGATGAGATCAAACTGCCAACCCTGTGATAAGTAGATGACCCACTCTACCACCTGAGCCACAGCTGCCCTACAGCTGACACCTGTCATATTATAGATTGAGATATTGAGATATCAGATGATGATTTTTTCCTTGGGTATCTGAGGTGATTAATCCAGACTAGGTGTTTCAACTGTTTTACAAAAAATAACAATAATAAATAAATTAATAAAAAATAATAAAACATTACAGTTGGCTAACAGAACCAAACCAAAGCAAGCATTTTAATATATTAGAATGATAGGCAAAAACATTTCCAAAATTCCAGTGAAAGGCAACGTGGCTCTACAGATAAGAGGCTGGAGTGAAGCCAAGTCTGGATGGCTCGCTGTAGGCCTCAGTAACAACAGACAGAGTGATAACAGCTGAGAATGACCTCCCTGCTCAAACATGACTGAGTTGGTTCCTCAGACATTGACATTTTGTACAGTAGTTGTCACATGGACTCTATTGGTAAATACTGTCCCTAGCAGAGACATTTTGCATTTTCATGCTGTTTAATTAATTAATTAATTAATTAATGTTTAATTGCTCTTTAATCTTGGCCTTATTTAATATATTAATGTTTCTTAGAGATTAATCAAATAAGTATATTTTGTTTAGAAGAACATACATTTATTATGGCATTGTCATGCTGTTCAGGTGTTGGCAGAACAATCAGAACCGATATACCTTTACATGCAAGTCCCTACACTCAAAATAAGTTACCTGCAGTGCTTGACAGTATCACTAATAAAAATGTAAATTAACTACTGAAACTGTTAGGTTAGCCATGTAATTGATCCAGATCCGGTTCTGTCTGTCCCTTTAAAGGTTATTAGTCACACAGCACTGGTCTTGCTTTAATGATACTTAGAAGAAGGATGCATGTTTGCACTGTGTTTTAGTATGTTCCTACCTGTGATGAAATCACACTGATTAGATTGCAGTTTTGATTTGGTTGAACTTGGATGAATTTCTGTAAATTGTATATTATTATTTATTTTATATTGATATTATAGGCAAATACATTTAACCACACAAGAAAATATCACATTTCAAATGCCAATTTTGAGTGACCGGATTTTATGTACTCACATAAAAATAAAAGTCAAACAGTTTCCTGTGGCTACCTGCTCACTGGACACTATCTGATTTATTGTGATGCAGGTACACCCGCCCACCCTGTGCACCAATCAGGTTCAAGATTTTCTTGCCCATGCTTTCTGGCCAAAGACACATTTACAACTGTAAACAGACACTTCTATTTATGACATACTCCAAGCTGTAGCATGTGCTATTATTGAATTGAATCAAATCATTATTTATGCAACAAAAATATTCTTTTAGTTTTACAATGCACAATTGTAAACGTCCAGATGTGGGTTCAAAGGTCCAGTGTGTAACATCTAGGAGGATCTATTGGCAGGAATGGAATATAAATAGAATTTCAGTTTATAATCACCTAAAAATAAGAAACGTTGTGTTTTTTTCCCCTTAAAATATGCTGTTTGAGTGGGTCTTTAGGTTTCTTGTAGCCCAGAAAGGACATACCAAACACTAGCTCTAGATAGGGAATTTCGCAGCTACCGTAGTTTCTCCTACACACTTGGAAGGTTGAGCTGTATTCAAGTGGTCGCAATCTGCAATTTCACCGCTGCCAGTAAATCCTATTCACTGGTCCTTTAATCCAATCTAGCCTGCATGTAATAGCAAAAATGCTATAAGCATAGAAATTGAAATGAATAGATGTAAAATAGGTCGAATAAGCAAAGAAACCAGTTAAACGCACAGTGTTTTGTTTTATATTTCTGTTCATATTTTTGGTTTGTGATATCAATCTGAACATCTCCGTTTTTGAGAGGAAGCTATCATTTTATCTCCCAAAATAATGAACTATTCCTGTAAGATTTTTTTCACATTATCCAAAGAGTTTCCATACATCTTTAAAAGCCCTCATCTGGGACTGTACATAGAGTCTGCCACAGAGCGAAGTCAGAGGGAACATACAGTGTACAATGTGTGCCCGAATGAGTCCCTGCCCTATTTTCCATGCATGGAATGTGTAGATATACAGCTAATGTAATGTTGTCACCTTTTTTTGTGTTTTAGTCTTTTTTTTAATGTGCACACATTAACCATTATCTGAGATCTACTGTATGACAAACAGCTGAGGCTCATGTTTACTTCGACACCAGAAAAATTGTTAACTGTTTGTTTTGTTGTTTTTGTGGGTTCTTCACCCCCCCCCAACTATGTGTAGTAGTTGACACATGTGACACACAGTATTATTTACCAATAATATTTTTTTCCACTTGTTTCTTATTCCACAAATCTTTGAAAATATTCATACATCAAGACTCACCATTTGTGATTTAAAATGTAAATCCTTAAGAGCAATGTAAAATAACTGAAGGAGTATAATAATTCATAATAATGATAATAATAATTATTAATCTGAAACATAATTAGTAACAAAACTTAAAATTAAAAAATGCTTGAAATTATATTATAATCTCAGGAAAATCATGCTCAATCTCATTTACAGTAAAAAAAAAATTAGCCAAAAGCTGAGGAACTGTTGGATCACTTCTGAAAAACAGCTGCATAACCTGTGCATATAAGTAGTTTATTGAGTCTGATAATCATTTGAAAGTCAAAGCCTCTGAGCAATGGCTGGAGCTATTAACAAAGCTGTACTCTTCTTCCATGATTCTTCACTCTTACTGAGCAAACCCCCTCAAGCAGCCAAACCACGTGGCAGCACAGTAGCACCAACTCAGCCAGATGAATAGTGTTACTTACCTCCAGAAACAGGCCCTGTCGGCTCTCTGAAGCAGAGGGGCAATCTGTGTGGTGAAGTCCTGGGATCAGAGCAGCAGTTTGGGCTGGAAGGATGATAATGTTTGCCTGTTTTTGGAGCCCAGCAGAGAAGCATAGAGTGTCTCAGGGAGAGGTTGGTTAGAGGGGAGCAAATGTGGGAGCAGGCAGGGCTGCTGAAAATGACGGTTTCAAGTTTCTTGTGATGTCACATGTAGAGGCACTCCTCTTCCTTTCTAGAAAAAAGAGAAAGATAACAAGTTAACTGTGACTTTCTCTCAGGGCTCTGGTGATGAATAGTTCTGTGGGGAATTCACTAGGCTCCTATGGCCTGCTCATATGCAGTGGGCCTATGTTATTGTTTCCATGTTTCTACTCTCTTCCCACTCCCTACCTCTGAGTTTTAGTAACAGTGGAAATATAGTGAGGTGATAGGCACGGGGTTGCGTAAGAACGTGGCTGCTGGTGGGCAGCTCTGCATTAGAAGTAAACTGGAAAAAGCTAGCTTCATTAGGTCAATGTGGAAACGTTCCACGGAAAGGTAAATATATGAACCAACATTCCCCAGAAGTGTCCGAGTTGACCTGAGTTCTGCAGCTGAATGGAGCTGTTAGAAAGAACAGATGGTCCAGGATACACACATTCCCATGGTTATTTTGGTGTATTGTTTCCACACAGGAACACAGGAGCGTTTGTACTGATTAGCTCCATTAAGTGTGTGTGTGTGTGTGTGTGTGTGTGTGGAGACTTGGATGCTCTAACAATGTTCTTCAAACATTAAATCAATCCTTGTATTTATAATGTATCTCGAATTATTTTTTGAATTTAAAATCATGGTCTGAAAAGGGGCATTACAGTTCAGAGAACAAAACCCTAAATGATGTATAAATAACATTTAAAAATTAAAAAAGGCAGTAATGGTGGTAAGTGGTTGTAAAATAACTAAGTTTCTCAGGTAAATAACTGTAGCCTAAGAGCTTTTACAAGTGCCGAAATTCAGTAATCCTTCTTACTGAGTTGTATGTGTTAATCTTCAAAAACCCTGGATCCTACATTTGCCATAATTCACTGGTGTCCTTCATTAGACATTTTCTGTGTGGTAAACACTGAAATGTTATAAATGAGCTAAGCTAAATAAAATTTGACCAGACCTGACTTGACTTTACATGACATGTGTGTCATCTCTGAACTCAATGTATTGCACAATAGAATAACATGAAATTCATCCCATTCCCCTTATCAAGATCTATACACCCCAGAGGGGCGATAGAGCAATATCAGGAAAAATATATATTTTTTAAATGTCCATATTTTAAAGATGCAATTAAAAAATATATAATCGTTGAAAATGTAATCTAATTAGACATTTTTTCAAATGTCATCGGGACTGATTATTATCTTATTAGTTAATCCAAATTACATGTAATCAGTTACTACCCAACACTGAGGACAAAGGTGCTGAAAGAAGCATGCCAAGCCTGCTACAGCGACAACCCCAGTTTTCAGACAAAATGCAAGTAGTCGTAGTACGCAGGGATGTGTCCAGAGAGCAGGGCCACCCCATTATCCTTCCCTCTTCCACTCCACATTGTCTTTCAGAGGTGGTAGTGGGCTTCATTTGAAAGCTATAATCAACAAAAAGGTATCATACAAAACAAGATGACCTAATCCATCCATTGGTAAGCAACCATGGCATTCTAGTATATCAGGGCTAAATAATTCTCCAAAGTTAGGCTACATTTTGGTAATGGAAAAACTGGCATGACCACTGTCAAATGGATCCCTTGATCTCTGACAAAATGTGTTCTCTGAAAATGGGTTCTATGGGTACACGCAAATCTCCCCTTTGCAGACATGCCCACTTTATGCTAATCCCATCCAGTTATGGGTAGTTTATTTTTCATTCTTTAATTATTCATGTCACTTTTCACGTGAGCAACGTGTGTTGCTATCGCAGCCACTCTGTGGTTTGTTAACATAGCTGGTCTGGTCCGTGTACAGCTGAATAGAGCGATTGAAACTGCTGTACTGCATAGTACAGTGAAAAAAGAGTTAAATAGGTACGTGAGAGAATAAGATACACAACAGCAGTAAGGTTTCCAGCCCACATTATAGTTCACATACATTATGGGTTAAGACATTTTGTGTTCTGTTAGGGAAGTTAGAAACACAATGCCATAGGATGGATTAGCTGAACGAGCCAAGTCAGTATATCATTTTGAATGGTCAGGGGATACAAACTGTAACCTGTTGAAATAAGAGAGGAGTGGTAGCCAATATGAAAAGAACATGTCAACATACCCTCTGGTTGTGAATTAGATTTTTTCCAGGTGTAAAAAAGACATTATGTCGTGTAACCAGGATGTAGATGGTGGAGCTATGTCTGATTTCCAGTTTAGGAGTATTCTTTGAAAACCAATTATTTTAGTTTGTTTGACAGCATCCCCAATAGGAACCCGAAAAATAGCAAATTGAGCTATGACTTGATAATGACTGTCCCTAATATCTCGGATATAGTGTCAAAGACGGCTTTCCAAAACCCAGCCAGCCGTTGCACACATCAGGGTATATTTTAGTATAATTTTTGTATTACTGCCTCAGTTAGCTAGTCCATCAGGAAGCTCTGTAAATCACCTCAGTACTCGTTAGTGCTGTCGTCACACTGGCCTTCGTCTGTTTGTGTTTAGCCCTGGTCCAGTTTAGTTGCACGCTAACAGCAGCTACAACAGTAGCTAAGGCAAAGCAGCCGTAAAACTGGAAACTGTTGTTGTTGTGGTTTTGTATAGTGAATAGTGAGCCCAAGCCCCCAGAAACACCCTTTGTATATGTATGTATATAGCGGTGCTTTTAACTTAATACTAACATCAGCATTCTATCATGCTTACAGTTATTTTAGGATTCCTCCTCTCTGGACAGTGAATGCGTATCAAAAATGTCTAATAGTTGAGATATTTCAGCCTGAATTGGCTGAGCTGTCTGGACTGAGCACCGGACATTTCCATCAATAGAACCATGCAGCTAGCATGGTTAAAAAAGCAGAAAACTGTTTTAGAAGAAAAAACAGTTAAAACAGTGGGCCAACCACCTTTGACATGTTTGTTTTAAAATGGAAAATATTATTTTAAAGTTCTGTTCTTCTTCTTGTGTTTGCTATTGAATTCTGATTGTATTTTACTGTGGTGTCCAAAGGGGAGTTATCTCCACTGTGTCATATAAAGTCAAAATCCAATAAGTACTAGAATAATGGAAATGTGCTAAATTACTGATTATTAAGATATAATTGCTTTGAAATGCAATGGGCATTTATAATTTTGGCTTTTCCTCTCCCTGTAGCCATTAGTTTGGCATTGCATATTGTTACACCTATGAGCAAATTCCAGACATCATGTGCATCACAGATTAACACAGTTTCTAAATTTTCCACACAAAAAAGGAAAGATTGTTCAACTGCAACTTGCCAGCACTATAATGCTCCGTATACAGTAAACAGTCTTATTACATTTGCCCAACCTTACAGCTGCAAAAGTTAGTAACAGTAAACAAAGTTTCATTTCTTAACCTGGTGTCTGTGGACCCCTAATGCTCCATGCCAGTATTACAGGGGGTCTATTAAATTAGCTTAGATTTGATGATGTATGCATTTTTGCTTGATTTTGCTAATATAATTATTTCCCTTAATAAATCTATATTCTGCTTCTTTCTGCACCGAGGAGAGAGGATTGAGGAGCCATCTCTGAGAAGCTATGAGCGAGGATCCACGGTAGCAGCCTTCACGGATTTCTTTTTCTGACCCATGGGAGCTACATTATTTTCCCTGAAACATTTAGCCTAATAAATATTTCCAATGTTCAAAAGACACCACATTCATATTCTGGGTTATTCAATACTGCATTTACAATCACAATATCAATTAATACAGATGCACATAATAAACAAATAATCTCTGTCAAGCTGCGTGAGTTTTCAGGTGATTTCTTTATTTATTCTGTGTTGTAATGATGTAGCCTATGAGTGTTTTCTTAATTTACTATAATGATTAGAGAGGATGCTTTCAGTCATTTTAAACGTTTCCATGCGCATACCAATGTCAAAGCAAAACTGCTGGGGACTGCTGTTTTACTCTAAACAATTTTCCTTGTATGAACCTGGACTGTGTGTGTGAAATTTCGGAGGTGTAAAATATCAAAGAACATTAATAAACAATTAACTAAATTAAATTATCAATGATGTTATGCTACTATGCCTCGTGCGTATTTGCGCAGAACATCTCTTTTCATGGGTAAAAACTATTATTCAGAATCCTAATTTTTATAGATTTACAGATCGATCTCAGTTACACAGTTTGAACTGTGATCTGCGCATCACTATAATGCAGGTTGTTGTTTATGTACAGGCAACAGGCTACTGCTCTGGTACTGATAATGGTGTATCTTCATTATTATTATTATACGCTTCAGAGTAAAGGACGTCTCAATTCTCTAAAAACATATTTCCTCGTTCCTTCCTTTCTTGCGTCTCTCCATGTATCCCTGGAAAAGACGCAAGTGAGGGAAATGTCGATGCAATTAAGCGACATGAGATGCACCCTTGAATTTGGAAGTTAAAGATTTGTGACTTGACTTTAGACATGATGACTGGAATGAGTAAATATGAAATATTTCAATGTTCAACGTTGACATTACAAGTGTCTGCAAAAGCATTGCTTTGTCCATTATGGGTTCCTGTACAAACCAGCTAGTTCTGCTCCATTCTGTTTACGATATTTTTCCTCCCTTATTTCTCATATTGCATACACACAGATTCACATGTAAATACACAATATGACTATTAAATTGTATTGAAACTCCTGGATAACTCCGAAAATGTTGATAAGGTCCATAGGAGAAGACACATTGCTTGAATAACTTGTGCTTAATTGCTCTAACATCAGGTCACATGTCAAGCATGTTGGCATCAGTGAGAGTCTCCACTGACTCCACTGAGTAGACATATAAATAGCTACTGTGCTCAGAGGATTAGCAAGAGAGAGCCACAGCCTCTCACCTGGACCAACACAAGGGACTCCTACACACACACAAACACACACACACTGCTTTAGTGTATACAGATGTTGGATTGAGTCAGGGGCCTCTGACTTGGCTAACCCCACAGAGAAGCCACTGGCCGCTTCTATGTGAAAACTAGCACTGGAGTGAATAAATAATACCAAAATGCAATATAAGTCAATGATATCATGGTCTCTGGTGAATTCACATGTTTAAAATGACACAGGGCCAAATCCCTGAATGACTCCAGTTCCTGCATCATATTACATTCTTAATGAAGAAATTAAGAACAAAATAAAATATCCTATTCTCCATTTGAAGAATTTCATATGTATGTGTGAAAATCACATAGAGAATTATCACAGACTCCATAGTTCCCCTCAGCTCTACATAACTTTTCATCCTGTTTCATAGACTGTATAATTAAAAATGGACGTAATCTCACATCCCCCATAGTTTTCTGAAGAGCTGTTGTGAAGCACAGTGTGGTCGGCTCTTGCCGTCGCCATCTTGGCAGTCCTGACTTCGCTGGCTCCCGGCAAAGAGGTGGAGCTGAGACGGGCTGAATAAAGCCTGGTTACAGCCACCTATGACGGCACCCACCTGTTATTCAAAGTAACGGTCCACCCCTTAATTATGCATAACATTTAGCCTTAATGTAATTTAAACCAGGGATTTATAGAAAAATTCAATTCATGAATGCCTCCAACCCAAAGCATCTTTATATCTTCTTGGGCTCTGATTGGTTGTGGATTCTTGCAAATACAATTATGAGTGTTAGGAGAAGCCAGTGGAACCAGATTTTTTCACAGATTATCTGTCTAAAGGTTAAATTTTCAGCAAATATGAGAAAAGTTATTTTCATAAAAGTTATCTACTGCATCTTAAACTAAACTTATATTCAAATGGTGCTTTAAAGGGGGACTTTTTTCTGTGTAAATTCAGTGGATTTCCCCTTTTAAGGTCCAGTTTGTAGCATCTAGCAGGGTAGTCGCAGATTACAACCCTCCCTTTTCTGAGGGCATAAGAGAAACTACAGTGGCCATAAAATGGATGTTGCAATCTAGAGTCAGTGTTTGGTTTGCTCTTGGCTTCTATAGATACATGGCAGAAGAAGACTTGCTCCCTCTGTAGATAAAATCGCACTAGTGATAACATACCTATACATATTATATTTCATTTCTGATAATAGATCCTCCTAAATGTTACACACAGAATGTTATGCACCTTTAATGGACTTAAAGTAAAATAATAATAAATAATAAAACAGCATTCTTATAACTAATGTGACAATCCAGTCCCATCATGTTTATTACAACACTATAGCTATAGATCGACACAAGCTGTTATACTGTATGTGTTACTGATCAATTGAGAAGATGTCTGTATCAGTGTTGGGAGGATGTTTTATGTCAGGTTCAACATGTTTTACATTTATGCCTCTGCAGGGCTGGATTATCTCAGTAGGAGGCAAAAACGACAGCTCTAGGTCCCTAATGACCTACCCCACCCCACCCCCAATTCCTTTATTCTCTGTGCAGAGTATATTTACCATGTGCTCATTATATTCAAATGGTTCATTGCACTTTGAACAACAGCTGTCATGTGTACTTCTTAAAGACGAAATAACACAGGGGCACACAATTAGAACTTGAAAATGTAATTTTTATTTCAGTGTCTTGAAGATATCAATCATCAACCATGGATGAAGGCGGGATTACAGAAAAAAGCAGGCAACAATTGTGGGGGTTTAAACAGCTCACATGTACACAAATAAGTAATGTAAATAGTTTGTTTATTTGCTTTGATTCTTGCTTTGTTTTTTATTTTACAAATTGTTTTAAAAAGGTATTGGAAAGCTTAAAACTAAAATATATTTTAAACAGGGTTGTCCTCTTTCTATGTGCTCTGTCCTTTTTATGCCATATGTAGCATTTAGTTTAACTCTGGAATACATTTTTGATCCTACCTAATAGTAAACTCAGGATTAATAAACTGTTAATGTTAACAATTCACATGTTTGTCTTGCTGTGTTTTCCTCTCAGCCAATCAGCAGAGTGATTCTCCTACTCCTCTGGAGGCGCGGCAGCCCATTAAGATCCACTTAGTGCTGACGTCATTAAGCTGCTTACTGCAGCAGGTGAATGGAGAGAGAAACTGAGAAAGATTTGTTTACATTGACGTTCGACTAATTGATACTGCAGACTGCAGCATGACAACATGTTTTAGTAGAAAGTAGAATATATTTATCTGACAGATTAGTATTGATGTGCATTCTTTCAGTGTGTGGAAGTGAAGTCTGGAAGTGAGTGATCCAAGCAGGCGGGATGGAGAGCAGCGACAAGGTAACTGCTGTGCTATCAGTACATGACACTGTTAGAACCTGACTAGTTGGGAAAGCTGTTGGAATCTCAGTCTCTCAAGTTATGTGTGCCACATAAAAACAACACTTATATGTACATGATATATAAGGTTGTAGTGATCTTTTATAAATTCATCAGTGTTTCCTATCCAAGAAGAAACTGTAATATGTGAGACAAACATGTAAGCCAACTTCAGGGACAAATTTACACTCCTTCAACCTGATACAAGGTTATTTGTTCAACATAACATTTTTCAAGACAAGCAGGTTAAATCAGAGGTTCCCAAGCTGGGGGTCAGAATGCCAAAGCTTCACAGGGGGTTGCAAGGCCTTCTTGATTTTAAGGGGTGTAAAAAAATATAAAAAATATACACAGTAGACCTATAGCTCAGCAGAAACAATAATAAACTTTTGATTATTGTTTAAGATCTAAACCTTGAAAACCTGAACACAAGCTCAATTCACTTCCTGATAAACAGCCGTGTCCTGCATTAGTAAAGAAAGGAAGAAAACACTGAATTTGTCAAAAAATATATAAATATATGTGTATAAAAATATCTCTAAAATCATCAGGAAAACTCTATATCTCAGATATAATATTAACAGGAGATGCTTGCTCTGCTCGAAATTAATTAAAATCGCTCATTTTACACAATCTTCCTGCAGTTATTGTATTTACTGATTGGGTTCATTGTACAGTTTATGTTTTTCAGTTGTTCTCTACTGTTATTGTTATGCAATGAATATAATATGAAATATCCATAAAATATGTCACTTAGTCAGTTTACTCAATGAAAGATAAGGGGCCCCTTAAGGAAAAAGGTTGGGAACTGTGTAAAATTACTGTAAAATTCATAAGTGAAATACTCTTTGATAGAAACTTAGAGACTTTTACCACATGCATGTGTTAGTTGTCTCCAGCTAAATCCAGAGCTTTATCTGTGTTTCTTTCTCATAATAACAGGTGACACCCGAGCTGATGATGGCTGTCGGGACAGCTGTGATTGGCTCCTTCCAGTTTGGCTACAACACTGGTGTCATCAACGCTCCCCAGAATGTGAGTATTATGTTGTGTAAGAGATGAGTAAGAAAGGAAAAAGGACAATGATGAAATCAGATGTTCAGTAACAAATAAACTATGATTATATTGGATAACCAATGCTGTCCATAATAATCTTAGCATACAAAAGAGCCACATAAATTGCTGTATTGTAATGCACTAACACAAGAATCAACTGTAATGGCCTTGCATTGTACTGTACACTGTACCTTGTGCAATGACAATAAGGTTGAATCTAATCTAATCTAATTTAATCTTTTACTGCAGTATCTTTAGGAAGAATTATCAGTTAATAAAGGAGTTGGGGGACTTTTCAATTCAGTCCTGATTAGTATCTTCAGGCTTCCTTACAAACTCACAACCTCCACCAAGAATGAAGGACAGCTTGTATTGAGCATCGAACAGAAACTAATGCATTCATATACATTCACAGCAATGGAGCAATTTGGGGTTCAGTATCTTGCTCAAGTATACTTCGACATGCAGTGGGAGGATCAGGAGATTGAACCATCAACCTTCTGATTAGTGAGCCGCCCCCCTTAACTCTGGATGTGCTACTACCAGCCATAAAACAGCAACAGAACAAAATCTGGATGAGGTTTATATTACAGATGAGGAATTTAATCAGGTAAACCTCAAGACTGTCTTCTCAAAATTCCATCAATGTGTAAACTTTCCCACAAAAGGTAAAAATAATCTGGACCATGTCTACTCAAACATCACAGATACATACGAAGCCACACCCTCTCCCATTTGGGTGTCAGAACATATCATCAAGAGTGAGATTGACTACAGATGACTACAGCGCAGCATTGAATACAATCTCTGAGATCACTAAAGAAAGTAAAACTGAACAAAGACCTGCTTTTCACCTTCTGACAAGACAAGCTTTGTAGTGGGTCATTTAATTTGCCCGGAGAGTCAGACTCTCTAGGCAGCTGCCACCTGACGACCCTAGCTACAGATCCTGTTGTCTCTGTAGAGCCACATTTTCCACCACCTTTTCACTCTTCTGCCCTCTGGACAGCACTATATGTGCGCCAAGGCCTGCACTGCTAGATTGAGGAACATTTGCTTCCACAAAGCAATAAATCTGCTGAACCAATAAGTGCACATTTAGGACTTTAAGACTTCTCTTCTGAGTGACAAATGTATGCGCATGTCAGTAATCTTTGTAGCTACTACTTAACTGTACTGTACTGATATGTTTGCACTATCTGCACATTTGCACATTTTATACAGTACTACCTACTGCATTAATGATACTGCTTACTGACTGCATTGCCATTTTTAAACACACCCATGCTGTACATGGACCTATGCTCAATCACTATCCCTATTTAGCTATATAACCTTTTATTTATATTTGATATTTTTATATTCTATGTTTATATTATATATGCTTTCCTGCTATATAACTTGGTATGGTACAGCGAATCTCATTGTACATGTACAATGGTGTTAATATTTTAGATTTTGAAAAACTAAGAGCTTCTCCCGTCTAGAATTTGGTGGTTGGACAGTCAGTGGACATGGTTTAAAGTCTTTTAGTATATGAAGTGAGGGGGACCAAAGCAGACATTTTGAAAAGTGAGAGGGACATTCCCCACATGCCCAGTGGAAATTACGCACCAACAATATAAAAATATCAGAAGTAGTAGAAACTAATAAAGCATAGAAAACATAGTTTGTTCCTTGATCATGGCACACAAACAGTGTAGAAATTCATCCTGCATGGCTCATTTATTTTGAAAGGATTTTTGTTTCCAACAAGACTTTTTAACTAGACTTAATGCAAGCTCTATTTATGTAGTACATTTCACACACACAGGAAACATCACAAATACATTATTCAGTTAAAATGGATATAACACACATCATTATAAAGACAACAGAAAGGTTTTAGAATGCTAACAATATCACTGGTTTGAGTCTGGCCTGGGATGTTTGTTTTTTCTTGTTAAGGTAACTGACAAGCATCTGCACTTGTCTATGGCCCCTGAAGGTAGTCTGACAGAAATCTGAAATTACATACAGCAGGTTAATGAGATAATGCTGCAGTTTGTTGGTAGAAGACAAGTTAAAGATGTTGTGTTTGCATGTGGACCAATACTTAAACTCATTTTACCCCTTTAGTTTATTATGGTAATAAAATGTGATGACCCAATGTGGGAAAATCAGAATAGAATAATGCATAGTGGTGTTCCCTTGCCAAATCTTTTTTTCTATACTGGGACATTTTATGGTGAATAATAGTATGTTTGTGGCTCTAGTGCATGGCCACTTAGTGTACCAAAGAGAACAAAAAATAAAGAAGTGTAAAGTATCAGTACATCATTACTTTCACTCCATGTATCACTGTTACGGTCTTAAGATTTCATTGTCTCAGGAAAAATCACTATCAAAGGAGGAAATCTGATTTGAAATGATTGTTCCCATGTTGATTCAGTGCACGCTAGCAGCTCTTTGTGGCTGTACTTTGGTACAGCAGAGATTTGAGCTAACATCAGCGTGCTTACATGCTCACACTGATGGTTGTGACTGTTCAGTTGCAAATTAGCACTATGATAATGTTTACTATATTACTTGACCAAAGTACTGGACAGTAAAAACTTTGACCTGCTGGTGTCAAAGGGTCACCAAAGTTAGTAGGATTCATTCTCTGGGAACCATAAACCAAATGCCATAGTAATCCATCGATTAGTAAAAAAAATATCAACTTGATGATGCTACCAAAGTCAGGGATACTGAAGTCAGTAGTTATTAGAAATACTTCAGTGTGGACTAAATCAATGGTACAAAAGAAGAGACAAGCAAGTTTAGTATGTCTTTTTTCATCTTACACATTGAGCCTACTGTATGTTGCTTTGTATTTTAGATCATCGAGAGCTTCTACAATGAGACATGGACCAGCAGGTTTTCAGAGCCCATTTCCCAGACCACCTTAACAGCTCTGTGGTCGCTCTCTGTGGCCATCTTCTCTGTAGGAGGAATGTTCGGCTCCTTCTCTGTCGGCCTCTTCGTCAACCGTTTCGGCAGGTATGACTCTTCCTATGACCAACATTATTAATCACATCTTCCTTTAAAAATGACAAACCCTTGATGAATGCTCTTATTATCTCTAAAGGAGAAACTCCATGCTCATGGCCAATGTGCTCGCCTTTGTTGCTGCTGCCTTTATGGGCTTTTCCAAGCTTTCTGATTCCTTTGAGATGCTCATCACTGGACGTTTCATAGTGGGTCTCTACTCTGGCCTCTCCACTGGCTTTGTACCCATTTATGTTGAGGAAATCTCTCCCACATCTCTCCGCGGAGCATTAGGCACTCTGCATCAGCTTGGCGTAGTGATCGGTATTCTCACAGCACAGGTGAGCTCCTTAACACTTGAACCATGATTGCACTGTTCATTTCCCACCTTAAGCAGCTTTAGAATGACACAATTTAAAGCTTCACACTGATGGTGCATGTGGGCTGCATGAATGTGTGTGGTCACTGTAGTTTTCCTTAGGACTTGGAAGGGGAGGGTGAACTGAGAGACCTCCACTCTGCACCTACACTACGATATGCCATTAAATCTGGACCTTTAAAGTTTACCCACCTTAGTATTGACCACTACACCACTTTAATTCTTATAGTCTCTGACAGTCTCTTCTTAAGCTGCCACATTGTCAGTGTTAAAATGTATAGTGTCTTCCATGTTTTGAGATGTTTTTATGTTGATTTTGTTTAATATTGTTTTTTGATGTGTGTCTGTTGTTGAGGTATGCTTGTTTCTGTGAAGCAACAAACTGTAGCACTGTGCCCAAGACAAATTTCCCCTCGGGGACAATAAAGTTTATTCTATTTTATTCTACACCCCTGCAGAAAAGCTTGTAGATGCTTTTATTACAAGTAGGCTTGGTGACTGCAATGCAAGGTTCACAGTCTCCCAACAAATCTGTAAACCAGAATGATATACACCAGAGTTTTAATTGAAAAAAAACCAACAAGCTAATCCCACTCCTGTTTTAAAGGCTCTGCAATGCTTGGCTGCACATCGAAGATAATGTTTGTGATAATGTATCCGTCAGGGTTGGAGATGTTAGTGCTGTTAATACCGGCCTGTGTGTTTGCATCATTATCATCACTAGCACTCATTCAAGTGATATGACTAATAACAAGACTTTAGGATAACAGTTTGGAGATGGCAGGGCTGGTGCAAGGCTTTTTAGGGCATTAAGAAGGATTTGACCACCCCACCACTCACCCACATTGTTTTTTAAGTCTTTGGATGGACATTACTTAAACTGTATTTTATAAGATTGAAGATTTTAGACATTATTTGATGTTCTAAAAATAACAACAAACACAAAGTTAAGAAACATACAAACGTCTTGCAATGTACAATTAAAACCACAAAAAAGAGGGATACAACATTCTTAAATTGTCATTTTACAACACAAGGTTTTATAATAAGGGGCGGCTGTGGCTCAGAGGCAGAGCAGGTCGTTCCTTAATCGGAAGGTTGAGGGTTCAATCCCGTCGAAGTATCCCTGAGCAAGATGTTGAACCCCAAATTGCTCCTGATGCTGTGCATCGGTGTGTGAGTGTGTATGAATGTTAGTTTCTGTTAGATGGGCTTTGCTGTCACTGAGTGAATGTGTGTAAAAGGGTGAATGTGGCACGTAGTGTAAAAGCGCTTTGAGTGGTCGGAAGACTAGAAAGGCGCTATACAAGTACAGGTCCATTTACCATTTACCATAATGAAATTTAGGTCATAGATCCTTTCATGCTCGTAAAAACAAAACGTACTGACTAAATTTACCCGGTAAAACATAACAAGCAACCAGCACATTGCACTTCCCAAATCTGGAAATTTAAGAGCAAAATGTAAAGGAAACATATAAGGCAATAAAGGAAAAAATTAACCAAGTAATCAATGAAACTTAACATTTTCATTTGCTCATTCGGTGGGCACTTTGCTGCAGCTCCTGGTGAAAATCATACTAGTGCTGTTAAAGGATGTTCTTGACTGTTGAGTTTATAACTTGTAACAAATATTATCCTCAGTGTACTGTGTTACAGTATAATAAGTGGTGTGTTGTGTGTGTTGTGTAGATCTTTGGGATTGAATCCATCATGGGGAATACCTCCCTGTGGCCTATCCTGTTGGCTTTTACTCTGCTGCCGGCTGTCCTTCAGTGCGCCCTGCTGCCCTTCTGCCCTGAGAGCCCCCGATACCTTCTCATCAACTGTAACGAGGAGAGCAAAGCCCGCAGCAGTGAGATACACACACATTTTCCACACATATACACACATTTCACAAAAACACAGTTTTGTACAACATAACATTGGCAAGAGTAAAAGCAATAATGTAATGCAATAATATGTTCACTGTGCTCAAATACCCAACTCACACAAGTTTCTCACAAGTTACTGCACCAATGGCTACCTGAAAGGTTGGTTAGCACCTCATGGTTTCACCACATATATCCTGCCAAGCACACCGTGGACCCTCAGTGTGCGGCAGCTTTATAAATCCCATTCCAGACATAGATGTAACTTCACTACTGTCCTCCAGTCTTGATGAAGCTACGGGGCACTGACGAGGTGAGTGAGGACATGCAAGAGATGAAGGACGAGAGCCAGCAGATGATGAGGGAGAAGAAGGTGACCATCCCTGAGCTGTTCCGCTCCCCCAACTACCGTCAGCCTATCTTTGTTGCCATCATGTTGCAACTCTCACAGCAGCTGTCTGGAATCAATGCTGTAAGTCAAAGGACCAAAGAGGAACTGTGGCCTTCAACTATTGTATGTGTGCAGTTTGCTGCAAGTTTGGCCGTGTTACAAAAAACTAGGGTCCTACAAATGTGGTCCTAGGATTGTGAAAGTGCAGCCTCTGGTACTGTAGGTACATGCTACATAATCTCGCTTACACGGCAGATAAAAAGGTCTTTGTTATGATTTGATAATCACTATTAAATAAAACAATTTGTATAGGGGCAAGTAAAACTTGACGAAAACGATTTCTGACCCACTTACACGACTGGACAAGAGAAAAAAGAATATTAACGCTCAACCCTGTAATGACTGTATGCCATATAGGGAACTATATATTTGTATATTATTTTTATTTTACTCTAAAGGCAGATTTAACCCAGTGCTAAGACTTTACTGCCCATTGACAGCATGGGCATGCAAAATCCATAACATCTATCTGCATGGGAACATTCTTTCCCACAACAAAATGATGAAGGAGATGACAATAGACAGGACACCTCATTGTGGAGATATTTTACACATGGGAATGTGTCAGGATCTCCCCCAAAAAAGCTGGAGGGCTTGGATAGGGACAAGGACATCTGGGCTACTCTGCTTAGACTGCTGCCACCTCGACACAGACTCAGACAGACTGAAAAAAATAAATAAAATGAATGAAGAGATGAAGCCTAACGTGGTATTATTTGCCCAAATTTTAGTATTTTGATTTTCTTATATCATGTCTAATTTTAAATCTTAAGATACTCAAATATTAAGTAAATCTTATTCTTCTTATAGTTTTAGTGAGTCCAAATTCTTAGTTCAGATCTCAAGTCTAAAGTGTGTAGCTCATACACACACTAACACAATGTAAAGTAACTGTTCCCTGTGTCGTGTATCCTCTTCAGGTGTTCTACTACTCGACTGGGATCTTTGAGCGAGCAGGTGTGTCCCAGCCTGTCTATGCAACCATTGGTGCAGGAGTGGTCAACACTGCTTTCACTGTGGTTTCTGTAAGTCACCAAAAATATATTTTTTTAAAAAGAAAACAAAAAAGGCTGCAGTCCAGGCTGCAATATTTTACCTTCATTTTGTAATATGATACTTTCTATGCAGTTGTTTGTGGTGGAGCGTATGGGCAGGAGACCACTTCACCTCATTGGTTTGATGGGAATGGCAGTTTCAGCTGTTTTTCTAACTGTTGCCATGGCGCTGTTGGTAAGTGTTTGAGATCACCTATTCTTAATCTGCTAGGCTTTTCATATAAAGTGACTGAAAGTCTCTGTGGTGCACCGTCTTCCTTAGGACCAGTTCAGGTGGATGTCCTATTTTAGTATTGTGGCCATCTTCAGTTTTGTCGCCTTTTTTGAAATCGGCCCCGGCCCCATACCCTGGTTCATTGTGGCCGAGCTCTTCAGCCAGGGGCCCCGGCCTGCTGCCATTGCGGTTGCTGGTTTCTCAAATTGGTCTGCCAACTTCTTAGTGGGGATGTGCTTCCAGTATGTTGAGGTAAGACAGCTTTCATTTTAAAAATATATTGGCATTGTACATTTATGTTAAATTTATCTTCAGTCCAGAAATGGCATTTACTTTCCTAACAGTTGGTTATTCCATTTCCTTGTTCCCATCATTTGAAAGACTTCATGTTTTGCTTTCAATGTCTCTACAGCAACTCTGTGGCCCCTATGTCTTCATTATCTTCACCGTCCTTCTGCTCGGCTTCTTCGTCTTTACCTACTTCAAGGTGCCAGAGACTAAGGGCCGCACCTTTGATGAGATTGCAGCAGGTTTCCGCCAGTCAGCTGGTCAGGGTGCTGACAAATATTCAGCCCCTGAAGAGTTCAACACCCTCAGGGGGGACGACCCGGACCTCTGAAAGCTTCCATTCATGCACACACTCACGTGCAGCAAGGTTACAACACAACATGTTGTCATGTCATGTCTCAAATATCCCATAAGCTAATTAAAGGGTCAGTATTTAAGAAGAGGTTTAATCTGCACACAGACTGTAATAAAAATGGATGACCTAACCGAGGATCACTGTTAGATACATCTAATAGGCTTTTAAAATCCAGTAAGTGAGAGGCTTGGGTGTGCTGCAGCAGAAAACACAGGGAGGTTTTAGACTTTTTTCCCAGTATAAAAAGCAGAAAACAAGGTCAGGGTAATATATTGGTGTGACTATGACGTTTATCCAGCAGAGTGTGCTGTGGTTTACAATACTGTGGCAAGCAGCACAGAGTAAGAGAGAAGAAGCAGCTCTTAGCAATGTCAACTAGAAATGGTTGACAATCTATATGTTAAATTATTAACATGTTAAAAAATATTTAACTTTAGTATTCTTAGTAGTTATTTGTGTTAGAAAGCAGCCTTCTAAGTACCTTTGCAAAGTCATATTGGTGCACATCCACATAGACAAGGTCTATTTTAATTCCAGCTCAAAAATAAACTATATTGGCCGCCATATTGGTAGTCTAAATTGTTCCCTCTAAAATGGATATCAGTCTCAAAAATCCCATTTTGGTCGGGTTCTAGTTTAGACAGTAAATATTTGGAGTTAAATTATGTAGTAATATTCTTATTCAAAATAGAAAATTTAACATTCAGTGTATAACTTGAAGACCTCAGTTTCTATTTCATGTCTGTTATGCAATTACATTTTCTATTTAAAATGGAAAATCTCTGCTGTGTAATCTTTGCATTGTAGGTCATAAGTATGAGATTTTACTAAAAAAGTTAGATTTAATTTAGTAAGTCAGAACTACAGTATATACAAGTGATTTGTGTCTAATAAACCCAGACAGAAATTCAGAAAAAGCTGAAACATTGCAAAAAGGTGGAAGAAAAGCGGAAAAGTTGGTGGAACCATAAAAGTGAAATCTGAGAAAGTGCAATGGAAACATACTTAGTGGAGATCTGTGTGGAGGGATGAAGAGACTGTAACCTTCCTCACATTAATATATGAAAATAAGAGAAATTTATATTGTCATATGGTTGTCCATAATTTGTGCTTTGACTGGGGCTCCTTTAATAACAACAACATGTTGCATGCTCTTCTGCAACCACTTATTGACAATGACTGGAGAATTAGCACCACCAGCTGTTTATCATCAACCAATGAACTCATATTCACACAACAGTAGTGGGTGGAAACACATTCATCTTTTGCGAATTGGAACTTTGGTTAAAATTTGCACTACATTTGGATTAAGTACAATGTACAATTTTTGATTCACAGTCATTGTGACATACTGATAATGACATGAAGGTATGTTCAGACTGACTATGAAGAATTGTTTTTGTAAATTTGTTTGTAAAGTCTGTGTTTATTTATCCCAAACAGCCAAGACTAACTCAGACTTAGTGTGTAAATAAGTAACCTATAACTTTCTCCAACAACTGATGTGTCATTGTGCTAAGCAGCGCTTGGTTTTTGAATCAATCAATCAATACCTTGAAAGCAAAGGGGAATCTGAGAAACTATAGTAATGGTCTTCTCCTTCACTAACATTTATCCTCACATGGTAGACTAAACTGGTGACATCACTTTTGTCAGTTTTTCAGTAAATCACTGTGGAGCTTACAGACAAATTTCATGCTCATTTATTCTGAGTTAGAGCAAAATTCAACATTTTTGGAAGTTCATGCACATTAACTCTCTGGCAGAGAGTTAGATGAGAAGATTGATCCCACTTTCATATCTGTCCTTTAAATAAAACCTTAGCTTAGCACAAACACTGCAAACAGGCGGAGACAGCTAGTCTGGCTCTGTCCAGTAGTAACAAAATTCACCTACCAGTACCTCTAACTGTTCCTCTCACTAATTAACATGTTATATGTTGTTTGTTTAAATGTCCACTGTGTGTCATTTAGGAGGATCTATTGGCAAAAATGGAATATAATATTCCTTGGTATGTTTTTATTAGTGTATAATAACTTGAAATTAAGACTTGTGTTTTTGTTAGAATAAGCCATTTTTATCTACAGAGAGGGCTGGTCCTCTTGACAGAGGCTGCCATGTTGAACCGCCATGTTTCTACAGTTGCCCAGAGCAGACAAACCAAACACTCCAGATAGGCCCATTTGCATTTTTCGTGAGTTTTGCGGCCACCGTAGTTTCTCCCACATGCTTGGGAGGCTGAGCTGTATTCAAATAGTTGCAATCTTGGACTTCATTGCTAGTTGCCACTGAATCCTGAAAAGTGCAAACCTGCCAGTTCACCATTATAAGGGTGTTATGTGTTGAGACTGCTTATCTACTGGAATGCCAGCTGCTCATAGCCAAGAATCTTTGCATTGATATACTACATATTTTGCAATGTTATGCAGTCTGAGCACACTTTTACAGCTAAGACAGAGTGATTTCAAAAGGTCAAATTTTCCCGTCTCCTTTTAGCCCCAGCTGTTTCTGTATATTTCATAATAACTGGATCACAGTTGGTTATTTATAATGAATATTGTAGCTTATGTATATGTACTGTATAATTAATTAACCTACTGAAGTCAACATCCATTTCACATTTATGAATTAACTTTACTGTGATTTGTACATTATGAAATTGTTTTGTCTGACAAATAAACTGTACAGTGTTTTAGAAAATAAAGGATATATAAACACAAGTTTCAATTACATTTTTTTCTCTGTTACTGAAAGCTAATGATGACAACAAACTTCCTATGATGAGACTAATATTTCAGTAAATACTGCAGGGTCAGGATAATTGGATGCAGATTTAAAATGTAGTTTAATGATTGTACGAAGATCATGGTTAGTCAGCCAGGGTTAATGATGTGGATGAACAAGTAAATGAACAAGTATTAGGGCCATTGTGGAGGATGAAAGTCGAATTACTTTGGGACATGAAGTCATTATATTGCAAGGATATTTGTAATATGATAATGAAAACAACAATACATAATACATAGCATTAAAATGTATGTTTTAAAAAGGCTATTAAAAATGGGGGGCAGGTAGGTTCAATGGGGCCTATTTAAACAGGCTCTTACTGAGGATGGTCACATCTGTTGGAATAAAGATTTTTGTATCCATTCTTCCTGACCACTGGGATTTTCAGTTGGCGGCCTGATGGCAGCAGATTGAATGCTGAATAGAGAGGATAGGTGGGGTCGTTGTAGATCTGGATTGCATCGTTGAGAAAAACAGTCCTGTATTTGCAATTGTTTGCTTCCAATGATTCCAGCTGATCGAAGCAGATGGCCACCCACCTAGAGCTGAAGGGTCTGTCCGAGGTTTCTGCCTCTTAAAAGGAAGTTTTTCTTTGCCACCATCACCAAGTGCTTGCTCACGATGGGAACTGTTGGGTCTAGGGTTAACCATAACCCTAACCCTAAATAGGGAGATGCAGCTCCATTCACCGAACGCGTGGATATAAGGTTTTTGAATGTGAGACAAACGATGCGAGAGTTATTAGCCTAAACCTACTTTTCTTAATAGTTGCGCCACCTAGTGGCCTACCCCAAAGTGACCATAGCATTTCAAAGTTTTCACCAGGCCTGACAACTTTGCCAAATAAAATAAATCTGGATTATACGTTCAGGGGGTCAAAAATGCAGTCAGCGTTCCTAATAATAATAATAAACTGAGCAATTACAATAGGGTCCTCCCAGTGTTGACACTGGCTCGGTCCCTAATAAAAATGATAATAATAATCATATCAGTAATATTAGCAGTGGGAGTCAGGCAGGACCATGGCAGCAGGCACCACCAGAATCCATAAGAACCTGTGGGACGATTATTAGACTATTATAAAGATGTTTTATTTTAAGGAGTTAATGGACAATAAATACAACAAAATTAGGCTGTTCTTCTTTGTTCTCTATAGCTACTGACTTGTATCAGTCACTGTACATATGATTGTTGACTGCCAGCAGTAGCTGTATCCATACATGTCCACAGGAAGACAGCTGCTGTGCTGGTGGCATGATTTACAGAGTTATTCCTAGAAAGCTGAATCAGAGATCACGGCTGAGGCTGGAAAAGTGAAGCTTCAGTCTGCACATTTCTGGGCAGAGCACAGTTACACAGCATTTTATGGAACTGCTGAACTTTCACCTATTTATCTTTGATAATGACCTGGCCTATTAAAACATCAAAGTAGGTTATAATGACATGACAAAATATCTTATCTTATCTTCTATATTTTTTCCTTCTAATGCAGTACCTCTCTTCACTGACCTTGAATGAAGAATACCTATTTACTATGAGTCATGGGGAAACAGCAGACACTGCCAATATCTGTATGCTAAACCGGTTTGGCTGATGAAACATTACACAAGGAATAGGAAACAGCATCCTGATTGCACGATCTACAATGAACCCACTGTGTAACAAAGTATGAAATCATGTTTACAATGGGATATGAACAATACATAGTGTAATGCTAACTGGTGAAAGGATGCTGTCCCCCAACTTTCCTTTGGTGTCACCACTGTAAAACAGCGTGGCAGGCTGTAAAAAACAGCCTCTTAATCTTATTATACTCCTTCATAAAAGAAGGAAGTTAACTTAATTGTGCAAAAAAGTCCATTAATTAAATCTAACTCAGAAATGAATTGCTGAAGTTGTTTTAGTGCACTTCAATTTGTGCCGGATCCTTAAATTATTGGTGATATAATTCCAGTTTGTTCCGCTTGATTAATTTCCTTTACCTCATATGATTACAAAAATGTAATCTCCACTGTGCTATAACGCTGTATAGTTTAGGATTTGCCCAAGTATGCATCCAAATAAAACTGTTTAAGGAGATTGGTTTCCTCAGTTTGAGTTGTACTGACTCATCTGTTTTACAGCAGGTTGACATGGAATCATAAGGGTGTCATTTTTGCCAAAAGGCAGTGAGTTTGCAGCTATAAGATTTTTAGTGAAACATCTCAACAACTGTCAGATGTACTGTGATCCTCTGACTTTCCCTGTAGCGCCATCAACACATTCCAAATACTTGCAAAAATATTATATATAACCCGTCAGCCTCAACAGTACTTTGTATTTAAAGCTAATGAGTAAATGTCCATGGAATGGCGCCGGCGTCATGGCAGCTCCTATCATTATTGTAGTGTGTTTTCAGTGTTTTTTAGCCTGTGTTTTTTGCTATTTTTAACTGTTTTCTTACTTTCTTACTTTCTTACTACTTTGTTCACGTCGCCTAAATACATTTTTGGCGTTTTTGAGCACTTTTTATTTTTTGTTTGCACGGGTCTCCATGGCGACGGCGAGTCGCATTGTTTACACCCGCGACCAGATGATCGCCCTGAGGCCCCCTAGCATCCTGACTGGAGAGAGACCCTCCATACCGGAGGAGCTGAGGAGGAGACGGCGAGGCTGCAGAGCGGGGGTTAAACGGAAGATGAAGAAGAGGAGCTTTAAACCCTACAAACGTGGCTACATGAGCAGATACCGGACTCCAACGTCACCATGCCCGGCTTCCAGACGGTTCGAGCCGACAGGGACACCACCGCGACCGGCATGAAGAAAGGAGGGGGACTGTCCGTGCTCATAAACAACAGGTGGTGTAACGCCGGGCACGTCTGTGTGAAAGAGCGTCTGCAGCCCGGACATCGAGCTCATCGCCGTCGGACTTATCTGCGACGGGAACTTTCCAGTGTTATCGCCATCACTGTCTATATTCCTCACAGTGGTCTTCATCATCACCATCACTGTTTACATTGATGATGTCTTATTTATTCTCCTGTACAGCACTTTGGTCAACTTTGGTTGTTTTTAAAGTGCTTAACAAATAAAGTTGGATTGGATTGGATTGGAATGTTAGCATGCTGACATTCAATATGCCAATCTTGGTAAACATAAATAAGAGAGAGGTGATTACTCGTAGTCATGTTTTTATTACAAAATAAAAGCAGTATTTGTTTATTTTAACTAGATTTCATGCAGGGTTCCTACTCTTCTTAAGAAATCACTGTCCAAGAGTTTGTCTTTACAATACAACACAGCACTTGCTCACAATGGTGGACAGCTGTTATGGGACAGACTTGATGCCAAAAGTTCGCTTTCCATCTTGTAAACCCACTTTGAAGTGTAGCACAGTGTTTCATACCAACAGTCAAGGAAAATCCCTGCCAATGTCATGCACTGTCCTATGGACTGACCTTTGTACTTGGAGTTATGTAGTGGTAAAGTCACTATATGTTCTGCAGCAATACTCCACATTCATTAGGAATAGATAAAGGTGCTGGATAACTTAATAACACACACTCACCAGATTATTTGTTGTACAGTCCAGAAAAAAATATTTAATCAGATTTAGAAAGCAGGTAGAACAAAAAAATATAATAACAATAATAATCAATTGTCACATATAATAATAATTTCACTATCATTATATGTGACAATTGAATTACATTCAAAACATATTAAGGCAGCAGGGACAGACATGGGAAATGTTTCTCCTGTAACAGTACACATCAGTAAAAATCAAATTCAAATATAGCATTTGAATTATTTTCTTTTATGAAATTAAAAAGAATACTAAAAAACATGTTAAAATTCAATTCATTTTGTAAATGTATTTTTTTTGTTTTTTCAGTGACATTTGTCCATAAGAAAACTCTTAAAAACAATGTGACTGAAACTTGTTTGAGCACAAGTGTAATTTATAAACTGGGAGTGCTACTCAGGATGAACCTCCATGACTTAGGAGTACATCATGGAAGTCAAAACATTCAAAAATGTTTGGAGAAACATGGTGTTTCATTTTAAACCATATTTTCCATTCACTCAAATGTAAAAAAAAATAAAAAAAAAATAAACACTTAAAAAAAGTCTTTACAAATACTGTGAAGTACACTTCTTACTCAAGCTCTGTATTGCAAATAGCAGCTTTTTTGGACAATGCATAAAACAGCCAGATAGTGTTCTTTCTTTCCCTAAAAAAGTCGTTTGAAATGACTTTTATTCAGAGAGAGTTCCATCGTTGAGTTGCTCAGGAGATGCATCGAGCAGCTCAAACATATCATCAATAACCTGCCACAGACAGTTCTCCAGAGGAAAGTCATTGTCCACCAGATTGACCAGGAAGTAGTTGTCACGGATATATTTGATGATCATTCGTGAAGGAGATTCGTCTTCATAGAGTTTGGCCCACTGCTCGATCCACAAGGCAAAGGCCTCATCCTGAGGAAAACATAGGGACAGGTTTAGTGAGGAGAACAACTAGTAGATAAACACGTGCTTCTGATTACATTTTGTCACTTGACCTATTTTTATCGTCACATAAACCAACATGTCCCCATTATCTCTCAAGGTGCCCGTTCTGCCTCACCAACCTTTCCATAAAACAGGTCTTGATCAAGAAATCCACTATTTAGAAAGGTTTATTTAGGAGTCTAAGTAGAGAACCCCTAACCTCACGAGGCAGCTAGACTTAGCTATGCACTTGTGTCCTTTTCCAAACAATTTCCAATGACAACTTCCCAGATGGTTCTGTGTAACAAACCACCTGGGACAGTTAGGGATAACTTAGTCTACTGTCCAAATGGTAGTAAATAAGAGATTCAAGCTGACAGGCAACAAATTAAAAGAAAAAACAGTTTGTCTTAGTTGTCCTCGACTAGTAGTTGTTAGATAAAACCAATAGTCGACTAATAGTTAACTCCGCTATTAGGGGGCAGCCATAGTCTTAGTAAGGTCTTCGGCCACCAGAACAGCTCCGCTGCACCATGGCACTGATTCTGCAGTCTCAGGAACTCTACTGGATTAATGGGCTGTCTAACATGTCCCAAAGGTGTTCAACTAGGCTGAGATCTGCAGACTACAAAGACCACAGCATATGATTCACATCATTTTCCTACTCATCAACCATTCAGTGAGCCCTAACCCTATGGATGGGTGCATTGCAATCCTGGAAGAGACCACTTCCATATGGATAGAAATATTTGATCATAGGATAAAGGTGATCACTCAGAACAACTTCGTATTGATCTGCAGTGACCCTTCCTTCTAAGGGGACAAGTGGACCCAAATCATGTCAACAAAATGCCCCCCACACCTTAACAGAGCCATGGCAGCACTCAGGTCTCCATCTTACCTTCCAATACATAAAGCTGACTGGGTCTGCTACAGTAGGTTGAACAATCTCCCTGCCAGGAAATATCCCCCACGTCACAGCGTTGGGCTGCATGTCAGGGGCGTTAGTCAAGTTACGGCCCTGTACAAAAAAATAAATAAATCCATTGTGACCTTTTTATAATAATATATATTGCACACAACTACAGAATGGCAGGTGCTTTCTGTTCAAACTTACGTGCACATCAACAATGTGGTAGTTGACACGAGGCTCATACTTCTTCAGCACTTTGAGGAGAGCGGTCACATTCTCACTGGAGGTAAAGAACTCCAGATAGGCCTGTTGGATTTAAAACAAGAACACAAAGGTCAAATTAGACAAAAAAAATTTAATTCCCTACCCACTCCATCCAAAAAGGCACAAAAAAAGCTGAAAGTGTTACTACCTTCTGAAAGACGTATCCTCCAGCAGGTCCCCAGCCAACTATAGGGTCTGTGGAGGGTTTGCCGTTGATGTTGGGCTGGGAGTTGATGGTGAGGACTCCTCGTCTGTTCACCTTTTCCAGCTCATCTTTCAGCAGGTTGGTCTCTGGGGCCAGAGGCTCATCGTTCCATGGCAAACACATCACCTAGCAAAGAGGGAGCCTTTCATCAATATCCTCTTATATTTGATGACTAAGTAATAGTTAATGGTTGGGTTAAAGTATCACACACTTATTCTCTTAAGAGTGAGATATTCAGACATGAGATTGAGATCTCACTCAGAAAGAAAGCAACTACTATTCCGTAAATATCTGAAGTGACATTTTTCATACAAGTTGAATGTCGATCACAGGTTTTCCTTTTTTCTACTCATGTTGCCTTTATTGTAAGTTAAGTGCACACTAATCAGACCTTATCTGAGATTAGCAAATTAAACTGTTTTCCAAGAACCAAGTTAGTTGGATGACAATTGACAGGATGTTAGCTGGCTAATGTTACAACATTATGCCTGGATTAGTTAAACCACGTTTAAAATGCAAAAAAAAAAAAAAATCCAGTGTAAGTGTCTGTCTGTGAAGTTAGATCTAGGGAAAGCAAACTCATGACCAGTTAGTTTGGAGACCAACACAGGATTCCAATCTGTAACGTCACACCACACAACATGGCAGTGGAACAGTTTTCTGTTTTCCTAGTCTTTCAGCTTAGAAAGGACACATTACAAGCCTAATTTTGGCATAAAAATCATAAAAATGACTTTTTAAAAAGGTTCTATGGCGTGAAAGTCTTTTAGCAGTCATATCAGTCATCAGCACTGTAGATAAAGTATTTACTGTTCCATCTTATCTACCTTGTGTCCCCTGCTGTTGGGTTGGGCTGTGATATAGCAGGTGAAGACCTCATAGACACTCTCCTCATTTATTAGCTCCTCACCCCACATCTGCAGCAGTGCATCTTTGGAGGACTTGCTCTTCAAGTAGAACAAGTAGTAGTCGTTTAACTCACCAAAAGCTGGAGACGAGGAGTTTCCCCTGAAGACAGGACACCATTTAGTTGTTTGATAGTAGGCTTCAAATTTTTTACACATAGTACATAAACACCAATTCACATAATGCAATCTATTCATCTAAATTAAGGATGTAAAATGTCGATGATAGTTTGACATGTATTCATTAAATAAAATGCATTAATAGGGAAATTCACATTCAAGTTTTGAGAGCTCACCATCTGCCGTTGGGGAACTCATCCCAGTCCTGGGTTCTGTAGATGTAGCTCTTGGGCCTAGATGCCCAGAAGATGGGTCGAACATCTTCTACCTTGCGTTTGGGATGGGCACTCACTGCCCAGGGAAGAGGCCGCCTGGCAAAGAAAATAAGCTCTGAAATTCTGGACCATTTTGCATCACAATGCCAGGCAAACAAAGAGCAATGGGCCTGTTCCACAAAATAGGTTGATGTTGCCAAGGACACTGGTGATCCTGGGTAATATATTTCTAAAGAAGATGTCTCTATGTATTACCCCACAGACTGTTGACTGACCTAGGATCTTCTATCCACAGGCCCAGCTGTCTGAGCACCTCCATGGTGGCAACCTCTCGATTCAGTGTGTAGAAGTGGAGGCCTGGTACCTTGCCACTGTCCAGCAGCAGACGGCACATGTCCACCGCCTGTTGGATTCCGTAGTTACGGATAGCAGCATCGTTGTCTTTGATGGGCTCGATCACTTTGGTGATTTCCTCTGGCACCTCAAGCTTTGATAGCTTGACAAGCTGACGCAGAGACTGGTAACCCTGGAGACCAATGGGTTAAAGTCCGGCTTTAGCCCCACTCCTTGAAATCAGGCAACTGGCAAAAACGTTCACCAATGTTCACTGCATTCTCAAAAACAAAGAACCCTGTTCTTCTTTTACTCAGTCACTGCATTTTCGAATGAAAAGTTGCTTTACAGGAAGTAACTGACCCTTCCTACGTTTGTGCTCTGGCCTCCAATAAGAGTTGAGCAAGCCTCAGTCAGAGCCTCGGTCAACTTTCTTCTTGCCTGTACTTAGATATTCTATGTGCTAGGTTAATCCATGTTGAAAAGACAACCACATTTTTAAGATGGTTAAAAGATAAAAGTGACATATATAGTCCGATCTTACAACTAAACAGTTCACTAAAATATTTTTCTGAAAGCAGTAACAGAATCTTGCTTCGTATTTAATCAGCACTGCCTAGTTTACCAGTTTGATCTGAGTTTCGTGCGCTGCGTTGGACAGACTGCTGGACATTACCTGTCAATCAAAAGGTAGCCCCGCCAAAAAAGCATAGGCAGCTTTATCGTCTATTTTACTCTAAATTGGATCTAATCATTTACATCATCATTACAACATCATAGTGTATGAAAAGAGATGTTAAACTAGCAGCTGAGACCCTAAACTCATCAGGAAACCGTTTACTGAACTTATAAATGAACTTGACTCTTTCTGCATTCAAATGAATTGGATCAATGTGTTATTGCAGCCAACGGAGCCCCCCTGCTGGCCAGAAGCTCTGTCCATTATATATACTGTCAATAACTGGAAGTTAGCTAATGTTAGCAAAGTGCTACGTGTTGTGTTTATCTATTAATCTTCTTCAAAAACACAGCATGTCTAAGTATAGTAAGAAGAATGTTGACTTAACTGTCATTGGAACACAGAGTAAAAAGGGGGCGGGACTTAGGTAGGGTCAATGAATCTACCTATTATTTACCCTACTAAAATTCACCCTACTAATAAGGGTCTCGGTCACTGTGTGAAAAGGCAAAATCAACAAATAGACTGGTTCCTATAGTTTCTTTCAGTTGTAGGAGTGTATTCCGGTTCCTGGAAGCAGCAGTTAGTTACCTGAATGGGGAAGATTCCGGGTAGGATGGGACATGTAATACCAATTGCTCTGCAATCATCCAAAAACTTGAGGAAAGTGTCTGCCCTGAAGAACAGCTGGGTGATGACAAAGTCTGCTCCAGCATCCACCTTATCCTTTAGGTGTCTCAAATCGCCCTCATAGCTCTCCGCCTCAGGGTGGCCTGTGGGGTACCCTGGAGATAGAAACATATTTAAATCACTGACTGATACTTCAAAAGTAGTTCCACTTAAACTGTCTACCCTCGATGTGAACACAGAAAACATACCAGCAACACAGATGTCAAAGTAGTCATCAAACTCTGACCGGATATGTTTAACAAGGTCGATGGCGTAGTTGAAGCCTCCCTCCTCTTCCTCCCAGTCTGCTCCCACTGGGTCTGCGGAGGTATCACAATATTCATATGTTATAAGGATCTCAGCTATGCTCTAATTTTATTCCCACTCAGTCGGTGGTAGCCAGTGCCATCTTCTTTGCTGTTGTAGGGCAGCAGGCTGAGGGCAGCAGACGGCAAGAAGATCAGCAAGATCATCAGGAAGGCTGGCTCCGTCCTGGGGGTCCAACTGGACTCTTTGGTGGTGGTTTCTGAGAGGAGGATGCTGTGTAAACTGCACAGTATCCTGAACAACAACGCTCACCTTCTCCACCAGGTGCTAACCTCGAGCAGAAGCACCTTCAGCAACAGACTCATTCCTCCCCGGTGTAACACAGAACACCAGAGGAAGTCTTTTCTTCCTGTGGCCTCCAGTCATGAGAGGAACAGTGGAGACACTGTGCCCTGAGCAAATGTCACTTTATAATTTTTTACCCAATTTTCACTTCATCACTTTATTTAGTTGTACTGTACCTTAGTTAATTTATGCTGCTAACAAATGCTGCCACAATTTTTATTACTTTTACCACTGTTACCACTTTATCCAATCGCTCCTCATCACTTATTTAGTTTGTACTTATTTTATTTCAATTTATGCTGCTAAACTGCTCGGTGCGTTTTGTTGTATATTGTATATACCTACGTTTAACTGCAATGTTTGTTGCATTTGTCATATTTACTTTTTTTTACTGTTACCTGTAAGTGCTTGCATTTTGTTGCATTTAGTTAATTGTTCGATTTATTTTATGTTAGCCTTTATTTTATTATTTATTTTATTTTATGTTAGCTTATTTTTACTCTAACCCTGTATTACTTTCCCACCTTTGTATTGAAACTGTCGCACAGTAATTTCCCTTGGGATAAATAAAGCTTCTTCAATCTTGAATCTTGAATCTTGAATTGAATGTGGAATCATCCCCATTTTCTCATCATATCTAAGACTAACAATGCCAACGAAACAGTAGGATCGGGATCAGGCCTGATCCAGGCATCTATAATGGATCATTATCACTTTATTTTCAAAATGTAGCCTTAATATTCTGTCATAAACACTGCATTAAAAAAAGGTTTGTAACTATTTAAAGTTGCAAGAATCCACCGGGTCAGAATAAAAACAACCAATCAGAACCAAAAAAGACAGTTGATTGTTGAGTTTCATTCCCAGGGCATCAAATACAAAAGCTTTGGGAGCTGGGAACAAGACAGAGTAAAAATGTCAGCAAATATGACAAAAAGTTACCTACTGCAGCTTTAAAGTCTTTAAGGCCTATGACCTATTTTGTCACGAAGGACTATAGAGCAAACAGTTCCCTCTTTATTAGTAATGTTTCTGACCACTCAGAATCAGAAAGGAGTGCACTACAGGGTACCAACACTCCTGTAATTAATATGTAAACAAATGTCACCTGTCTTACCTCCCCTTAGTGCCATGATGTTCTTCAGGCCCAGGTGCTTTGCTTTGGCCAGGTAGCCAGTAATCTTCTCTTTGGTCTGGTTGCAACAGGTCAAGTGGAGGATGCTCTCCAGGCCACAATAGTTGACTGCTGTGCTGGCAATCATCATGGAGGAGGTTTCCTTATCTGAGCCTGGGTCCCCTGCTGGATGCCAAGTAATGTCAATGAACAGGGGCCCTCCAGAGCCCATACGGTCAAATCTGAGGAAAATGTCAAAGGAAATGGTCCAGCTGTTGTTTGGGAACACATGTAGACAATTCTTGTGTTGCTAGTGAGAATGCTACATTGAAATACCATGACTGATATTTGTACTTTAAGTCAGCCTCTAAAATGTGTCACTCACAGTAACATATAAGCAAACTATTGATTAAAGACCTCTTTGAGCTACTGGTCTATCATGGTTGAACCAGGCTGCCAGAGGATGTGGGCCGAGGCCAAGTAACTTTGAATTATTTTTACAAATAATTACAAACTAATAAGTACAAACGTTTCACGAAATTATTTGACTATGTCCTTGTGTCCAACTTTTGTATTAATAAAAGTAAAAATGTATGTGTAGATTATGTACAGAGCTTTTGACAGAAGTAAGTCACAAAAGGGCTTTAGAGATGCAATATTAAGAGAGAAATAATATGATATATAAAACATACATTATAAGTAAGTCCAATATGATTTCACGTGCCTTGAGATGAGGTTGACAGCTCCACTGGCTGTGCGGGGAGGAAAGAATTCCAGGGAGAACCAGCGGTCACCGGACTCCATCCTCTTCCGCATCTTGTCCCGCAGCCTGTCCGACCTGTCTGCATCGAGCACCGGCGTGGAACACCGGGAACTGTCCTTGGAGCTCTCCCCGCCGCTGTTGCTGGCCCCGCTGGAGTCACTCTTGCTTGACTGCCAACTACCATCCCCTCGCTGAACCTGGTTTACCATGATGGCAAATTATACTGGGAAAGAGAAGACACAAAAACAACTCAAATTAAAGCTGCAAGCAGCGTTGGGCGGGACCTCGCACTCCATGCAATTCGGGGCATGCTGCGGCCACGTCACGTGCCGTCGTAACACGTGCGGACCACAACATGACAATTTCGCGTAAATCAGCTCAAATTTGCCACACAGCGCTTACTTTCTGTTGCCAGTAGGTGCTGCTATCACTATGTCTTAATATTGTCATGTAGTCCTGTTCAGGGTGGGACTCTTGTCAAACACGTGAAGTTTAATTGAGATTGGACCACGTACGCTGAAGTTATGAGGACGTGTTCAGGGCGAGACTGTTACAGAATATAGGAAGTTTATTGGAGATTGGACATTACACACTGAAGTTATGAGTACTGTTTTATGGCGAATCGGCTGAATTTGACAAGTTGTCACTGACACGCAGTTTAACATACATTCACAAATAGCTCAACTTTTCATCTACAGTTTGTTTCGATTGTACTGTCCAATTTTGAAGTAGATTTGAAGTCCCCTATTTATCTTGCAATTTAATACTTGACTTCCAGTGGTTTCCCACAATACTCCAGGAACAATACTTCGTAGGAAATATGGTTTGTAGATGTGGCTACTGGGCGTGGAAGGTGTTTGTGTTTTATCACTTTGAAAAAAAGAAATGTACATTTATGTATTTGTGATCAAAATTCAATAAAAATGTCTGAGAGAAAAAGATAATTCCCCTATGAGTTTGTTCAAATACAAGGTAAAAATTCACAGAAAATGACCAAAGAATTCAAAATGGCCAACTTTGACGGTACGCCTCAGACACGCCCTTCAACATACAGTCACAAAAAGCACGGCGTTCATTCAGCAACATTTTTTGACTGTACTGACCAATTCTGAAGCAGATCCGATAAATTCCCTTGGAGCAGTTTGTTCAAATACAAGGCGAAAAAGTGAAAATGACAAACAAAATGGCCGCCGAGAGTGAAAATGAAAATCAAAATAGCTGACTTCCTGTAGGTTTTGGGGCATGGGTCCAAGAGGCTTTTCTGTACGTCTCGACATGTTACACGTGCCTATCGAGTTTCATACATATTGGTGAAACGTGGCGCCGGGGCTGCTTTGTTGAAATACTGTAGGAGGCGCTACAAACACGACAAACGGTCGTGGTATGTGAGCTACAGGCACCAGTCTACACGTGTCCTGTGAATTTCATATTCATAACTATTACGGTCTCCGCAGAGTGATTTACCCTGCCACCAGAGTGCCACCCAGTGGCGCGTATTTTTCTCCTTTTTAAAGTGATCCTCAGGGAGCCATGGGCAATCATCGTACCAAGTTTCGTTTTAATCACACTTGCCAATGTGGAGATATAGACTTCTTCATTTTAAAGAGCACCACCTTGTGGTGATGGCCTGAAATTGTGCACGAAGCCTAATGTACACATAAGGAACTATTGATCCAAGGTTGGTGTCAATCGGACATACCAATGTGGAGAAATGCCCCACTTCCTTTTGTGACGAAAAATCAACAGAAGTGTTAATTTTATAATGTGCTTATTTTTTGAAATATCAAAATACTTAAAATTAATCTTTTTGCCAGGACGGTCTCCAGGTGGGACGTGCAAAGTTTCGTGTGAATCGGACAAAAACACATGGATGGAACACGAAAACGTAGTTTTTGGACATTTTGCACAAAAAAAATCTAGGCGGAAGTGGGCGTGGCCTGTATAGGGAGATTCAGCTCCATTCACCGAATGCATGGATATAAGGTTTTTGAATGTGAGACAAACGATGCGAGAGTTATTAGCCTAAACCTACTTTTCTTAATAGTAGCGCCACCTAGTGGCTGACCTGAAAGCGACACATAGAATATATAAATTACACCAGGCCAGACAAGTTTGCCAAATAAAATTACTCTGATGTTTATGTTCAGGGGGTCAAAAATGCAGCATATTCCCTAGGAGGAGTTTGTTCAAATACAAGGCGAAAAAGTGAAAATGACAAACAAAATGGCAACCGAGACTAAAAATAGCCAACTTCCTGTGGGTTTTGGGGCATGGGTCCAAGAGGCTTTTAAGTAGGTCTCGCCACGTTACACGTGCCTATTGAGTTATATACATATTAGTGAAATGTGGCGCTGGGGGCGCTTGGTTGAAATACTGTTAATAATTTTTGGTATGTGAGCTACAGGTACCAGTCTACACGTTCCCTGTGAATTTCATATTCGTAACTATTACATTCTCTGCAGAGTGATTTACACTGCCACCAGAGCGCCACCTAGTGGCGGATTGTTGAAACATTTTTTAGCAAGCCTCTGGCAGCCTCTGGCAAGCATTGTACCAAGTTTGAAATTGTACACGATGCCTAAGGAAGACATGTGGAACTATGGACCCAAGCTTGGTGTCAATTGGACATACCAGTGATCGACCAGAAATTCCTATTTTCACCATAATTTACAGAAAGTGCTAATTTTATAACATGCTTATTTTTTGAAATATCAAAATACTTTAAATTTGTTTTTTTGCCAGGATGGTCTCCAGATGCTACGTGACAAGTTTCATGCGAATCAGACAAAAGTGCAGGAATGGAACACACAAACGTAGTTTTTGGACATTTCGTGCTCTAGCAAAAAAATTAAATCTAGGTGAAAGTGGGCGTGGCCTATATAGGGAGATGCAACTCCATTCACCAAACGCGTGTATATAGGTTTTTTGAATGTGAGACAAACGATGCAGGAGTTATTAGCCTAAATCTACTTTTCTTAATAGTAGCGCCACCTAGTGGCCAAGCCGAATGTGACGCATAGAATATCCAATTTTTAACCAGGCCTGACCACTTTGCCAAATAAAATACATCCGAAGTATATGTTCAGGGGGTCAAAAATACAGTGAACATTTCCCACAAATAATAATAACTTTAGCAAATACAATAGAGACCTCACAGTGTTTGACACTGGCTCGGTCCCTAATAAACTGAGCAATTACAATAGGGTCCTCCCAGTGTTGACACTGGTTCGGTCCCTAATAATAAACGGAGCAAAAACAATAGGGACCTTCCAGTTGATACTAGCTTGGTCCCTAATAATTTGAGATATTTAGCTATACTTTGACGGCACGGGACAAACGTCACACCAAACCCAATTCAACATCATTTGCAATTCATTGTTGATTATGTTTTTGACAATGTATCTCATAGCATGAACAAATATTACAATAAATAATATAAATACTGCAGAATAAGGGCCACGCTCAAATTAAAGATACATTTTTAAAGTCCTGCTTGCCAACAAGGAACCCACACCTTATACTATGTGGTCCCTTTACAGCAAGGATCTACTAATAATAAATAAACCGGCTGGTTTGTGGTAGCTGTTAGTGATAACGTTAAGTGCCAAACACAGAGCGACAGAAGGCGCTCCACTTCATACCTAGTATATCACTCACACGCGCACATGCACGTGAAAAGTATGGTAGTAGCAAACACTTATTTAGAGTCTAACGTTACTAGTTTTGTTGGCTGAGCACAGCATGCTACGTGACTCACGAGCGATGTTAGCTAATTGGCTATAACATCGAGGAAATACAGAAGTACCTCAGACTCACAACAAGCTTGTAGCTAAACCCAGGTACGTTCTCTTAGTGCCGGAAATGAACGCAAACGTTTCTCGCACCTCCTTGTGTTGCCAGACTGTCTTCTATCCAAGACGGAACATAAGCTGCTACAATGCGTGAGACGCAGCCGGAGAGTCCATCAGACGGCGATATTTCCTTTCCAGGATGGCGATGTCATTTCCCGCCGTACTCTACCTATGATTGGTTTACCCTGACCAATCTAACTCCTCACGCCTAACCCTAAACAAACAAAACAAATGAACGTAACGAGTACTAGCCAATAAGAGGCAGAGTAGGGCAGGTCATGACTTCACCCTTGGGAAAAGCCGTCGGGCGCAGTGTGGAGGCGGGGCCGCATTTGTTTCATTAGGGAACAATATATATTGTCAATGGAGAAAACACGTCGTTTATACACAGCAGCAACGGGTGTGTCGCTACCAATGGTCGCTACGCGTGAGGGATATGTTGTATAGACGATTTTCATATAATTTTTTATGAACCTGATCCTGGCTCTAAGATTCTAATAAACTTTTCACACTCAAGCACACAATACATTTGAGTGAATCTATTATATGGTTGTTAATTTAGTTAAATGTGGTTGGAATTAAGTACATATCGTTATAATCTCTTTATAACACATTTTAATAATAATAATAATAATAATAATAATAATTAAAAAAAAATTAACTGAATGTTGAAAGTGATTAGTTGTTCGGGGCACCAAACCAACATTTAGTTGGTTAATATTCGACTCCCCGCATGTAAATAATCGAGAATGCGCTCATTTAAAAATGCATAGATTATACGCAGTTTTGACAATGTGGAACAACTTTCCGCCGTTGGCGTCACATGACACCACCATGCTGCATTTAATTGTCATTGGAAACATGAAAACTTTTTAAAGATAGCGACAATGCTTTAAACATTGAATTTTAAAATCCAGTTTTAGGACACAGCTGAGTGTGTGTGGCAGCGTAGACCTCTTATTTTCGGTAAAACATGCTATTCGATGCAGCACCTACTAAATGTGTTTTTAAGGTTTCTCAAGCGATTTGGATACTTGTCAAGCTTGGTTTCACCATAGACCGTGAATACAGCATGACACAACAGAGAAGATGGCGTGTTGTGGAAACTGTTTTTGTTGCCAATGTTGCTGCAGAGAAGGGGACACGCGGACACCCGAAGAACTGGTAAAGAAAGATATAAGAACCCGGCCAACGCGGGATCTTGCTTATTTTATAATCGGTTACTTTTCCTCCGAATGTCCCCTGAGCTCCCCTCAGTGCCATTCTGGCTTGCTTGCTCCACCCTGCTGCTCAGTGACTGTGTTCAGTTGTCTTACAAGCAAGCAAGCCACATGACCTTAAATCATTTCACAATCGATAACCGACAGCTAGGCTGAAACAGAACAAATTCCTTCTTAAGGTGTAATTTTCCTCAGGAGGATATTGCTTTGTTGGTTTTCCTTGTGCTTATGGAGACAACGCTCTTCGACCAAGCTCCATTTATACATTTCGCAATTTAGGGGTTCCTTTCTTTTTAATAAAGATACATCACTCCCATACCACTATTTAGGCGTTATTTGGCTTAACGGAATCCCTTCTTCAATTCGGCATGTTACATGGCAATCAGCATTGCACCAACAACTGTTATGTTAGATTAAAGTACCCCGTTATACCAACCGTCATCTTGCATCCAGCCCTGTTTAAGTGTTGTTAATTTGGCGGTATGACCAAATACGTATTATTTGTTTTTTGCATGACTGGAGTCAAGTTTCTAAAGGGTTATTCTACTGTCAGGAGTACATAGAATATAAAAACATTTTTGGGTAATCATGTACATGCATATTGAAGGCTTCGATTACTATAAGGTTTTCTCGGCCCCACAAGTTATAACTTTAACATTGCTTTTCAAAACAAAATATTTTAAAATAGTTGTATAAACACTATGAACTTATTTATATCTTTTGGGAAATTAAAAAGTATACTGATTCAACTGGTATATTGCAAAGCACTAATTAAAGTGTTGCTTGCGAGATGATCAATATGCCAAATTTACGCGATGGGCTTACTCTCAGTCAGGTGTTAACATTTGCCAAATAAGTCAACTTTGCTGAATTCAATTATCTCATGTCTCCATGTTGTGAATTCATCGCATTCAACTACTTTTTGTGTGTAGCTGGCTAGCTTAATTTCTCCCCCCCAGACAATCCTTGGGGAAATCAGAGATGAAGAAGATGAAATTCTACCCAGAAAAGACTATGAGGTGAGAAACCTCTGAAAAATTCATCATTAGGAGAAAGATCTCAGGTCAGTGTTGATGGTTTCATGCTGCCCCTGGGTCAGTGGATGTCAGACTCAGGTAATAGTACTTGTTTTGGCTTTTACAGAGCTTGGATTATGACCGCTGCATTAATGAGCCCTATGTGGAGGTTCTGGAGGGGATGGACAACAAGGTAAGAAAAGTTAAAAGTGTTTTTTGTTGGGTTATAGTTAAAATCTACTGAGAATGCAGACATGATTTTATTTGTGTGTCTTCACCATATCAAACGTCCAACAGTGGGACTGTTGTTCTATATTTCATCTACATAGGGCTACTAAAAATAGGCTTTTTACTACAGCTGTTGTTTGGAAGAAGCTACGGAGGCTAGATGTTTTCAGTGTAACACTGCTACAATCTTTCTCTAGCATTCTTCATGGACTTGTCACCTACGAAAGAATTAACTCTGTTCCTCTCAATATTAAACCTGGTGTTTCACAAGGGTTTAGAGTTCTTTTTGTTCCTCATTATTGCTGAAATTTTCACTTTGTCCTGACCAGTGTTCATTTTGACAGCAAATTCTGATTTAGTCTTAGTCTTTTGAATAACACCATTTAGTTTTAGTCATATTTTAGTCATCTGAAATCTTTTAGTCTAAGTCTAGTTTTAGTCGACTAAATATCATAAGAGTTTTAGTCTTAGTCTAGTCTTAAGTCTTTTAGTGTTAGTCTAGTTTTAGTAGACCAAAAATTAGCAGATTTTAGTCGACTAAATCACTGTGGTTTATCTGATAAAATAACCTTAGTGTGTATGCTAACCTTCGCATGTATTTCTGGGTGAGTCGTCTGTAAATGTCACTTCAAGTTGGTGTTTTTTTCCCAGCAATCTTTGCTCCACACGGTTTACAGACCGTCTTGTTGTCCTTGTTGTCAGATATGAAGTGTGACCAGATGTCAATTCTTCATTTTCGTCCTAGACCTAGCTCTGACATTTCTGTTGTTTATGAGCCGTTGCCCTCAGACCGGGTGCACTGCAAAACGTTAGCGTGTTACTGACGTGTTGTTGAGTGTCATTTAGGGGTCATTAGAGGGTCCTAAAGTGTATTTGACACCCTGGGAATAAGTGTTGTTCAGACCTGGTAGATTCTTGCTAATCTCAATTTGAGATATTTTATTTCAACTGTTTTTATAAACAGTTTTTCATCTGCCAATAGAAAGCCAAAAAGTATGAAGCCGTACGGTGGATGATGATGTTTGCCATCGGAGTCACGGTGGGCCTGGTAGGTGCCTTTGAGATATCTTGGTTTTCTTTGCTAGATTCCAACACGTTGCTGATGACCAGAGAATGTTGCCTTCATGTCTCTTTCAGGTGGGCCTGTTCGTGGACTTCTTTGTGCACCTCTTCACAAAAATTAAATTTACTCTAGTTGGTGATTGTATCCTTTAACGTGGCAATGTTGTAATGTTATGATAATAATGTTATAATTTTAGTATACAAGTCGTAATATTACATTCTACAACAATTCTATAAGGAAAAGGTCATAAGGTCAAAAGAAGGAGCTGTAATTAAACAGTTTAATCATTTGAAAAAGTTATATTTTCATTGTGTATAACTGTTGTTGGCTGCTACAGTAATATCACAACAAAAGCAGCAGAGTTGTAATTCTAAAAAGACAGGATTATCCTCAGTGTTGGTGGTTATTCTATCTTAGCTGAACGCCTCCAGCTATAGAGAAGTGCACTGACAAAGGCTGTTTCCCTCTGTCTCTGCTGGAGCTCCTGGCATTCAACATGACCTTCGTCTTCATCGCCAGCGTGCTCATTCTCATTGAGGTAAGACTGCTCAGATACAGTAGGTATCCTTTAAAAATGGTCCTCAAGCATATAATGTTTTATAATATACAATATTTGTAACAATTAAATTCTAGCATGAGGTCTAGCCACTCTTGAGAAATATCCCCACATAAAAGATGAACAGATGAGTCCCACACAAATATTTATTATCGTTTGGGATAAAACTACAGACTGTCAGTAAGCTGGTGAACATAGTTACACTACATTATATGCAGTTCATTTTCATCAATTTACCAATTCTACCTTGTATCAACAGATACATCTACATTATATGTTTAATTTTGAATTCAAAGAAAGTATGTTTGTGATACAAGACAATACACTAACCTGTAGAATCATCTGATGATGCTGACATGCTGTGTTATGGTGTTCATCCCAGCAGCTGTCAGACTCAATTACCTCTATAACAATACCAGTCATTTTTTACACTATAGTCGAGTTTTTTTGCTTGCACTACCTGTATAGTCCCCTTCATTATTTATATATATATATATATATATATATATATATAATTTCTTACATGCACTTCATGTTCATAGCTCTGTGAAATAATTTCTGTAATATATTTTTTGTCCGGTGCAATTATTTATCTCTACAATATACCACTACCTCCTTCTGCAGCCTGTGCAATATAATAATTTAACTTTAAATCTCATCTATATAAAAATACTGTATATAGTTTGTACATACAACCCAAATTAAATTTGTTTTCTTACTGTCGTAGTATTTTTATTTTTTTTGTTATCTACAGGTGCACCTCAATACATTAGAATATCATGGAAAAGTTAATTTATTTCAGTAATTAAATTCAAAAAGTGAAACTCTTATATTTTGTAGATTCATTACACACAGAGTGAAATATTTCAAGTGTTTATTTCTTTTAAATTTGATGATTTTGGCTTACAGCTAATGAAAACCCAATAAGAATATTGTGAAAAAGTTCAATATTGTAGACTCACAATGTCCCATTCTAATCAGCTAATTAACTCAAAACACCTGCAAAGGTCTCTGTCTGGTTCAGTGGCTACACAATCATGGGGAAGACTGCTGACTTGACAATTGTCCAGAAGACAGTCACTGCCACACTCCACAAGGAGGGTAAGCCACAAAAGGTCATTGTTAAAGAAGCTGACTGTTCACAGAGTGCTGTATCCCAGCATATTCATAGAGAGTTGAGTGGAAGGAAAAAGTGTGGTAGGAAAAGGTGCACAAGCAACAGGGATAACCGCAGCCTTGAGAGGATTGTAAAGCAACAGCCATTTAAGAATTTTTGGGGAGATTCACAAGGAGTGGACTGAGGCTGGAGTCAGTGCATCAAGAGCCACCACGCGGCTGTGTGGCTCAGAGGCAGAGCGGGTCGTTCCCTAAGTGGAAGGTTATGGGTTTGATCCCCGGCTCTTGGTGCCACATGTCGAAGTATCCTTGAGCAAGATACTGAACCCCAAATTGCTCCCGATGCCATGCATTGGTGTGTGAATGTGTATGAATGTTAGTTTCTCTTCGATGGACTTTGCTGTCACACTGTGACTGTGTGAAAGGGTGAATGTGGCACGTAGTGTAAAAGTGCTTTGAGTGGTCGGAAGACTAGAAAGGCGCTACACAAGTACAGGTCCATTTACCATTTACCATTTACCACGCACAGACATAAGCTACGACTGTCGCATTCTTGTGACAAGCCACTCCTGAACCAGAGACACTGTCAGAAGCGTCTTACCTGGGCTAAGGCAAAAAAGGACTGGACTGTTTTTTAGAGCACTTCATGCTTCCTTCTGCTGACAAGCTTTATGGAGATGCTGATTTCATTTTCCAGCAGGACTTCACACCTGCCCACACTGCCAAAAGTTCTAATACCTGGTTTAATGACCATGGTATTACTATGCTTGATTGGCCAGCAAACTCGCCTGACCTGAACAAAAGGAAGATTAGAGACACCAGACGAGCTGAAGGCTGCTATCAAAGCAATCTGGGCTTCTATAACACCTCAGCAATGCCGCAGGCTGATCGTCTCCAAGCCGCATTGATGCAGTAATTCATGCAAAAGGAGCCCCAACCAAGTATGGAGAGTGTGTGTGTGTGTGTGTGTGTGTGAGTGTGTGTGAGTGTGTGTGTGAGTGTGTGTGTGAGTGTGTGTGTGAGTGTGTGTGTGTGTGTGTGTGTGTGAGTGTGAGTGTGAGTGTGAGTGTGTGTGTGTGTGTATACACTACCAGTCAAAAGTTTGGACACACCTTCTCATTTAATGGTTTTTCTTCATTTTCATGACTATTTACATTGTAGATTCTCACTGAAGGCATCAACACTATGAATGAACACATGGAATTATGTAGTAAACAAAAAAGTGTGAAATAACTAATGTTTCATATTTTAGATTCCTCAAAGTAGCCACCCTTTGCTTTGTTGACAGCGCTGCCCTTGGCCTTCTCTCAATGAGCTTCATGATGTAGTCACCTGAAATGGTTTTCACTTCACAGGTGTACCTTGTCAGGGTTCATTTGTGGAATTTCTTGCCTTCTTAATGGGGTTGGGACCATCAGTTGTGTTGTGCAGAAGTCAGGTTGGTACACAGCTGATAGCCCTGTTTGACAACTGTTAGAATTCATATTATGGCAAGAACCAATCAGCTAAGTAAAGAGAAACGACAGTCCATCATTACTTTAAGAACTGAAGGTCAGTCAGTCCGGAAAATTGCAAAAACTTTGAATGTGTCCCCAAGTGCAGTCACACATGGGGACGAAACTGGCTTACATGAGGACCGCCCCAGGAAAGGAAGACAAAGAGTCACCTCTGCTGCTGAGGATAAGTTCATCCGAGTCACCAGCCTCAGAAATCGCAAGTTAACAGCACCTCAGATTAGAGCCCAGATGAATGCCACATAGAGTTCTAGTAGAAGACACATCTCTACATCAACTGCTCAGAGGAGATTGCGCGAATAAAGCCTTTATGGTCAAATAGCTGCCAAAAAAATGCTGCTAAGGAAAAGCAACAAGCAGAGGAGATTTGTTTACCAAGAAGGAGAGTGATGGAGTGCTGCGCCAGATGATCTGGCCTCCACAGTCACCTGACCTAAACCCAATCGAGATGGTTTGGGATGAGATTGACCACAGAGTGAATGCAAAAGGGCCAACAAGTGCTCAGCATCTCTGGGAACTCCTTCAAGACTGTTGGAAAACCATTTCAGGTGACTACCTCATGAAGCTCATGGAGAGAATGCCAAGAGTGTGCAAAGCAGTAATCAAAGCAAAGGGTGGCTATTTTGAAGAATCTAAAATATAAAACATGTTTTGCGTTATTTCACACTTGATGCCTTCAGTGAGAATCTACAATGTAAATAGTCATTAAAATAAAGAAAAACCATTAAATGAGAAGGTGTGTCCAAACTTTGGTCTTGTGTAATTTTCTGAGATACTGAATTTTGGGTTTTCATTAGCTGTAAGCCATAATCATCAAAATTAAAAGGAATAAAGGCTTGACATTTTTTACTCTGTTTGTAATGAATCTATATAATATGAGTTTCACTTTTTTAATTGAATTAGTAAAATAAATTAACTTGCACCTGTAATGTGTATTTTTTTCTCTCTGCTGTGTTACCTCTGGAGCTGCTGTAACAAGTGAATTTACCCAGTCTGTGATCAATAAAGTCTATCTTATCTTATCTCTTATCTCTGTATCCAGCCAGTAGCTGCAGGTTCGGGGATCCCAGAAATCAAAAGTTACTTGAACGGAGTGAAAATTCCTGGAATCGTCCGGCTGCGAACTTTTTTCTGCAAGGCTGCCGGGGTCCTGTTCAGTGTGGCTGGAGGTAAAGTATGACAAATAGTTGTGTGCAATATATACTCACCAAAATCTAAATATGTGTATATTCCAGTGCTGTCAGTTAAACGCGTTATTAACGGCGTTAATGCAAACCCATTTTAACGGCGTCAATTTTTTATCGCGAGATTAACGTTCTTTTTGGCCTAGCACACTTTGTAGTTTTTTTCCTATGCTGTTGCAACAACTAGTAACGTTAGAAAAACTACAACACCACACCGGATCTAGCTAGACCACAAACAAAACAACAGGCACGCCGCACAAAAGTATTAGACGTTACGTTTTGAGTGGATGGCGAGCGCGAGATGCCGAAATGGATGCCAATTATATTTTGAATGGAAAGTTTACTTTTAAAAAGTTGCCAAATGGTTCCATTGACAAGACCAAAGTGATCTGTGTGTTTTGTTGTTGTTCTCCGCCCCCTCGTCAAAGCCAGGCGACAATGGATGATTTTTCAATAAAAACAACATTTGCACAAAGCAAGCCGATCCACTTTTCCATGTTGATAAGAGCATTAACATGAGAAAAAATAATGGGACAAAAAGAAATCAAGGGACATTTAGAATAGATAAAAATGTGCGATTAATTGCGAGTTAACTATGACAGTAATGTGATTAAATATTTTAATCGTTTGACAGCACTCGTCTATTCATATATTTACTCGATCAGTGACTATGTAAAAGTACTGCTAACTTAATTTAGAAAGATATTAGAACATATTTTATGTGTTTTCTATATATATATATATATATATATATATATATATATATATATATATATATATATATATGTATGTAATGTGATGTAGTGTGCAAAGCATTTCAAAGTGGTAGAAAGTAACATAGTACATTATTTCAAGTACTGTACTTAAGTACAATTCTGGGTACTTGGAACTCTGCTTGAGTATTCCCATCTCCCCCCTCTTTCTACTTCTCTTCTACTTTGACATCAGAGGTTACAAGTTGCTTTGCATTAAAAAAACTTGTCATATGGTTTCACTTAACAGGTCAAATTATCCAGTATTCTACAACAAAGAACATATTAGAGAAAAAAAGATAGCCCAAACAGATTTGTATACTGTTTTTTCATCTTTCCTTTCCCATCAATCATCTCACAACCTGTCAGATTTATCTGGTGACCCTTTGTTAAGACCCAACCCCCTTGGTTGGGAACCAATGGGCTAAACCTGCTAACTGTACATAGGGTAGTACCATCTGCATCTGGATCATTGACAACAGTATATATGCGAATACTTCTGTACTTTTTTCAATTGGATTTTTACCGCTTGTAATGGAGTTATTTTACATGTTTTATTATCATATCATTTAGGAGGATCTAAAGGGATATGATATTTGAACGTATGTTTTCATTAGTGTACAAGCACCTGAAAATAAAAATCGTGTTTGAATAGTAGACAAACCACACCAAACTAAACATTCGCTCTAGGCAGGACCTTGTACGTTTTGGTGGCCACCGTAGTTTCTCCTACACATTCACAGCCTGTTCTCAAGCCCAGGTTGGTTGGTTGCAGTGTGCCATTTTATCTCTAGATGCCACTAAATCCTACACACTGGTCCTTTTTAAACCAGTGATTCTGAAACATTTTTCAATAATGTAACCCTGTTGAAATATTTTTTCAGCCAAATACCCCGTGTCCTGAGATAACCTCTGTTATCAATTGGCGCTGTACAAATAAAATTGAATTGAATTGAGTTGAATTGAGTTGAATTATAGTATAATTAGTTTAGGAATTATGCACGACTCATATAGTAAAGTACCCCTGCAGTACTCCAAGGTACCCCTAGGGGTACACCTACCCCTATTTAAGGAACATAACTTTAAAGTTTTTAAGTGGTAATGAAACAGTCTCAGTTTCATACTGATGCCTCAGTATGATCTACATAAACAAACGAGCCCTCAGCAATAAATGATACTTCTGTATTCTTAATGCCTTCCTCCGGATCAGATTCGGTCAGATTCCCTTGAAATCAATAAAACAAGGTGGTAGAAACGCTGCTGCTTTTGTTCACAGGGGCCACCAGAATCAACACAAAATGAAAGTTACTTGTAGCTGCTTTATGTTATGATTGAAGTACTTCTTTCACCACTACAGAAAAAAGTTGATTCAAGTTTGTGAATGTGTAAAAAAGATTTGTAGTCAGAAACATGTGAAGAGAGTAAAGATGTAAGATAAGATAAAATGTTTCTGATTGATTCCGGGTAGAGGAAATTCAAATTGGCACAGCAAGACTGGGGAGTGTAGCATGAAGAATAAAGAAAATAGAAAAAAATATATACTCTACAAGCGGGGAGAGAGAGCTGCTGTGTCAGGCTGCCACTCTCTGCAACGCTGGAAGTGGAATCATGCAAAGCAGTAACCATTCACGTGAAGTGTCATTTATCATGATATGAAATAAAGATACATTGACTTATCAAACAGAGCCATCATTTATGTCCAGTACTAGTGATGAGTCAGCGGCGAGCAGGTGGGTGGACAGTGCCTCTGACTCAGTGTGTGTCCACTCAGGTCTGTTTGTGGGGAAAGAAGGTCCGATGATACACAGTGGAGCCATTGTGGGAGCTGGCCTTCCTCAGGTATACCGCCATAAAATCATGAACACAACATAAACACATATATAGACCAATCAACCATAACATTATGACCACCTGGGCATCCTGACTGGTCTGTGGCATATGCAACAAACTGATGCACTGTGTGTTCTGACACCTTTCTATCAGAACCAGCATTAACTATTATTAGCAGTTTGAGCTACAGTAGCTCGTCTGTTACAGACCACACAGGCAAGCCTTCACTCCCCATGACCCTGTCTCCGGTTCACCACTTCTCCTTCCTTGGACCACTTTTGATAGGTACTGACCACTTCAGACCGTGAACACTCCACAAGAGCTGAAGGTTCTGCTCTTGTTTTATGCTCTGACCCGTCGTTAAGCCATCACAATTTTGCCCCTGTCAAAGTCGATCAAATCCTCATGCTGACCATTTTCCACACAACACATCAACTTTGTGGACAAAATGTTCACTTGCTGCCTGATATATCCCACCCACTGACTGGTGCCATGATAACCAGATAATCAGTGTTAATCACTTCACCTGTCAGTGTTCATAATGATATGGCTGATTGATGTATGTGTGTGTATATTGTTGACTTGATATATAACTGGACTTGACTTAATTCAATTTAATTTAATAGGGCTTGAAAATGTTTAAGTGAACTTGATCTAAAATTATTTGATTCAGTCTTACTAAGCTTGACTCGACTCGACACAACTCAAATTGGCTTGACCTAATTTGGCTTGATAGAGATAGGGTTTCACTCATCTCAACTGTACTTGACTTAGATTGATGAAGTTGAAATTATTTGAGTGGATACCAGAATTTGATATGATTTTACTGGATACAGTTTGATTCAGTAAAATGATTGGCTGTTATTGCCTGTTAAATGGTCCAGCCACTGATGCATTTGATTTTTTCTATGGCTCATCAGTTGTTTTCTCCCTCTATCAGTTTCAGAGCATCACTTTCAAGAGGGTCAAATTTGATTTTCCCTACTTCCGCAGCGACAGGTATGGCTGTGGTACACACTCTTTATTTTGTGAGAAAAAAAAAAAACACAGGTGGTTAAAGACGAGATAGACCTTAATACAGTGGGTGACAAGACGGGATTAGCACAGTGGGGAAAAGCATGCCTTGGCAATTGCTAATGGGAGAAAATAAAAAAGAAACCCCCCAAAAAGTTAATGGTTGGGAACTATGATGTGGGATGTATGTATTATATAAGTTGGCAGGCATAGCTTATGGTATTGTCTTTCCTCAGGGACAAGCGAGACTTTGTGTCAGCGGGCACTGCTGCTGGAGTAGCTGCTGCCTTTGGTGCTCCTATAGGTGGCATGCTCTTCAGTCTTGAGGAGGGCTCCTCTTTCTGGAACCAGGCCCTCACTTGGAAAGTGGTACGTCACCTTATCCAATGAACACCAAGAAGGTTGAGACATTTCTGTTCTTCTTGATGACTCAGTAGTTTCCAGCCATGCTAACAGATGGCAGTGTCAGCCAATTCATTTAATTCAATTCAATTCTTTTTTATTTTAAGAGCGCCAAATCATAACAACAGTTATCTCAGGACACTTTTCAAATAGAGCAGGTCTAGACTGTACTTATTAGTATTATTATTATTGTTATATATTCACTTATATATTACTTACTTATATATATATATATATATTCACTTCACTGACCCAGAAGCTCTTTTCACTAAACACAGTTGATCCTTCCTAAGTCCCCTTTTTGCCAACAGTTGAGCAAGCCTCAGGGGCCAGTCACACAGAAATGAATTGCTAGAAACATGTCGCCTGTAAAATCATTGTTTTCCATGGTACAGTGTGCCTGGCATGCAGACAGCCAGTCAAATAAAGTAAGAGGCTGCAGCCGTGGAGCCGATGTCTCATTGCAGAGCCGTAAAGACAACCAGGGAGGGCAAAATGGAGAGAAATTACAATTAGGTGTGCTATTTCACTACCATGGACGATGTCATAGCTCTATCATTAAATAGAGACCTGCTGATGTTCAAGAATTACAACTTCTAAAGATCAGATAAAGGATAAAAAAATCGACTAAACAGGCATTCAGCATTTGACATTCAGTGATGCTTGACGCTCATATAGCCACACAGTCATAAAGCCTACACAATACAACCACACAATAAACCCAAACATGACAACAAATTGAGCTACAAGTCTGCAAGCAATGTGTGTCCTGCTATTAATACAATAACCCAGCAGTCAACAACACAAGCGGCAACAAAGAATTTTGGATTAGATAGTCAAAAAGGCCAGCATCTGACAGTCTGCCATTGCAAATAATGGACATGAATCAATTTACCAACAATGTTTCATCCAGCAGCTGTCAGTTTATATCCAAGCCAGCAGAAATGACATGAATCCACTGTACTCTGTATGAAATGTCCGAACACTCTTAACACGTTTGAACATGACAAACTCGACATATTCCAACCTCCATCTTCGTCATCACGGTTGTTTTCATCTACCTGCATGGAGCTAGCTAATGTGTAACTCCCGGGGGTTGAGCCTGTGCACATCAAAATCAACTGGCGGGGGCCCTATTAAGGGGGTGCTAAGTGCTGGTGTGGCTTGCCTCTCTTGCAGAAGACAGACTGGTCTGAGTCTGACTTCTTTGTTGCAATCAAGACATACAACTAATGTTATTCAAAATATGTCTGTCAGAGAGAAAGCTTTGTTATACAGTTACAAGCACATAGCTACTAACCATCAAGTAGTATGATTAACTGTTCTCCCTATCCAGCTCTTCTGTTCCATGTCAGCCACCTTCACTCTCAACTTTTTCCGCTCGGGTATCAACTTCAACAAGTGGGGCTCCTTCCAGCTCCCTGGTCTGCTCAACTTTGGAGAGTTCAAGGTAAAGAGTCTATTACTGAAGTTGTTTCTTCATTTGGCACAAAATACGTGTTTAAATGTATTTTTTGTTTTTACTTATTCTTAGTCATTATACAAGTATAATATCCCCCATCATCACTGGTACTGCCCTCTCCTGGCTTAAATTAAATCTCATAGACGGAAAAGAGTTCATCAGCATCAACAGCACCTCCTCCTCCTTTCCGTCTCTGTTCCAACACATCCACAACCTCGGAGTAATTTTCAAAAGCAATGTCTCTGGCTAATCTCAGTCTTTCTACACTTGAAAAACATACCTTGTCTCATCCTATCTTCATTTTCTGCTGCTTAAAATGTCTGTCCTTGATCACATCCAGACTCGACTACTGCAATATTATTCTGTATTGTACATCATCCAAAGTCCCTAAGAGATCTCGATTACATCCAGAACTCTGCTGCTCACATGCTCACTCACTCCCACTCTCATGACCACACCACTCCTGTCCTAAAGAACCATTCCAAACTCCAGACTCCTTCTCCTCACTCCCAAAGCCCTCCATAACCAGGAACCTTCTTACATCACTCACCTTTTCCACCACCACACTCCTTCCTGCAGCCTCCTTTCCTCTAGGCGCCAACCTTCTGTTTGCACCATTGAAGACCAAACACCGGACCTGGGCTCACTGTCAAGCAATTACTCAGAACTCACCTTTTTAGAACTGATTTTAATGTTTGACTTAAAGGTCCAGTGTGTAACATTCAGGAGGATGGAGGAGGGTCTATTCGCAGAAACTGAACATAATATTCATGGGAATGTTTTCATTAGTGTTTAATCATCTGAATATATAAATTTCCTTTAGAATGAGCCCTTTTTATCGACAGAAGAAGTGGGTCCTCTTCCATGGAGGCCGCCATTTTTCTATAGTAGCCCAGAACTGACAGACACAGCCTTTGTCGTTTTTGTGACAAGTTTTGCAGCCACTTTAATTTCTAGGGAGACTGGCTCAGAGGTAGAACAGGTCGTCCACCAATTGGAAGGTTGTTGGTTCAAAGTAACCTTGAAGACACAAAACCCCAAACTGCTCCCGTTGCTGATCCCGTTGGTGTGTAAATGTGAATGAATGAGTTTCTGTTCGATGGGCTTTGCCATCACTGTGTGACTGTATGTAAAAGGGCGAATGTGGCGAATATAGTGTAAAAGCGCTTTGAGTGGTTGAAAGACTAGAAAGGCGCTTCACAAATACAGTCCATTTACCGGCCTTCACAGCCTGTTCTCATTCCCAGGTTGTCTAATGCGAGCAGTGATAAGTTGAATGCAGTCTGCAACTTCATCACTAAATGCTGCTAAATCCTACACACTGTTTTGTCTTTTTTTGTTTGTTAGTTCTCTAGAATCTTTTATTTAACAAGTTTTGACTTTGAGTATCTTGAAAAGTACCGTATGAACAAAATGTGTTTTAATTACTATTCAGTCTTATTATTATTCATTCTCAGTGTGATATAACATATCAGCACAGTAATGTATGAGTTTAACCCTGTTGCAAAAACTTTCTCATCAGTGTCCTGATGGAGATAAGAACTGTCACCTTTGGACAGCAGTGGACCTGGCCTTTTTTGTCCTGATGGGGGTGGTGGGTGGCCTGCTGGGGGCGCTCTTCAACTGCATGAACAAGGGACTGGCCAAGTATCGCATAAGACACATTCACCCCAAGGCCAAGTTTATCAGGTGATTGCTACGTCACCTGTTCACACAGGGAAAAGTCCATCTTCATACAAATCATCCTATCTGTCAGTTCAAGATATCAGTTAATCCGATTGCTGTACTTTTCCAGAGTTCTAGAGAGTCTGCTGGTTTCCTTGGTGACAACAGTGGTGATATTTGCAGCTTCCATGCTATTGGGCGAATGTCGTGACCTGTCTGCCCCCACAACCCATAACACCACAGTAAGTATCAGCTCTCCATCTTAGCACAGGTCCACTCTCACGGTCAACTGAATGAGCCTTTCAATGTTCAGTACAGTGTTTATGCGACAGAATTCTGAAGACAGAAGTCTTGAGAAGACTTTAAAAGCACTGAATTGAGTTTCCTTGTGAAAAGGCCTTGCTAGGTATAGAGTCTTGAGTCTTCAATAATTTCTCCTGCCTGCAGTAGACAGTAATTAGTAGTCCTTCAGTGTTTCTGGACGTGATTGCAGGCTGTCAGGAGACCTATAAAATGACAGTGTGAGTGCTGTGATAGTGGATTGTTCTTGTTCGGAGGCTGTTCAGCCTATAAGAAGTTTTCATCATTAAGCCAAAAGAAATTATCATAAATGGAGGAAATCTTATTAAAAAGTACATCTGCTTATGTTCTCGTAGACAGGACAGCAAAAAAGGTGAACCTCATTCTCGGTTTAGTTATATATAGTTATATAAGTTATACGTCACATAAGGTTTTACACTTTAACTATTTTTTTGTAAAGTTAGTTAATTTTGTTATATACCATGTATCAACACCTTTATTCATGGTGTTTCATTGGTCATCCATTTTCTGGTCCTAATCTGAGTGTGGGTAGCATTCATTTGATTAATTATATCATTAGGAATTATTGTTATATACAGCAAGGAAGTACTGACTGATTTCTCTGTGATCAGCAGGTTGAACAATATCATAGGTCATATTGTCATCACTAGTTTTCCATTATACTTTCATATTTAAACCAATGTGACATGAATTAGGTATGAAATTACATCCCATGTGGTATTAAATAATTCTTAATAAATTATTCTGCATTCAGAATAATTTATTTATGATCTCAAAATTAAGTTTTGAGGTTTTTTTTCAGCGATCCGGCAGTGAGGACATCAACTCAACCATCCGCCAGTTCTTCTGTACCAACAAGACCTACAATGACATGGCCACGTTGTTCTTCAACCCACAGGAGGCTGCCATCCATCAGCTCTTCCACCAGGATGGTGAGATAAGCGCATACACACATTCTTAACAGCTCTGTATTAGTTCAGTCATATAATTTGGGAATTTCCCCTTGAATTACTTGCAGTAAAAGACATTATAATTCGATTTATGTATTTCTTATTTTGTCTGTACTTGATTGGGGGTTAGCAGTGTTGGAAACCTGCTGTTTTTGTTGGGATTATCACTATTATTGTCATTGTATTGTCAAGTTTTAGGGTCCAGTGTAACATTTAGGAGGATCTATTATATCTAGAATTAGCTTTTTTTATCTACAGAGGGAGCTGGTCCTCTTCTACGGAGTCCACCATGTTGAACTGCCATGTTTCTACAGTAGCGCAGAACGGACAAACCAAGCACTGGCTCTAGATAGGGACTTTCACGTTTTTGCAAGTTTTGCAGCCACCGTAGTTTCTCTTACACGCTTGGAAAGCTGTGCTGTATTCAAGTGGTTGCCGTTTGTAACTTCACTGCCAGATGCCGCTAAATCCTACACGCTGGTCCTTTAATATTCACTTGCTCTTTGCATAGAGCCGCATCTAGTTTCTTTCATTAAACATTTGGCACAGTAAAGTGAGTGGGTTTTGGGAAATTGTGAAACCCACTTTTGCATCTGCTCTCTTTAAAAGGACAGTGGAAAGCAGCATGAGAAATCCTCCCAGCTTGCTATTTTAGGTGATAATATTCACTGTCTTGTCATAAGAAACCCCTGCCTCCTGTTCTTCCCATCAGGTACCTTCAGTCCTCTGACTCTGGCAGTGTTCTTCTTGCTGTACTTCCTGTTGGCCTGTTGGACCTACGGTGTGTCTGTACCCAGTGGCCTATTTGTCCCCTCACTGCTTTGTGGGGCGGCTTTTGGACGTCTGGTTGCCAACATCCTCAAAGTGTAAGATCAGGGTTCTTGTAATATTCTAATGACTAATGTTTGGCTTTACCCTATTTCAAATGGCTCTGAAATATCGGATATGGAAGCCACACAAGCATATTTCCATTCAAGTCTGTATCCCGTCACTGACCGATTAATTGCCCCATTATTTCGCATTTTGAGATAATCTGCATCAACCGATGTCTGTGCTCACAAAGCTGATGAACAAAAACATCCTCCGACACATCTGCAGGCAGCCTTGTCAGTGTGGCTGCTGTGGAACTATTTTAGCGTAGCATATTTAAACAAAGCTTGGGTGTCACCCAAGTGATTTAACGTCCATGCTGCTCGTTTCCACATGGTGGATACTGCTTACATGTCTGTTTTCACTTTCTCTACTTTGATCGCCTGTTAGCTCAAATCTTTACACTCTTCACACACACTCTCACCATCCACCCCACCACTGCTGTTTTTCACCTTCCTTTCATCACACATTGATTACACACTTGGATTGATACTGGTTCTTAATGTGTGTCTGTCCTCTTTCAGGAAACTGGGAATGGACATCTACTCTGGGACTTTTGCTCTCATCGGATCTGCCGCCTTCCTTGGAGGCGTGGTCAGAATGACCATCAGTCTGACTGTCATCCTCATTGAATCCACCAATGAAATCGCATATGGGCTGCCCATCATGATCACTCTAATGGTACACTGTTCTAATATAACTACTATCAACCACTATTTTTTAAATTCATATATATGAAATGGTTTATCTTACATCAGTCTTGAAAATGAATAGTGTTGGTGTAAATGTGTTCTGTATGATACAGTGATGTATTTCCTGCTGGGTTCATGTGGTAATTGGTTTTGTGTTGACTATCAGGTTGCCAAGTGGACTGGAGATTTCTTCAACAAGGGCATCTATGACATCCACATCCAGCTGAGAGGAGTGCCACTGCTGGAGTGGGAGACTGAGGTTGAGATGGACAAGTAAGATACAACAAGACTAAGAGCTCTTTCTGTGCAGGCGTGTGGTGCAAAGCGCCAGTCTGTGCCGGGTGGTGTTTTCCTGAGGCGTACTGAGGTTTTCTCCTCGCCTGTGCTAGTTTGGTGACTTGCATATTTGAAAGCCTGTGCCTCCTGAACGATAATGATTCCCTCTTTCTGATCCCACCCTGTTGCCACTAAATTACTAGAAGTCTAAGTGCTAGGTCTTTTTTGTCACTCTTGGAGTTCTGACCCTTCTCTAAGTTTGACTTTGGATATCAGCAAGCATCCGCTGGAGAGATTGCTTGCGTCAGCTCGTCTGTACCAAGCCTGGTTTTAACTGCTAAGTTGGTCTTTGTTAAAGCTGCAGTAGGTAATTTCTTTAAAAAAATATATATATTTCTTTCATATTTGCTGAAACTTCTGTTTTTCAGGTTTTACTCTGGCTCCTCCTAGTGCTCCTAGTGGCATTTGCAAGAATCTACCACGCCTGAGTAAAAACAACCATCCAAAGCCAAGAAAGATTCTTGAGTCTTATTCCCAGGTCCCAGAGCGTCTGTATTTGACAGAGGCTGTTGTCTAGCAGCATGTGTTGCTTGTATATGTTAACATTGTTAACAATCTCCCGATATCTTGCCAATTTGTCGCTAATCACTTCTAATTTGTGGCATCAAAGAAAAGGGAAAGGCAATTTTACCGACATTGAGATAAGAAAATGAATAGAGTTCTGCCCTGTTGGTGCAACCGGCTCCAGGTCAAAGGTTTCCCCTTTTAAGGATCCAGTGAATTGTAACATCAGTGTGTCCTGTGTGTTCATGTTGCTCGTGTGTATCATTTCCCTCATCTTTCCAAGGCTGACCGCCAGCGATATCATGGAGCCTAACTTGACCTACGTGTACCCCCACACCCGGGTCCAGTCTTTAGTCAGCATTCTGCGCACCACTGTCTACCACGCCTTCCCCGTGGTCACTGAAAACCGGCAGAACGAACAGGACTTCATGAAGGGAAACATCTTGGTCAGCAACAACGTCCGCTTCAAGGTATGTCCTGTGCCATTGAACATTTTTAGCTGTTAAAACCCAGCCTTGTATCCAGAGGGAGTTGGATAAAGAGGGGGTTGAGGACATTTCAGCAGCCAGGAATGACTCTGTGAAACATCTCTAATGATACTGACACCCTGGTAAAGCATGGACATAAAGTCTGTATGTTCTAGCTATTGTCAAATTTTATTTCAAAGAGCTGTTTGGTTCCCATAATTTTCTCCTTGTCTTCTAAGTTCTTCTTTCCTTTCACTTATTTTATAAAAACGATTTTTTCTCTTGAAAGCACTGCATTCATGATTTCTATGTAGAAGTTTATTTAACGGTGTAACCAGTAGATGGAGGTAGAGGTCTGTGTGTAGTGTCAGCAGTGATAGACCAAATATAAAAATCCTAGTTTATTTTGTTCTCTCTTCTACAGTAACCTACAATACTGACGCTAGACCTATGCTTTAATATCTCTGGATGCAGTAGGCCAGTGTGGGCAAAATTTCAATTTAATGAGTAGGAGTACTTCATGGAAATATTGGATTTAATGGATACTTCACTGGATTGGACAAAAACACGTCCCTGTCTGATTATTTTTCTTTCCTGAAAATGTACTATACCCTAATATATATTTTAGAGTTGTTCCAATACTAGTATGAGAAAGTGCTCCGATACTGCCTAAAATGTGGTATGGTGTATCAGTAAGTATGTGTCCCTGTGCACCAATCCGATATCGGTTATTTATTAGCCCCAAAACGGGACCCTGTTACTTCCCAGCAGTGTTCTGTGCAACACCCCCCCCCAGAACAGTGAAGTCATGACCCGCCCTACTCTGACTCTGTTTAACCTGAACCAGGCCATCCAACAATACTAGCAGAATCAGTATGGAGGAGGAAAAACCATGATATAATATTTTATCCATATTGCATTCTGAATCAGTTAAGCACACATTGAAACCATGACATTTTTTAATGAAATCAATCAATAAGAAAAATATTTTCTATTTGGCTCAAATGCCTTTTAGGTGCATAATAAAAAATAAAAACAGCCTTTTGCATTTCTCTTTATTTGAATGTGCCTCAGCAAGTAATAAAGCACCAATATCATTCAGATTTCCTAGATTTAAAAGGGCCCGGTGTAGGATTTAGTGGCATCTTGTGGTGAAGTTGCAGATTGTAACCAGCTCAGCCTTCCAAGAATGTAGGAGAAACTAGGGTGGCCATGAAACTCATGAAAAACAGAAATGGTCTTATCTAAAGCCAGTGTTTGGTATGTCCATTCTGGGCTATTGTAGAAACATGGCAGCCTCTGTAGAAGAGGACCCGCTCCTCTGTAGATACAAACGGCTCATTCTATTGTTATATGCCCCTTCTGCCAATAGAAAACTGCTAATTTAGATATAAGATGTTCTGTTTGGGACAGTGGTGGGGTTTGGGGGTGTTCAAACGGATCTGCACCACTACAATTTCAATTTATCAGTATAAACTTACCCTTCACTGTCACATGTAGAAATCCAGTGTAATGTCCCGTGCGGGGGAACAGCGGCGGCGGTGCCAGTCCATGAAGTCATACCCATCCAGCGAGCTGAGGAATGTTTGCGATGAGCAGAACACTGTGGTAGAGCCTGCAGAAGAGGGAGAGGACCTGCTGCAGCAGATGTTAGAGAGGAGGTAGGACAGACTTCTGAGGAATACCAGATGCTGCAAGCTTTGGGTGGCTGAAGCTCAGGAGGTAGAGCGGGTCGTCCACTAATTAGAAGGTTGGCGTTTCGATCCCCAGTGTCCTTGCACAAGATACTGAACCCAATGCTCTTGATGACTGTGCATCAGTGGATGAATGTACAGTTGTGCTCATAAGTTTACATACTGTGGCAGAATTTATGATTTCTTGGCCATTTTTCAGAGAATATGAATGATAACACAAAAACTTTTCTTCACTTATGTTTAGTGGTTGGGTGAAGCCATTTATTATCAAACAACTGTGTTTACTCTTTTTAAATCATAATGACAACAGAAACTACCCAAATGACCCTGATCAAATGTTTACATACCCCAGTTCTTAATACCGTGTATTGCTCCCTTTAACATCATTGACAGCTTGAAGTCTTTTGTGGTAGTTGTGGATGAGGCGCTTTATTTTCTCAGATGGTAAAGCTGCTCATTCTTCTTGGAAAAAACCCTCCAGTTCCTGTAAATTCTTCTTACATTTTGGTCTCATCACTCCAAATGACTTTATTCCAGAAGTTTTGAGGCTTGTCTCTGTGCTGTTTGGCGTATTGTAAGCGGGATGCTTTGTGGCATTTGCGTAGTAATGGCTTTCTTCTGGCGACTCGATCATGCGGCCCATTTTTCTTCAAGTGCCTCCTTATTGTGCATCTTAAAACAGCCACACCACTTTTTTTCAGAGAGTCCTGTATTTCAGCTGAAGTTATTTGTGGGTTTTTCTTTGCATCCCGAACAATTTTCCTGGCAGTTGTGGCTGAAATCATTGTTGGTCTACCTGACCGTGGTTTGGTTTCAACAGAATCCCCCATTTTCCACTTCTCAATTAGAGTTTGAACACTGCTGATTGGCATTCTCAATTCCTTGGATATCTTTTTATATCCCTTTCCTGTTTTATACAGTTCAATTTCCTTTTCCCGCAGATCCTTTGACAATTCTTTTGCTTTCCCCATGACTCAGAATCCAGAACGTCAGTGCAGCACTGAATGAAAGATGCAAGGATCTGTCAGGAGTTCAGAAACTTGCTGACCTTTTATACACACACACTGATTACAAGTAAACAGATCACAGGTGAGGATGGTTACCTTTTAGTAGCCCTTCAAACCCGTTTGTGTCAACTTGTGTGCATGTTATCAGGCCAAAATCTCCAGGGTATGTAAACATTTGATCAGGGTCATTTGGGTAGTTTCTGTTGTCATTATGATTTAAAAAGAGTAAACACAGTTATCATTAATATTTTCTGAAAAATGACTAATTCTGCCAGGGTATGTAAACTTATGAGCACAACTGTATATGTAGTTTCTGTTTGTGATGGGTCATCCATCACTGTATGAATGTGTGTGAATAGGTGAATATGCCATGTAGTAAAAGCGCTTTGAGAGGTCGGAGGAGTAGAAAGTTACTGTGTTCACTACTTCACCTCTTAAAATCAAGAAGGTCTTGCGATCCCCCACAAAGTTTTGGCGACCACTGCTTGAGGGTATGGCTAAATGGTATTTATATAGCGCCTTCCGACCACTAAAAATGCTGCACACTACATATCCCAGACTCACCCATCTGCACACATTCATACACTGATGGCAGTGGCTGCCATGCAAAGTACCAACTGCTCATCAGAACGGAAACTACACATTCATACACATTCATACACATTGTGTTTCAAACTGTCAAACTATGCAGTGCTGATCAAATATGAAATGTTATTGCATTGCCTGTTTCTCTCCTCAAGCCTTTTCAGAAACGTATTTTAGTGTACTGTTCATCTGTAATATGAGAATGTGTGAGACCAGGAAAGCTGCCATTGCTACAGACTAGTTAAAACTGTGCAGCCAATGAGAGCAGCCTAACTTGCAGTACATCACCACTGCTGGCTGCAAAAAACATCATGGCAACGGCCATAATGCTGAACTGGAGTTCAAAATGGTACTCCACAAACCAGTGGGTGGGTCACAATAGGTTCACAGTTGGTGTTCTAGCACTGAACCAGCCCTCCTGTAATTGTTGTATTGTTGCTGTCCACATGCAGGTATGCTCCCTACCCAAACCTGTACCCAGATCAGTCTCCCAGTGAAGAGTGGACCATGGAGGAGCGCTTCCGACCACTCACGTTCCATGGCCTCATCCTCCGCTCCCAGCTGGTCAACCTGCTCATCAGAGGGGTCTGCTATGCTGAGAACCAGTCGGTCAGTGACACACACACACAAATATATTTGTAAGAGTAATTTTCTTGACAAATTTGTTATGTACATGTGAATGTCTCTACATTTCATCACAGAGTGCCACTCAGCCCAGGTTGTCCTATGCAGAGATGACTGAAGATTACCCACGTTACCCTGACATCCATGACTTGGACCTGGCCCTGCTCAACCCCCGCATGATAGTGGTACGGCCGTTTTAAACTTTGAAAATTGAACAAGATTTCTAAAAATTTCAACAAAAATTTTAAGATCATGTTCCATGTGTTCCTAGGATGCCACACCCTATATGAACCCGTGTCCCTACACAGTGTCCCCCAATACCCGCATTTCCCAGGTGTTCAACCTGTTCAGAACCATGGGACTGCGACACTTACCAGTAACCAATGCTGTCGGAGAAGTAAGTAGTCATGGAAAGAGAGTCATTCTGTCCCAAAATGATGATTAAAGTTTTCAGTACCTCCAGTATGAACTTTTGAAGGCATATCAGGTACGATTTTCCTAAAAAAACAGACTTATGCTACATGCTACAAAAACATAGCAAGCATATATCACTGTATATGTCCCTCTCCTCTCCAGCACTGACACAGAGCTAAAACAAAGTGTGGAAATTTGTAGTCTACAAGACCACAAATGTGTAAAGAGTTGCGGTGTGTGTGTCTGTTTGACCGAGGGCTGGGGTGTGCTACACACAGCAGACAGCCACAGCAGACAGTGCAGCTTCGGCACAAAATCCGGCAATGTGCACCTTCTGCAAGACTGCAGATATAAACAAATGCTGCCCTATGGATGGAGGTTGATTCTGTGCAGCTAAACTGCCAATAAGAGTAATATTTCTCACTGTTGATTCAGCATGCTCACCTGATTGGAATAGCCGCAGACAAGGGCCAACAAGTGCAAAAACTAGGGCTACAGATGCTCACCAATGGCCCAAAATTAAGAACCATGTGTGTCAGGGACTTTAGATCGTAACAGCTGTGAAACAACCAGAAGGTATTAGTTTTCTGATTCACTGGTTTGTTCTCGGTAACTGCACTCCCTCACACCTATTCACTCTGCTCTCTGTTGGGCCAGGGAGGAGGGGCCCACTTTGAATGGTGCATTTACAAACTGCAACGGAAAACCCTGCATAGTATGCCTTTAAACGCTGTGATTGGATCCTGACACATCAGGGAAAACTCCTAATAAAAACCTTACTGTTTTGTTTTAGTCCAGCATGCAGTGAATTATGTTGTGTCTGTACAAACTTGTGTTTGCCATCTCTTTCAGATTGTTGGAATAATCACAAGACATAATTTAACCCACGAGTTCCTTGTGGCAAAACTGCGACAGCACTACATCACTATTTGATGCCACTCTGGACGTCCTGCTGTCCTTTCGGACCCCCAGACTCAGCCTGGTCCCGAGCCTTTGTCCTTGTCCAATTTGTATTCGCATGTAGGCATTCCCCAACACACACATATTTATTTAATATTTAAGTGGCTACAGTGTTATCATGACTCAGTCAAACTTTTTTCTGTCACGCTCCCCCTTCTGAAGCCAAAAAAAGTTGAGATTGATGTAGCTGTACAGTAACCTGTTATACATAACCATCTAGGAAGTTATCATTGGAAGCTGTTCACCATCTATCATGGGTGAACTACAACTATATTTTTCATGTCTATGACATATTCTACAGATATAGACATTGAAAGGTGTATATTTGCAGATATAATTTCGATATGACTATGAACAGATACTGATCACTGTCTATGTTTGCTGGTAACCATGGTTGGACCTCCACTCTCTAGTGAAGCTTTGCTGCAGCCATGCCTGATGGTACGTGTCCACAGGGGTGTTTTTGGATGCTATGGGTCGTACCACTTCCCAGCATTGGACGCTTGTAGTTGCAAAAGGCTACAAAAAACGTTTGCTCTAGTTCACCGAAATATTTTTTCGAAAAACGTTTTAAGCAAGAAATAAGCCACGCAGTTGCTGAATCTTTCTTTGTTTTTGATTGAAAACAGTTAATTTAAACGTTTTTTGCGAGAGTAAGAGGTAAATGGACCTGTACTTGTATAGCGCCTTTCTAGTCTTCCGACCACTCAAAGCACTTTTACACTACGTGCTACATTAGCCCTTTCACACACATTCACACAGCGATGGCAAAGCCCATCGAACAGAAACTAAAGCATTCATACACATTCACACACCGATGCACAGCGTTGGGAGCAATTTGAGGTTCAGTATCTTGCTCAAGGATACTTTGACATGTGACAGGACGGCCCGCTCTGCCTCTGTGCCACTGCCGCCCAGAGGTGGTAAGTCGTGCTGCCGGACGCTCCTGATTTGCATAAAGAAGCATGGACTTCCACTTTATGCAAATGAGGATCAGCTAACATGACACCGCTTCCTCTAAAATGCTACCAGAATGCACTGCATGGCTGCTCACATAGACCACATAAATCACATGGCACACCCATGGCTGCTCTAATGGTGGAAAAATAAAAAGGAAGATGTTCCGCAACGCACATGCGCAGTAGACCCAGGCAGTGCCAGGGCTTTAGTAACTCTTTAGTAAGTCTGCATCAGTCTTCTTAGATCATTAGAAAAACGTTGCCCCTAGCAACCACAACCACAGCTTCTGTGTCCACTGAAAATGATCCTTCAAAAATCTCACATTCAGTAGTGACCTGTTTAAATTGAAAGTTATCAGTTTAGTAGTACAACAGGCATTGAAAAAAACAGGAAACACACTGCCTGTCTTGCACTTTGTATTGTTCTCTTTGCTAACACAAAATGGAGAAGACTAGCAAGCTGAGCTGAACAGACACTGTAATCATCAATCATCTGAGGAGTAATGTGAGAAGACATTTTAATTTCCACACTATAAATGGAAAATTCTTAAACTCTATAAAGATAAGGCTGCAGCTTCACCTTGGAGTGAGATAAGTACATGTTTGAAATTGTGTGAAAAAGTGACTGCTACTCACAGTTTGAAGGCTGGGGTACAGCAAATGACCAAAGTATATCCCTTACAAAGGTTTCCTTACTGCCTTCATGACATCTTTTATTTGACCTTTTAATTATGCTTTATTATTCGTTATCACTGTTGCACTTTTATTAAATTTTTATTTACTGTGTAAGTAACTGGAATATATGCACTAAAAGCAGGACCACATCCCCTCATGTCCTGTTATTAACTTAGACCTCAGTAGTTCTCGGAAGAGCTCGCTTTGTGACCAAGTTGGACATATGGTAAAATTTCTAACCACTTCAATAGTCTGTAAATACATGTTTTGCACTGACGGTATGTAGTATTATTTTCACTGTCCTGTCAGTTCAGTGTTTGATTGTTTGGTTGAGAGGACTTGCAAAAATCACATTTAATTGAAACTAATGTTTAAAATATTCAATCTTAGTCCTTTGCAATTAGTTTTTCAGCAATATAAATTATGTTTCTGCTTTGCCGTCCTAGTACATGATTTCATTGTCATTCCTAAAAGGGACTAAAAATGTGACCAGGCAAATAAAAGGAGGTCAAATTGTACTTTTATTGATGGACATAAAGTCCACTGTATGTCAGGATGATGAATTATTAGCAACCACAACGGCACATACATCAAATATTCCTTATTTGTTCCTTGTCTCTGCTTTTATTTAAGAAATTATTTTTTATACAATTTTATTGATGATTTACTGTCATCCAACTGCATTTCTAAATGCACCAATGCTATCCTGGATAATATTTTTGTTTATTGTCAAGGCATTGCTTACTTGTTTTAAGATGATGATTTTTATGATACTACAAATGGCATGATAGGTGGTTTGCAGAATATGCGATTAAGAGAAACAGTGGATAGTAAATGTCCTACTGTGAAGCCAGAACTGAGGGACTGTTTGCTAAATACTTTCTCATTTTTCATGACTTGTAGAGATTAAGACAGCGCCCTTTGCTTGTTCAGGAATTTGTAATTGGCTGGCAGATGAGATGGTGAAAAAACTTCAGCCATGGAACAAAAAAAACAGAGAGACCTCTGTCTTGTGCCTTTAAACAATAAAGGTCCTTCAGTTTTGTCAATCATACAAAGTGTGTCTGCGTGGTTTTTTTTTGTCTGAAGAAGCTAAAACAATTTGTTTATTAAAGGATTTCACAATGGACAGAAATATAATTGCAACTATTTAGAAGAAGATATACAACCCAAAATACAATCATGCACATGCAGGGCTTATAGACATGCAAACGTGGTGTGATGGGCTGCCACATAGGGGCGCTCCACGAGCAGTTAGGGGTTGGGTGCCTTGCCTCGGCAGTGCACGGGAGTTGGAACTGTCACCTCTCCAGCTTCCAGTCGACACTCCATACTGTGGTCTGTGCTAGACTTGAACCGGTGACCCTCCGGTTCCCAAGCCAAGTCCCTACAGACTAAACAACAATCTACTATCTTTAAGCCTCTAACCCAAAGCGTCTTTATTATTATAGTGTATATATTTTTATTGGTTTAATTTTTGCAATAGAAGCAACATTTCTGTAAATGCGGCAGAGTTAGCATGAGGCTATTTTTCATCTGTTGTCCCTGGACAGATGTTACAAAGTTGACCTATAAACAGACTATAAGATTAAAACGACAAAGTTATTCAAGGTTAATCAATTATAAGCATGCAACAATGGTAAGGAAAAAAAGGAAAATAATAATGTTGATCATTAATCGAAGCATTATTCTGGACACCCTAATACAAAAAAAAAGCAACATGCAACACAGGCTCATAATACAAGACCACGTACAAAAACAATAAAATCTTCCCCAGAGGAACCTGATTTTGATGTATGAGCAGGAGGAGCTTGATTTGGTGATCATGAAGAGCGTTGTATGTAATGATCTATTACAAAACAAACGAAATTATAGAAAATGTTAATACAATAATTAAACAAATAATGCTCATTAAGCATAAAATAATAATAAACCATCAAACAATCAGCTGCTTCACTCAGTGGCAAACTATATTTGTACAAATCCTTTTTTTTTGCCTTACGTTCAACCTTGGTGAACTTGACGTGTGTGAGATGTACGTGTAAAAAGCATCCATCAAAGAGGCTTGGTAGGAGTCTTTTTACACATTACGCAGTTAGGACATTTAACATTTATCCAGAAAACTAACTAGAGTTTTCCAATAACATAACAACAACACAAAATTTTAATAAACTGCAGTTTTCCTTAAAGCTTGATATTTAATGTATTACACTGAACAAAATTATAAACGCAACACTTTTGTTTTTGCCCCCATTCATCATGAGCTGAACTCAAAGATCTCAGACTTTCTCTATGTACACAAAAGGCCTATTTCTCTTAAATATTGTGCACAAATCTGTCAAAATCTGTGTTAGTGAGCACTTCTCCTTTGCCGAGATAATCCATCCACCTCACAGGTGTGGCATATCAAGATGCTGATCAGACAGCATGCGTATTGCACAGGTGTGCCTTAGGCTGGCCACAATAAAAGGCCTCTCGAAAATGTGCAGTTTCACTGTATTGGGGGGGTCAGTATCTGGTGTGACCACCATTTGCCTCACGCAGTGCAAGACATCTTCGCATAGAGTTGGTCAGGTTGTTGATTGTGGCCTGTGGAATGTTGGTCCACTCCTCTTCAATGGCTGTGCGAAGTTGCTGGATATTGGCAGGACCTGAAACACGCTGTTGTATACGCCGATCCAGAGTGTAGATCATTCACTGAAACCCAACCAAAACAAAAGCAATCAGTGAAATGTCAGTGCCAGCAGATGTCCCAGCTTTGCAAAGGTTTCTGGGGATGGTTAACTACCTTGGAAAGTTCATTCCAAACTTCAGTCAGCTGACAGCTCCACTATGACAACTGACACACAAGGACACTGAATGGACTTGGCATGAACAGCAGCAAAATGCTTTTGAAGCACTAAAGAAGCATATGTCCTGCCCACCAGTCTTGTCCTACTACGATGTCAGCAAGCCTGTGACACTTACCTGTGATGCTTCTCATTATAGACTTGCGTGTTTGCAGGGAGAAAAGCCTGTAGCCTATGCTTCACGCACACTAACCGACACAGAAACCAGGTATGCCCAAATTGAAAAAGAACTGTTGGCGGTGATCTTTGCGTGTTCAAAATTCAATGATTACATATATAATGTTATAAAGAGTTCGTTCTAGACCTGCTCTATTTGAAAAGTGTCCTGAGATAACTTCTGTTATGAATTGGCGCTATACAAATAAAACTGAAATGAATTGAATGTCCGGTGAGTATGCTGGCCATGCAAGAACTGGGATGTTTTCAGCTTCCAGGAATTGTGTACAGATCCTTGCAACATGGGGCCGTGCATTATCATGCTGCAACATGAGGTGATGCTCGTGGATGAATGGCACAACAATGGGCCTCAGGATCTCGTCAAGATATCTCTGTGTATTCAAAATGCCATCAATAAAATGCACCTGTGTTCACTGTCCATAACACTCGCCTGCCCATACCATAACCCCACCGCCACCATGGGCCACTCGATCCACAACGTTGACATCAACAAACCGCTCACCCACACAACGCCATACACGCTGTCTGCCATCTGCCCTGTACAGTGAAAACCGGGATTCATCCGTGAAGAGAACACCTCTCCAAAGTGCCAGACGCCATCGAATGTGAGCATTTGCCTACTCAAGTCGTTTACGACGATGGACTGCAGTCAGGTCGAGACCCCGATCAGGGCAACGAGCATGCAGATGAGCTTCCCTGAGACGGTTCCTGACAGTTTGTACAGAAATCCTTGATCCTTGAAGATGCTGGATGTGGAGGTCCTAGGCTGGTATGGTTACACGTGGTCTGCGGTTGTGAGGCCGGTTGGGTGTATTGCCAAATTCTCTGAAACGCCATTGGAGACGGCTTGTGGTAGAGAAATTAACATTCAATTCACGGGCAACAGCTCTGGTGGACATTCCTGCAGTCAGCATGCCAATTGCACGCTCCCTCAAAACTTGCGACATCTGTGGCATTGTGCTGTGTGATGGAACTGCACATTTTCAAGTGGCCTTTTATTGTGGCCAGCATAAGTTACACCTGTGCAATACCCATGCTGTCTGATTAGCATCTTGATATGCCACACCTGTGAGGTGGATGGATTATCTCGGCAAAGGAGAAGTGCTCACTAACAGAGATTTTGACAGATTTGTGAACTATATTTGAGAGAAATTGGCCTTTTGTGTACATAGAGAAAGTCCTAGATCTTTGAGTTCAGCTCATGAAAAACAAACGCGTTGCATTTATAATTTTGTTCAGTGTATGTGCTAAGCTGTCTGTGGACCCAGACAATAATGTGTGACAGACCTAGGAATCTCATAATAGCATGGACAGGTGCACAAGCATTTATCCATAAGTGGCCATTGACAGACCTGAGACCAACAGATATCCCCCAACAGCTGAGGTGCAGTTCAGAATTAACCAGCTCTGACACAACAAAAGCAGAGCTGTAGAACAAACAATGAGGTCTGAAGATGTCTAAGTAACAGGCAAAAAAAAAAAAACTGGACCTTTACTTCTATCAATGCCTTAATTTGCTTGTTTGTACAATGAACCTTACAGCACTAGTATGAAGTGTGTCTCCAACCAGTATTTTCGAGAGGGCTACACAATATATTTAACATCAATGTTAAAATGATGCTTTCAATATAATAACATAGTGGTGTGTATTTCCACCTTTACAAAGTATCGAATCAAATTCCGCCAGCAGAATTCTCTCTAAAGACTCAAACTCATGGAAGTAGACTGCAAAGAGCGGATTTTCAATCAATCTTCCTCTGAAATGACTAGTCCAGATTTTTTATCCCAGTTTACTTATTTGATGAATGATTCTTATTAGACTGAATAATTCCTCTTTCTTTAGTCTCTGATTATATTTTTGCTGTTAGATTAGTCTAATTGTTTCTCAAACTATGTACATGTACCACTGATGGTATGTGAGCTGCCTCTTGTGTTATATTAAGGAATCAGTTTTTAATTAAATTAATTCATTTGAAAACATATAATACTATCAAAATACTACAATTCTTAAAAATACTATAAAATAAATTACTATAAATACATTTCAGCAAATGTGCAAAAAAGTGAAAAGAAAATACCTATTGCAGCTTTAAAAATTTTCATAATTGATAGTTAATAAGCAATTTAACTAGGGTTAAACTAAAAACCCTAAAGTTAATAACAAAAGTTCACATTAAGTTAGGATGGTATGTATAAAGTGATTAAGATTTTATCACACACTGTAAAAAAAACTTAAGATAAAGTGTTTTAAATATATGCACTGACATACACAGATTCACAGTGAAAAACATGGCATTTCTCCTGTTTTATCATGCAATGAAGACAGTTAAAAACAATAAATGTGGGCAGATACAAAGCCACAAGAATAAAAAAAATAGCATTTGTTGACTGTAACAGGCCAAATCTGGCCCTTATCTGAAGTCTTACTAATAGTTAGATCCAAGCCATACTCAAAGGCAGGATATTTGTAACACTCACATCAGGATCGACACACCTAGCAGGAACATGGCCATGGTGTTCTAGGTTAATACCACAAGTTTACTGCTGTGAAACCACTGTCTCTTCAGACCAGTTGATGATGATATGTTGATATTGCAGTGACTTACAACTTTGCCACAAAATAAAAAAATGTTGATCTGGATAGTAATAGTAGTTGTAAGTAAAAACCTTTACCTGTCAGTTTAAATTAAACTTCATTTTAACCAAAGGATTCATCTGCTCAACATATCAGAAACATACATTTATGGCACTTTCTATTCTGAAGGTGACCCTAAACACTCAACTACCGTGATGAGAGATGATGATATTTACAAGAGGCTCTCCTGGGCTGATTGGATGCATTGCTGTCATTTACCTCCATTTCATCCAGCCAGTCACAAAGCTTCACCTTTAACCTGTGGGCTAATTGAACCATGTCCTGTTTAAAAGACCATGTAATAGGTGAGTGGATGTGTGCAAAGGTGAAAAGCAGGTCCTATAATTATTCTGGATTAGCAAGGTAAGTGCAGAGACTTGTATACTGTATATAATCA